AAAAACTGTTTATGAATAACTGAATGCAACTGCGTCGTATCGATGGACTCGTTTTAATTCAGGTGGAGTAATGTTTTTGGTCAAAGACTTTGTGTGTAGAAGTTGTTGGTTTGTTTATTTACGTCAAATGGGGGCCACATTTAACAACAAGAAAATGTATAAAACATTTACAATCTCTCATTTCCCAGTTGTAGACTCACTACTTCCTGAGCACATTCCTCTTTGTTACAATTTAACTATTTCGACATTTGCATAAAAGGTCTCAGCTCTGCGTAGGTGTTTAGCACTCTTTGGTTTTTAGCTTTTCCTCTCCTGTTTAAGCAAAGTTTCATGTGTTTGGGGAAGAGTGAGCACACAAACAGATGGATGAAAGCTGTGTGAGAGTTGAAGTATGGAAATGAATGTTTTGCTGTTGGTAATCGCAGCCCTGATTTATTTAAATTCATCCAAACTTGTGTCTGTTATCGTTGGTACACTTTGGTAGCCTAGGAAGGAATCTTTTAAAGGAACAACAAACACATTAAATGCTTTCCATTTTTGTCCAGGATGTTTGAGTTGTCCTGCTTCCTACCTCAAGACAAGGACCTGAAGATTGCTGTGTATGACTACGACCTACTGAGCAGAGATGAAAAAGTTGGTGAGACCGTTATCGATTTGGAGAACAGACTTCTGTCTCGTTTCCGGGCCGGCTGTGGCCTGCCAAAGACTTACTGTGTGTAAGTATGCACTCTAACGCTACAATACCTACAGTGTTATTAATAATAACCTCAAAGCCAAACCAACAAAGCTACAATTTTCTTACAGCTCAGGGATCAATCAGTGGAGGGACCAGCTGAAACCTTCTGAGATCTTCCACAACGTGGCCAGAGTGAGAGGCGTTAATCCTCCACTTATAGAGGGAGATGGCAGCTCACTGTCTTTCGCAGGAAAACTATACAACCTGCAAGATTTTGGTAATGCCATTATTGAACGCCCAATTTTTAACATCTCAATGTCCATGTCTTCATTTTGTATATTTGTGTTGTACAGTATTTAACAATTATGAAGTTCCTGTTTGTTCTCGTTTTGTCTGTTTGCATATATGCAATAATAACATCTTCTGCAGTATACTACCCTTTCATCCTTGACTTTTGTGGTTTGCTGTGCAGAGGCAAACACTGTGATCCACCCGCACTTAGGACCAGCCAGAGAGAGGCTGGCCCTGCATGTCCTCAGAACTCAGGCCTTGGTACCAGAGCATGTGGAGACCAGAAGCCTGTGCAGCTCCCACCAACCAAACTTGTCTCAGGTTAAAGCAACAGCCACAACACCTTTTTAATAGAGTTAGTAGTAGATGAATTTCAAGTGTATGCTATCTAAAATAAATAATTCAAATTGTTCCATAAAGACTAATAGTTTTGCACAAATCCAGGGAAAAATTCAAATGTGGGTGGACATCTTTCCAAAGAGCCTTGGTTTGCCAGGGCCCCCGTGGGATATCACTCCACGCAAAGCCAAGAAGTAAGAGACTCATCCAAATGATGCTTCATCACAGACTATTCAAGCATCAGATATAACCATATATTTAAAATAGGTACGTTTTGCGAGCCATCATTTGGAACACAACTGATGTTACTCTGGACGAAAGAAGCATCACCGGAGAAGACATGAGTGACATCTACGTTAAAGGGTACTTTTCTGGTCCTGTCTCTTGCCTCGACCCTTCTTTTGTGTTCACATATCTCTTACCTTTACATGCATATCAACTGGACTCGTTCACAAAGAGCCAATCTGAAGTCAACGTTATGGTGTTTCCTAGATGGATGTCAGGTATGGAGGACCACAAGCAGCAGACTGATGTTCACTACAGATCCCTGGATGGTGATGGGAATTTCAACTGGAGGTTCATCTTTGGGTTTGACTACCTGCCTGCAGAGCAGATGTGTGTTGTTTCAAAGAAAGTGAGTAAGATTGTGGAGCAGGAAGGAAGCATCATGTGACTGTTACTATTACTATGACCTTTTTTGTTTTGATGCTATGAAGGTAGGTAATGATCTGAATAAAGTGTTTGTCTTTTACAGGAACACATTTGGAATCTGGACAAAACTGAATTAAGGATTCCTCCTAAATTGATCATCCAGATTTGGGACAATGACAAATTCTCTTTGGACGATTACTTAGGTGAAACGTCATTGTTATTAAATCACTTCTTTGCCATGACAACACAAAGGGAAGACCTTTAAATAGAGATATCAGCCCAAGAGAACTACTGCATGGGAGACACATTTTTATTTTCTATCTATGTATTTGTTACAGGTACAGTTGAACTGGACCTTCTCAATCTGATCCCTCCAGCTAAGAGCTCAGAAAAGTGCAGTCTGAAGATGTTGCCTGGGAGAGAAGGCTCAGTCGCCTCTAAAAAACCTCTGCCCAACTCACTTTTCTCCCAAAAGTCTGTTAGAGGCTGGTGGCCATGCACGGTCGAGCAGGATGGGAAACATGTGCTTGGTGTAGGTCTTTATCATTAGCACAGTACCTAGTTAATATGTTTTTACCCAGTTACTGTTTTTGACTGTGTTTCAAAACTCTGCAGGGTAAAGTAGAGATGACGCTTGAAATAGTGGAGGAGAAGGAGATGGAGGAGAGACCTGCTGGGAAAGGCAGAGATGAGCCAAACATGAATCCCAGACTGGACCCACCCAAGTAATACATCCTTAAAAAAAGAAAAATAATAATAATATAAGATTTTCTAGTCCGATGGATCGCATAAAATGAATCATGTGAATGTTGCTGTCATTCCCATTCAACAGACGCCCTGACACGTCATTCTTCTGGTTTACAAACCCTTGCAAGACCATGAAGTTCATTGTTTGGCGCAGATTTAAATGGATTTTCATTGGAGCGATTTTTCTTCTGCTGGTCATCTTGTTCCTTGGGATCCTGCTTTACTCTCTACCAGTAAGATTACACATTTTACTTTTTTTAATTTATTAATTTCTGTATTTATGAGACTGGTGTTAGTAAGTTGTATCCTTCACACATTGTTTTTCCATAGCACTATGTAATCTGAGTGGATGCCTTTGTGTATTCTACATCCACAGAACTACATCTCAATGAAGATTGTGAAGCCTTTCTCATAAGGAGCATTGAGGGGAAGTTGTCTGCCTTCCTGATGGAATCGTCAGTCCTAATAAGTGTTCCCATCACTGAGAAACATGCAACAACTTTGTCTGTTGATGCCACAACGGACTGATATTCAGCATTCTATTCCCACATTATCAGACCAAATTTTCCTGCCACTATTACAGTCCATATTTCTTTTGAAAAATCAAGAAAATTGTAATAAAATGTGTGATAGAGAAGTTTGTGATTTGTTTTGCACACATTAGAAATCATTACACATACAGTGGGGAGACAAAGTATTTCATACACTGCAGATTTTGCAGGTTTTACAAAGCATGTAGTTTTTTTTTATCATAGGTACTCTTCAACTGTGAGTGACAGAATCTAAAAACAGAATGTAAAACTAAAATCTAGAAAATCACATTGTATGATTTAAAAAAACATATTTTGCGTAGTTTTTCTTTTAAGTATTTGATACATCAGAAAAACCAAACTTAATATTTGGCACAGAAACCTTTGTTTGCAATTACAGACATCAATCATTTCCTGTAGTGCTTGACCAGGTTTGCACACACTGCAGCAGGGATTTTGGCCCACTTCTCCATACAGACCTTCTCCAAATCCTTCAGGTTTCGGGGCTGTTGCTGGACAACACAGACTTTCAGGTCTGGAGACTGCTAGGCCACTGCTAGGCCACTCCAGGACCTTTACGGAGCCACTCCTTAGTTGCCGTGGCTGTGTGTTTTGGGTCGTTGTCATGCTGGAAGACCCAGCCACGACCCACCTTCAATGCTCTTACTGAGTGAAGGAGGTTGTTGGCCTCGCGATCTCGCGATACACGGCCCCATCCATCCTCCCCTCAATATGGTGCAGTCGGCCTGTCCCCTTTGCAGAAAAGCATTCCCAAAGAATGATGCTTCCTCCTCCATGCTTTTATACAGGTGACGTGTTCAAACAGGCACAGTTAATACAGGTAATGAGTGGAGAACAGGAGGGCTTCCTAAAGACAAACTAACAGGCCTGTGAATTCTTACTGGTTGGTACGTGATCAAATACTTATGTCATGCAATAAACTGCCAAATATATATTTTTTAAATCATACGTGATATAAAAATAACACAATCCTACATGCCTTGTAAATTGGAAAACCTGCAAAATCGGCAGTGTATCAAATACCTGTTCCCCCCACTGTATAATGTAAAACTGTCTAACATAGGATTATTAACCATGAAAATGTAACACACATACATTTTGTAACATCAAAACCAGATCTTCTGTGTACTTTATGTTAGAATATTTTAAAGTCAACATGGCGGTATACTCGATGCCTAGTATTTAAGTAAAATTCACTTCATGTTCAGCAATAGTGAAATTGACTTAAAAGGTCAAATGTAAATAGTACACCATTAAAATAAAGTGTCTTTCGGAATATCGTTACTGATTTATGATGTACTCAACATTATTTTGCTACTTTGTTATTTTTGTCTAATTATCTATGAATATTATGTCTCTGCAAAATCCTCCAGGAGGTCTCAGTTTAGTCTCAATGGGGAAAACCATGACAAACACATGTTTCATACTTTAAATTGAACAAAATACCCATTTAATGACATCAAAATTAAGCCTCAGGCTTAAGAATGCGCTTGTTGGGTGAGTGAGCTGACCGTACCAAGATGGCCGCCGTAACGACATCTAGCCCCTCTCTCTCTCTCTCTCTCTCTCTATGAGACTAATCATAGACATGTATATTATGTCTATGAGACTAATGCCTCTTTAATAGTTGCACGACACTAAACTCCTTTTTGGCCAAGTTGCTGGGATACCCACTTATCATCCCGCCTCTTTTTCCTGGTGAACGTGTGTGATTGGTCCGGGTGTTTCTGCCGTTGACGTACAGGAGCTGTCTGCAACAAAGAAGGCAACGTGAACCAATGACCGCACAACAACTTTTGAAGCGATATCTGGTCAGGGAGAGAAATAACGCTGGTTGTATATGGCAATTTACAATGATAATGTAATGCAGTTAGATCACAAGTCTTACACAAAGAAGGACATGCTTGTAAGTTATGTTTTTTGTTTAATGGACACGGCCCTGCTAGCTTGTTGTGGTTGAATTAACGTTAAGTTACGTCAGCGCTATCTAACGTGAACTGGTGCTAGCAAATAATAGCTAACGTTTTGATTTTAGCCAATCAAAGCTAAGTTAGCTCAAGATGACTTGATGTTTTCGTCCTGCAATATGTTTCCGCATCAAGGCGGCAAGCTACTGTCCATTGCCCTGGGAATTACACACCGCACATCTATGTTTAATAGCCACAGCCACTGCAACAGTATTACAGTGAAGATAACTTAACTAAAAACTATACGCTGTGTTGAGTTTGGTTAGCTGGCTAATTGTAGCTTTGTTGAACCTGTCCGAAGGAGCTTTTCATCGTGATCTACTGGCCGCAGAGCTCGAATAGTGAAATGAAACCAATCACTTATGCCGAATCGAAAGCTAAGCCCAGTACACGCAGTACACCAGTACAACAGACTGCTGTCTGTCCAAACTAAACGTCTAACTGCATCTTCCGTCCATGACCAGACTTTAGACAACGTTAGAGTCCATTGTCGCAGGAAAACGGGCAGGATATAACTACATTATAACTAAATGTGTATATCATCGTAAGCAGCTTCTTAATACTTGAATTGGTTTTCTTTCTTAAGCAGCTATTGTTGATTCATCTTGTCTGACCTGCTGGATGAAAGGATGGACTCTCAAGAATGGTAAGTTAAATCAACCCTGCCGCAATTTTTATAAAGTATAAGCCATCTGGGCACATGTGATACTTGTTAACAAAGTGCATTCTGGGAAAAAGGAGACTGCATAAGTGCACACTTTAAAGACGGAGCCTAGTCACAAGGCGTTCTCTCACTTGGTTCTCTTTCCGTCTTGTTCCAGTGTGACCGCTGAAGTCGAGTCAGAGGGCGTCAATAAGGATGTTCCAAAAACAAACTCAACGGATGGAAAAGATGAGCTCTTTTGTGGACCACAAAGGAGTGACGCCACAAAAGACTGTGCACCTATGGAGAACACACACGATGCTGCAGCATCCCAGACTTCAATGGGTTGCGGTTCTCCCAGTGGACCGGATGAACCTGTTTTTGAGGGCAGCAGCAGCAGCGACACAGCTCTAACAAACACTGCTAATGGGCAGAAGTCTAAAAGGTCATCTTCACCTGGTCATCACCCTGTTAAAACAACCGGTGTTGCCGAACAATCTTCAAATCCCAAACTCACGATCTGTCTTAGAATGAGTCCCAGGAAGGATGTCAGTACGCCCCCCTGTGACGTGGAGATGTTGAGTCCAGACAGCCCCGTTTCTAAAACCGTGTTGATCAACAGCTCCGCGGACAACGATCATGATGGCATGGTATGTGCAGAGGACTCTCCGCAGTTTGTCAAATACTCCGATTCTCAATGTTCTGCCAAAGAAAACATTGACATGGGAAGTGAGGATGCTGAGAAGGCCGAGTACAGTGGATCATCTGAAATGAGCCAGGACTTAATTGGAAGCCAGTCAGGAGCACTTTTTGAAAGGTACATGTGAACAATTTCTGTGTCGCTCTTTTTTTTTTTTTTTTGTCGTTACCAAAAATGAACAAGCTTTCCTGTGGTGTCTCCAGTAATCACGTGGCATGTTTTTGTTCTTTCCCCAGAGGATGGCTTGGGACACCCATAGATGAGCTGAACCGAATGCCCCAGTGTGCCCCCCCTCTACCTCACCTGAAAGCAACGCATAGCCACACTGTCACAATCAGGGTAAGCAAACAACCAGTTGTCCTTTTTGTGGTCTTAGTGTGTGGTATGTCGTGAAGAACATGACTGACCACTGCCACCCAATCAGGAGTCTCTCCATTAACCACTAGGGTCTTTTATTATTGTTTGAATAAAATCATATACATCTACATTAAAGGCAAGGACAGATGATTTTCATTCAGTAAAGGATCATATGAGTTTTGGTAAAACAAGTATGGGGCTGGTATTCCCATCGTTTACTGTTTCCAGTTTTAATGTTCATTGCATATGATATTTCTTATAGAACAATATGTAACAAACTGAGCTAAATTAGCTGGCCTCTTTATTTCCCAACATCTACCGTACCTTGTAATAAGTTCCCAAAGTATTTCAAAGCTAACAGTTGCATCTTTTTGATAGTCAAAGAGGAAGATTTCTTGTTTTTTATTCGGCTACAGACAGATTTCCTCAGAGAGGGTGAGGTCCCTGTTCCACATCCCAGCAAGTTTAAAGATGCGTGGGACGACGGGGCCGTAAAGATGCCCTGCTCTGAGAAGAACCTGTTTCCTATGGAGACGGAGGTACACTAGTGCATCACAGCTTTGCATGCTTATTTACTAGTGTACCACGACATTGTTTGTCACTTTACGACGTTGAAGTAAGGGCAATTTGTCATCAGGATGGAGGTGGCGTTCAAAGCCGTTGGGAGCTGATCCAGACTTCCTTGCGGGGAGGGTTGAAAAGTTCTCTGGATGTGAGGGTAAGACAACTTACAAATTAGTCCGAACATATTCTTTGTCCTCATTAAATGTCCCCACAGAAAACCGCCATCTGTCTTCTTTACTGCTCCTCTTTATGTTGTCAAACAACAGCAACGTCGCACATTACATCCATCATGTTGTGAGGACACTGTTCACTCTGTTTGGTTGGAGTAGTTCTCACCTCTGTTTTGCCACCTACCATTTTCCACAATCCCTTACTTTGTGTTTCAGTAGAGATGAACATGTTTTAGTTTCTAACCAGTGAGTGCTGAAAGAGAGAGAAAGTAATGGGAGACCGAATATGTCTCAGAAGTAATAGTTTTGACCAAAAAGAGTCACGGAAATGTGAGACTCAAGTTTTAAGAAAATCAGAATGGAAAGTCAAAACATTGAGGACAAGATATCTTTTCAAATTCAGCATTTAAATGTGAGTATTGTAATACAATTGGTACTTTGTATACTGTCAGAGTAGCTTAAATACACAAACATGTTCCACAAGCCACCACATGGTGGCAGAGGTTACAAAAGATAGAACTGGTTTTCTGTTTTGAAAAGAATCCTTAATCTGAGATCCTAAATATTTTTGTGCTTTAAACTTGCGATCAATCTGTTGCTGTACATGTTAATATATTTCCGAATGTTGTTAAATGTATGAATCGTTTCATGTTCCTCTCTACAGGATGCAATATTAAGATACAACACAGCCCATGCAAAGAAATGGGACTTCACTGCTCTCAACCTTCTTTGCACAGAGGTAAGTCAAAAACATCACTGATACTGTTTTTTATTGGCTGTTCTTCTACCAACCTGGAAGAACACAGCTTCCCGAAGTCTTTTAATTGAACTGTATCGTCTAAACAAATCTTTAATCTTTGCTGAACATAAAGGGTTATTCATTTTAAATCCAATTATTTGGGAGTGAAACTTAATTTAAAAAAACAATTGTTACATTTAAAGCCTAAATTCTCAATCTGCTGTACAACCGGCTTTTGCTGTTATTTAATTTTAATTAACGCCTCCCTTTGTGTGTCTCACAGCTCTGACAGTCCCAGTAAACCTTTCTGACAGTGTTTGTTTAACTCACCATGATTAATTATGTCCTTTTTAAAAAATGAACCTTAATGATACTCCACTGGAGTTGTTGTTGCAAAGGGAGCCCACTCTCCATCAGTGTGCTCCGTCCCCTCCCCGTACCTGGGAGCCTCACGGGAGCAAATATGCTTCAGTTAGGACAGAAGAGCACGGAGCATGGCGGCAGCAGATGCTGCTGGTGAACCAGGGGAACGACTGTCTTTTCTTTCTGTCTACTTCCTCTTTTTTTAACACTTCTTTTCCACTTCTCAAGACAATTATGGACTGTAATCACATACCTGTTGTGGTAGAAACTTCTTCCCATGTGGGATGAGTATTTATTTACCTGTCTGGAGTGTTATGGCTTCAGTCCTTTTGGGTCTTTGAATGGATACAAATTTTAGCTATACGCCTAATTTGGTTATCTACATGTATTGAAGCATGTTGTTTTTTATCAAACTCTTTCAGGGTGGGCTCATTTCTTGGCTAGAGCCATCAGGAGCAAGGCCATTATTCTAATGAAGCTCTTACAATTAGGTGGGAACATTTCATTCTTGTTGTGGTCCAGTCAGATTGTCATCTGAACGTGATGTCCTCCTCGTTGATTACTCAGCAAAATTCAGGCCTTTTAAAGAAATTATTTTCCCCCTCTTTAAAGTAAAGCAGAGAGCTCGGTAGATCAATAGCTCCGTGAGCCTTTTTTATAGCTTAATCCAATTGAATTAAAAGGTCCCATTAAATCTGCAAGGATGCTGACTGTTGCCAGCAGAGAACTCACCCTTCCAGGACTCTTAAGTCAGCGGCGCCACTCGCTTCCCCGTCCCCAGTATTTCCTTGCATTTATTTCCTGCAGAGGAATTTAGCAACGCGGGACGGTGTTGGAAGAAGAAAGACAAGTCAGCATTTTGAATATCAAAAGTTAATTCGATATGTGCAGTATGGGGAAATAGTTGACAGAGGATGTAATAATGTAGAGATGCGATATACCGTTTGGTTGTGTCGTCTTTCTATCAGTTACATTTCTATTAGTTCATTGACAAGGATGAAGGAGCCAAACAGACATTCTGGAATTGTACAGAAGATGAACCATCTTTCTCACAGAGAAGAAGCACATGGACTGAGTTGGTTCGCCATTCTTTGGGCAATCCCATTCATTAGTAGTTGACAGAATTTATTCATTTTAAACGCTCTCGCTCTCTCGAATTAAATCTGGAGCAACATTTGTGCAGCATGGAGGTAATTGTCACGAGGTACATTGCCTGTGGGCCAATGATTGACACGCCGTTCAACATGTAATAGCCATTGGGGGAGGGGGAGCTGGGATGGGAGTTATCCAACTCAGGGCTTGTCTGTAAATTGTCTTGGTGTTTCTCCCCCGCCAATTACAACTGTGACTGTCACTTTCTGATGAACGTCAGAGAGCCGAGCAGGAAAGCGCTCCAGAAGTAAACACAGCTGATGTTGCAGTCGTACCTGAACGCTCGGCAGAAAGACCACTATTACACATTCTTAGACCTCTGTGAAATTATGACTCGCGTAAGTGGAGCAATCGGAGTGTGATGGATCATCAGCCTCCGCAGCAGTGCTTCTGGTCACGTGTGTGGATGTGAAGATGAGGTTTGTGTGCGCTGCCTAACCTGAGTGTTACCGCGGTGGCCGGCGGCTGTAGCTGCGGAAAAGGCTCGGGAGTCCTGCTTCTACCCTCATCCTGTCGTATCACCAGCTACCATCTATTAGTCCCACAAGAGCACTTTACCGTGCCTGCCCCCTCATTACATCTGACAGCATTTACTCAGACCTGCTCCGCAGCCGTATAAATGCCCCTCGGGCCGAATCACCCGCCGAAGACTTCCTGCTGAAATTCGAGCCACCCTGTCACTCTCATCCCAACTGGCCATTTGCATTTACTCCAGAAGTCCATTTAATCAGCACAAGCGCCCCCCCTCCCCCTGCTTACCTCGATAGAATAAGGCAAGTGATTGATGAGTACGCCAATACGCTCATAAGTGATTGGGTTGTAAATCTGGGTCTATGATGGAATAACTGTGTTTATTTTAGAGGGGATTGCAGGTGGATGCTGAGGTAAGCTGTAGGCTGGAGAATGGATGCCTCGGCCGTGGCAGACTCGCTCGCAGATTGATGGTGGTTTCTTCTGGTTTCTGTGTAGCGAGCAGCGCTGCAGTCGTTCTTTTTCTTCTTCATCCGCTGGAGTGGTGGGATTATTGATATCTGAGGAGTGGAAGTTCCCTCTGAAACAACTATAAACCTCAACCGACAAGTTTTCTCGTTGGATATGAGAGAATTGAGCGTCTTCCCCACAGGGATTAGATATTGGTTGCTGGTATTGGGTCATGACCTTCCAACAGTTATTAGACCGTCTTTCACCGCTTTTGTGAAATATTTGGCTGCTCCTCATATGCTTCTCGGCCAGGTTGTCTGAAGACAATAATAAACCCTAGAAAAATTGATTAGTGTCATTGTATTTTATAGTTGGAACAGATGTAGAGGTGATGTGAGCTGTTCAAAGCGATGCTAAAAAACTGTTTTTCACTAAGATAAGGCTAATGGAACGTTAATATAGAAATGTGATAAACTAACAACTAAGACATTATTTGAACCAATTGATATAAATAACATTTATTCACATACAAAATGATACTTAACCAAGCACTTAAATCAATAAATCTCCCTTCTGTATCTTGTTGAAGTTTGCATTATCATTATTGCTTGTATTGTTTGATAATGATTGGTAGTGATACTCATTTCTGAATATTTAATTTATTCATTTGTCAGATAAGTCCGGATTTTTTTTCTCCCATCCCGGCAACCAAACATTTGTATCATCTAATTCAGGGTTTGTAAAATTATTTACGAAGCCATAGAATTGTTGAAACAAATAAAAAATATAGTTGCCAATATAAGACAGAGATAAAAACTGTTAAATTTGTCTGTCCTCTTAAAAAAAAAAAAAGAGCAATAAGACCATAACATTTTGGTTAAAAAAAATCAGTGGGGTTACAAACCCATACGTCACTTCAGATCTAATAATTCACTCTGACGGGTGGCTCTGAGTTACTGGCTGCTTAAGCAGGCAGAGAAATCCCATTTAACCAAACTTCTGGCTCTGTGTGTTTTTTCTCTCCTCTGCAGTACCTGGAGCAGTCAGAGTTACAACCCCTGTTTGATGTTGTACTTCCAGCTATGGTTGAGCTAGCCCTCAGTGCTCCTGTCCTCTGCACAATGGTAAGTGCAGTGTGCTATTCATGCCTATGTGCACAGTTTTATGTTGTGTTGTGCGAGTCAATTGAATGGTGAGCCACTGCAGTGAAACAGATCAAATGGTCAGATGGTGGCAAAATCAGCTCGTGACTTACAACCGGCAGATAATGAGTCTCCGGTTTTGGTCCGTATCAGGAACTGCTTCATCAGGGAAGAGGGCTGCGAGAGAAGAGCTCCCATCTCCCCTCATCCCTCCGATCTGTCGTGCTTGTGCACTTCAGGAAATTCCTCTTATGGGAAAAAAAAAAAAGTCAGTCTGGTCCTTCGGACACATTCGTTTCTTCTCCTCCTGGCGATATATTGTGAGAAACAGGCCCCTCTGTTTGACTCACAGAGAATTGAGCTGATCCGTGTCACAGATATTTTAAATGTCAACCCCATTTGTCTTCATTTGGTTTCCCTCATCGATTATAGTAATTTTGAAAATTCCACGATCGGCATTTCTGTGATTCGGTTATCTACTTCAAACTCCTCCGTTTAATCAAATCATCTTAGATCCACTCCCACTCTGGGCAGGACTGGAAAATCCCACTGGTTGTCGCCGGAGACACAAAGCGGATGCAGAACGTTGAAGATTGCTCACGTTTACCCTCAGGAGGGGAATCTGCGTCTTGATTTTCCACCTCTGAATCGCTTGTAGCGGTTGGCCAATGAAGCTTTCCGACTCTCCACTTCAGATGGCAGTATTAAGCGTCAATGAGAGTGTGTGTGTGTGTGTGTGTGTGTTATTAGAGACGGTTATTGATCTGCTAACTGCACAGCCTTGGGAGGCTCTTTAGCCCTAATCAGTGAAGATAGATGGGCCCCGTGTGTCTGACTCAACGGACCCCGGGGGAGAGCGAGGAAACCAGGACCTTAATTACTAGCACCCATTTACCTAATGGAACGCTCCCCGTCTCCTCTGCTTGCTAGATTGCTAAACCAATTATCTACCCCCGTTATCCATCAGACCCACGCTTAACCTCGTGCGTAGGTCTTGTGTCGTCTCCCTCTGTCCCGATGATCTGACCTCCAGTCCCTCAGGTGGGGCCTCCTTGTCACCTTTCCTCGGTCTCTTTTTCTCTCTCCAGCCGATTCCCCTTCTGAAGTCCAGGATGAACCACTCCCTCACCCTCTCTCAGGAGCAAATAGCCTGTCTCCTGGCCAACTCCTTCTTCTGCACGTTCCCCCGACGCAACTCCCGCAAGTCTGAGTACAACAATTACCCAGAGATCAACTTCTACAGGTAAAGGCACACTATCCTTTTTGGAGAAAACGTCACAGACACTAAACAACGGCCATGAGCCCGCTGGGATAATTGAGTGAACTCCAGTCGTTTATTTTATTCACAAAAGGACATTTCTCCCCATAAGCTTTTCGCAAAGCCCTTTTTGTGAGCCATTACTTTGATCAGGAGACTTGAGTAGGTCTGGGACTCTGATATCGATCCCCAGGTGGCCTCATCGGTCTGTGTGCTTGAAGAAGAAGCTTACTGTGCGGTTTGCAGAACATCCCGTGTTGCTCAGGTCGAGTTGGCTTAATGACAGCGTGTGACTCGCTCGCAATGTCTTCAGCCGCAGTGCGCTTGCATTGAAAAAGATACATATAATTGTTTATTAACTAATTCCAATTGACTAGCACTGGTTTTGGTAAACCCACCACTCCATGAGGGGGCACTACTGCCTTAAAAACCTCAATAAGATGAATTATATTCTCCAGCTTTGACTCAACTAGTGAGTGTACCATATTTTCATACACAGTAATCTGGGTTTATGTGTAAATTTGTAATTATACTGTACGGTGACAGTCGCCTGTTGGCCTGGAGGATGTGACTGTGGGCAGAGAGTCTCTTTGAGCTGCATGTTTCTGTCATGCCTTCTTGAGTGGGAAGTTTGTGAAATTGGGGTTTGCAGTGTCCACCTACTCGGAACCACTGGTCTGTTAAGGAAGCGCCGGGATGGTTAATTGAAACAAACTCTTTTTGATGTGCTTTTTTTGTTTGTTTTTTGTCAAGGCACAGCACCCCTATCTATCTATCTGTCACTGCCTTCTCACAATGTGGAGGCGGGTGATGCGTGAACGCAGTCGCGTCCATATTCTCGTGACTGAGGTACACGGCCTCTGCGTCGCGTGTCATCACACTGTTCTGGAGTCCGTCTTCGTTAACGACGGAGGAAGTCTGGTTTGTTGTTCGTCACGATTTTTTGAGGAAGCTGATAAAGGTTTACGGATGATGTGTACGAGTGATACAGCCTCCGTACAAACTGACTTGACATTGTCCAGATATCACCTCAACTCAATTTTCCTGTACTTCTTCGAGAACGTGATGTGTGTAATCACTTCCAGTGTTGTTGCCTGACAAGCTGGAGACGTTGTTGTGGCAAAACCTTTTTGAAAAATATAAAGGGTAGCTTTACTACTATATCATTTTGATATTCCCTGCATGGTTCCTACCTGCTATCCAAAGTCTAATTAGCCATCTGCTCTCCCTTTTGGGGGTCGAGCAGTATTACTTTATGACTCCCAGGAATGGTCATATTGATTATGGGGGATTCCCCCACCCCTTCAACTCCCTCATTTTATCTGAATCTTAATTGTTACTCTCACAATCGGTCATCTTGGCGGGTGCACGTGCTTTCACATCAAATGTTAGTGGGCTGCTAAGTATGTAAGCATCGATCCCCGTCGCAGGGACGGCTGCTCGGATGCCAGCGCTTGGTTGCCTTTCTACCTTCACTATTACACTATTAGCCTTTCTGCCCGCAGTGGAATACAGGAAAGAGCAAGCGGGGAAGAAGATGAGACGAGACAACCAGCGCAGTCTAAAACGGGCCCTGGATCGTTACCGCGCCCCCCCCCCCCCATGTAATAGAGGTGGCGTCCGTCACTTTGCTTATCGGCTACAGTAGCGCTCTGTCTCGGACAGGCGGAGCAGCAAGCAATCTGCTGATTGCTGTTTTGGCAGAACTGTCAAGGTTTGTCCTCTGTTAAGTGATGGATAGATTTCGAGGAGGAGGAGGAAAGAAAGCAGAGTTATCTCTTCAGCTTGTTTTCCTCTGGATGAGAAGATGACCTAGGAAGCCTGTTCACTATTAAGAAATACATCTTCTGGTCCCAGGCCCTCTGTTTGTATTTCATTGCTGTGGCCAGAGTGGCACGAGGCTAAAATGAATTAGATTAGATGAATGCTTAACAGTCATTAATCATCAGTGCAGGTCGCTCGAAGGGGGAGTACCAGTATGGGGGGGATTTTTTAAATGTCCACCCCATTCACTCCTTCTTTTCTCCCTCCTTCCCTCCCTCCTCATCCTTTTCCTCAGTCCACCCTAGTTTGTATGGTAACTCTTAAAGAACTGAAACACTGCCCTGGGCATTACCATTGTATGACGGACAGAGGTGGATGCAGAGACATCAGCCAGTTTAAATGCTTGACCTCGCTCATGACATGTGGCATGGTTGTGCAGTGAGCTGTAGGTAATAAAGTGGAAGATCCATGTCTCTCATCTGCTAAATCATATATAGTTCAAGTTCAAGTAAATATTCCATTCAACAAAAATGGTACTCTACAACAATCTCATGTGAGCTCAAATTGCCATTTGCTTTCTTTTCTCAGGTTATTTGAAGGTCCTTCACCAAGAAAAATTGAGAAATTGAAAACTCTGCTGTGTTACTTCCGGAGAGTCACACAGACCAGTAAGCATTAATAATACCCCACATGATTGCTGTTGGTTCTCTGTAATGCTCTCCCATGTTCTTCAGTTGATTAACATTTTTGTATTTGTTTTTAAGAGCCCAAGGGTCTTGTTACATTCACAAGACAAACTCTGAACACTCCCCCAAACTGGGAAAGGTATTACTTTCTACTTAATAATGATGTCATTTTAATGATGCAGCACAATCCCTATTTCTGTGATATTTATTGGTATTATGTTTTGGGTCAGTAAATATTTTTTTCATATATTTTTATGCACTTTAATGAACGTATGTGTTAATGTGTGTGTAAGGACACTTAACAACAGTTTTTCTATCTCTTGTTATCTCAAGTTCCAAGACTCTGCTGAAACGCCTACACGTCACTTGCGAGGGGACGATTGAGGATGACGGATATGGGATGCTGCAGGTAGGAATTTGTTGACACTTTGCATATTTTTATAAAGCCGTCTAGGTCATTATTCAGCCTCATGGCAGTGCCCTCCAATCTTTGGAAAAAGCTTCTCATTTTAAATTATTTCCCTTTCTAAATATAAACTCCTTGTGCCGAGCGTCTGATTGTAACTACCATAATAAATAACATCTGACCATCATCCCGCCTTCTGTGAAGCTTTCAGAAGACAGAGGGACACTTAGTGTCTTTTTTTCATCCCAGTTGACAGCTGATCTTCACACTTGAGCAGTTTAGAGGAGGCAGGGGGGGCGGGGGGAGACCCTGGGGTGGCGGGTGAGGGAAAAGCTGTAGCGGGTGAGCCGTCTCACTGGGGACGACCCAGCGGGCCAGGAGTCCTGCAGGTGGATTGATGGCTACTTCGGCACGCTGGGCTGCGTGTTGAGTTTTTGTTTTTTTTGAGCGGGCTGTCATTCTGTCAGGAGGTGAGACTGAAGGGTGAGGCGGGGTGGTGGGGGGGGGGGAGTCAGAGGTGAACCAGTGAAGGAGGTGAGAAGTCGAGCTACTGGTTAGACGACATGCACGCATGCAAACACACTCCCTGTCACAAAGTGTGACACGGCTGTGGGCCAGTGAGCAAAACCCCCTGACAGCCTGTTGGAAGAGCAGCGTTGTGATGGAGTGTGATTTCTCTGAATGCCACAAACACAAGGAGCGGCCTGAAATAGCACGGAGCAGCAGGATTACACCTCATATTTGGCTCCATTCAGGAGAACTTTGTTACACTTAACAAACACTTGATATATAAAGTGGATACATCAGTAAACAGTGAGCCAGCACAGGAAATGGTAATAAACTTGATTGCAATGATTAAAAATAGAGTCAGTCTGCAGACATTCACGGCGATTCTTCATGGCTGCTGATTATCAACTGACGATTCCAATTCAATATCAATTTCTGAACCATCTCTGTACATTTCATGTGTTGTTCTGCTACAACTTCCTGATTTGATAAGCAGTACAGTGATCCATACCCATTCATCTGCTTTAAATGACCACAGCGAGGGACAGATGATAAGTAGACACTAATAGAGTAATATATGGTCACAGTGCTTCTGCATAGTAGAGACAAAGCAATATATTAATGTCGTTGAATCAAGATTTGTTTCTGTTGTGAATATTACTGAGGGATTGTGTCATTGTAATTTAACTTCTTATTTTCTCCTAATATTATTTCATTAGGTGGATTTTGCAAACAGGTTCGTTGGCGGCGGAGTAACGGGACATGGACTGGTCCAGGAGGAGATCCGGTTCCTCATCAACCCCGAACTCATTGTCTCTCGCCTCTTCACTGAAGCTTTGGAAAGCAACGAATGCCTCATTGTGACCGGTACGTAGTCACGCACACGCGTTGTACGTGTATTTTAGATACCACTAGATATTAGATACTACTTTGGATGATAATAATTACTGGCTTAAACAATTGTTTCACTTTTAGTAAACCAAATAAAATAAAATTACCAGGGAGTTGGTATTTATCGACAAATTGCATTTAATAACAATTTCCTTAAAGAACTATATTGAGAATCGAATCGAGAATGTAATGGCGTATGAATACAAGTTCTTGGTCTTTGAAGCTTGGTTGGCACAAAGGATTCCTTACAGCCAGACACAGAGCAGGTTCGCTAAAACCCACGTGTGGGATGAGTTTGCATGGCTGAGGGTTGGGCTCCGGTTGTCTTGGTGTCCCAGTGGTTCCTCTAATCATGAAAGCTCACGTGACGAGACCCTCGTGTAGTTTGAAGGAGTCGTATTCTCGGCAACGAGTCGCTCTGCGTTTTCAAATTAAATTGGTCTGATTTCACGGGCGAAATGTCCGCCAAGTGGCGAGTGTCTGCTTTGGTGACCTCTCTTTACGCTCTGCTTTTTCCGAATGATGACGTCTGCCTGTTTTTTATGGCACCGTGACCTCTTGCTCCCACCGGGGCTGTTTGCAGCTGTGTACGAAACGGAGGAGCCGAGAGTCGGCACCATTTTTCAGTCTGAGGTTGTGACATTCTTCCGGAAAACAGTGAATTTCCCCCATTGGGTTCGCAGCAGCGGTGTGACTGATGGAGCACGAGTTGGAGCACCAGCAGTTATTCAGGCATTGTTCCAGATCGTTGCGGCAAAAAAGGGAGCCGAGCCCGAAGGCCAGTTCATCTACGTCCTGTCCTTGTGCCGACGACCAAAAGATACACGCATGTACTCGTACACAGTTACGCACATGCACACACACATTCAGTAATGGTGCCATATGGAGACTAGATATTGGGACAGGTTATTTATAGGTTTCCACCCAGTTCCGACTTGATGTACTGTGGTACGCGTTGGCCCACATAGTGCGGAGAATAGAGCCATTGTAGAGCAGACAGTGTGCCATTGCTGCAAAGGTGTATTTCTTTGCTGCTGCTATCCGCCAATTAGCATCTTATCAATGAATAGATGTGTTTTGGTCATATCTGTCCCCTCTCTGGTCGCTGTATCCACGGGATTGGGCATGCCAGGTCATACAAATGAACATTTCTGATACAGTGGATTTCACTATTCCCTTATATTTCCACTAGTCACTGCTCCCCTTTCATTGGCTATTAGGAATAATGCATTCAAGGCCATTTTGCATTGGCTTGACTTTTCAGACCTGGAGGTTGCCGCCGGGTAGCAGCAGTGTGATTTAGTTATCGTGCATCGTTACGATCTGGACAGAACAAATAGCCCCGATATGTGATTCCACCACTCTGAAGGAAATGCACGGTCATGCCATGCGGGGTATTGTTTGAATATATTTCAAGCTAGGGGTGGGAATCTCTTGGCACCTCACGATTCGATTCGATTCCGATTCAGAGGTCAACGATTCGATTCTAAACCGATTATCGATTCTAAACTGATAAAACGATTATCGATTCATCTCGATTTTCTAAATTTTCTCAAATCTGAGTTTGCTACTCAGAGGTTGCTAATCACTTCCTACTTTATTTGATAATTAAAGAAAATCAACAGATGATTTACCTTCTCTCATTTTTTATAAGAGAAAAAAAAATCTTTGTCACAAATATGATTTTCTATCAACAATGCAAGAACCAATGCAGCTTGCATTTCAACACAATATTGAAGTAGCCTATGTAAAAAAAATATTAAACCGAGATAAACCGGCGCGGTTTTCATGTCAGTCATTTTCTCTCATTCATTGAGCCCTGTGTATTTATTGGGCTCCATTCATTCATCCCCCCGTCTAACAGTGGAAATCTATTGCCCAGGTACCTTTCATTGCTCTCCAGCAGAATTGCTCTATTTTTCAACCTTCAACTCACTCTGCTTTCTGGTCTGCTTTCCCTCCAAAATCATGAAAGCACATTTTTAATCCAATATCCATGTGCAGTTACTGAGATAACATACATGCAACAAGATCGAATATGTGTGATATGATTTAATCAAATACACACATGTTGGTTCAGATCTCCCTTCATCTTTTTTGTTGTTAGGGTTGTTGTTGTTGAGTATGGAAAAGTTGTATCTCACCACGTTTCAAAATCTCCTCTGTTGAGTCCGCGGATTTATGTTTGCGTCATATTTATTTTATTGCCTCTTTATCCAGCTTGACAGAGCACATATTTCACATAGCAGTCCTGCTTTGCTGCCTGTATCTCACAAGGGCCTTAAAACGAGCCTTCAGATTTGCTTTTGATGACACAAGAGGCTTCATTATCCGCTTTGATAAATCCATCGGTTTGACATGAGTGCACATATTATGACTTGGCTGCGCCTGCAGAAACTCAAATATAAATGTTGCTCCCGTATGTCTGCTCTTCATTGCTTCTGTTAATTCTTTGAACTTGTGCCGAGCAAAAAAGAAGAGATACACAATTTTGATACCGAATCCAGGACTTTCGAGGGTGGAGGCCGAATGACGTCGGTTCTTTTAACTTCTGATTCTCGTTCATTCAATCTTTTCCCAATTCTCCGTACTCGAGGCCGCACCTGGACGAGAAAGTGAGGCTACGTCATCCCTGCAGCTTGTTCAAGTCACAGTGACACAGAGGGATGACACAGAGCAAAGGCATAGGAGGGAAGGGGGGGCGTTACATTTTTGAAAGCGCGACAGAGACGACACTCCCTGCGGTATTTTTAATGCTAAGTGCAAAGCTGGCCAGGGCAAAACATGCGCGTCCTCAGCAGGACAAATGACGGCGCTTTCAAGGCTGGAGGTCGTAGGTGTTTCATTTTGTGTGGTTTGTGCGAAATGTTGTTAATAAATAACAAGTTAAAAGTTAATATGAAAGAGCTAACGTTGGGTGCCTATACCAGATTTGGGTATAATGTGAACGGTACCCGACATGGACAAAATAAATAAGAAGAGAGTAAAGAAAAAAGAGCCAAATTAATCCCCCCCTGGTCCGTGGTGTTTATACAACAAAACACAGACACACACACACACACAGCAAGCCAAAAATTGTCTCTTGTCTGGCGCCGTGTTATCTTCTTCGGAACTCCCATCCCTTCCAAGTCACCTTCAACGGTTAGTCACCGTCCTCCTCCCTGCCTCCCATCATTCTGCCTCCCTCCCTCCCTCCGTCCCTCCTCCTGCTGTCCACTTAACTTTATTACATTTGGACAGAAAGGAATTTATTGCCCAACTAAGGTCATTGCTCCACTAATGGAATGGCCAATTATGCCATAGATTCATTTAAACCTCGCAGAATATTCTTTGCACGCGTTCAAGTCTCTATTTCTAGACTCTCTGTTGTTTTATTTTGTCTGTGTCTTTCGAAGTGTCCTAACATGGGTGTTTCCGTGCGATTGGAACTTCCACGTCACATCACTTGGTTTCGGATCGGAAGCTAGAGGCACGCGATGTAATCTTGTGACGGAAGCCTGTATGCCAGGAGGCTTCTGTGTGGGCGGTCGCCAGGGTAAATAGGATCAAGGTGAAGGAGGAGGACGACGACTCTGTTGATGGAGAGCGTGATATGGGCAGCCTGTTGTTTTGACGTTAAGAGTCACGAGAAAAGCTGAGTGGATATTTAACATAAATGTTCATTTAGACTAACCGATGTATAATAAATGGCCCAGTTTTACTGTTATGTCTTGGCTCCAGCCCATTATCTGTATCATGCTTTTACGTAGAACGGCACAAATAAATAAAAAAAATCCTCATTCACACTTAGACTTCAAGTATTACCAGATGGTAGGTGCTTAAAATGAAATGAAGTCAATTATGAGTAAAAAGTAAAAGCAGAGTTTAATTACTGCTCTTCAAGAGACACTTTCAAGGAACGACATTTAGCATTGCTCTTAAAAATATATTTGCTCTATTCTAATAGCATACGGAACTCAGCCAGTACATATTAATCAAATGGTAAGCACCTGCTCTCTATTGAGCTGCTGTAAAACGTCCTCATCCCCGATGCATGATGTTTGGAGCCTTTAATAGGCGTCGTTTTCAGAACTGAACAGCTGTATTTGCGTTAAAAGAAATGATTCAAACTTTCTCTCACCGTGAGCACATACCAGTGCAGCATGTAAAAAGGCTAACTTCCTAATAACAGAGGTCCCTTATGCTGTCTAAAGATTCATGGCTGTTTTTGGGGAATTTGTCCAAGGTCAGCTTCTTCTGTTCTTACCCTTTCTTCATATTATATCTGAAAGCTTTTCATTTAAAAGCCCAAAGCGGATTACTTATTAAATCAATGGCTTTTATTTATGACAATCCAATACAAGCTGGTACTGTGTACCCACATGGGGAGCACAAAAGGCACTAAATGCGATTTAAGAAATAAGGCGCTGAAACAGATTTTGGCCCACTGGGTGCTCTGACTGCTTAATACTGAGGTATTGTGTGGGTTTTTTTTCTTTCTTGTTCTGCAGGTACTGAACAGTACAGTAAATATGCCGGCTATGCAGAGAGTTTCAAATGGAAGGACAGCCACAAGGATGAGACTGCCAGGTATTTTTTTTTGTCGTCAGTCAGAAGAAGTTTGACAAAACGTGCAGAATTTTCTGAAATGATTCTCCATTCCGTCGCTCTTTTTTTCAGGGACGACTGGCAGAGACGATGCACAGAGATTGTGGCCATCGATGCTCTTAGGTTCAGGCACTTCCTTGAGCAGTTTCTCCCCGAGAAGATGACCAGAGAACTCAACAAGGTGGGGGGGGGAGGCGTCATTATGAATCCCACTGCTATTAGTGGTCAAGACGCCTGCTGCGTAGCTTTTAGGAGCTGAGACCGAGCTGTGGGTGACAAATTAGATAATGCCGGACATTGTGCTGTTTTTGAGTAAAAGCAGCTTCTCTGCAGCCAGATACACAACGGGGGAAACAGTTGGCTTACCTGTCTTAATGTATTTATTTGGCGGCTAACCGCTAAAACAGAAGGACCGGTGCACACACTTAGCCACTGCTGAGGGCGCGGATAGCTTGGTGAATTTGTTTTTATACATATACGCTTGTTTTAGAGTTTAAATAAAGTATTTTTGTTAATGCTTTACAACTCCAGGGTTGTATTCTTTTAAATGAACATCTCGCCATTCTAGTTTTCTACTTTTTCATGTTGAGGGATCAGGCAAAACATTACTGTTACTGTGGCCGCTTCAAAGGCTGACTTCCGCCCCCACTTTAAACCATCCAAACTGAAAACAGCACTGCTTTATATAGAACATCTCAATACATCCTCCATAATTCTATAATACTGCGCAAAATAGATCATGGAAAAATATAATTCCCTTCCCTCCGACTCCTTGTGGATCTATCGCAGGCATACTGTGGATTCTTCAGAAACAACGCCAACAGCAAGCACCTCTCTGCAGTAGCCACCGGGAACTGGGGCTGTGGGGCCTTCGGCGGAGACACCCGGCTCAAAGGTATGTGATCCGGAGAGAGGAAAAGAAACGACTGAAATACAGTTTTATTGCACCGGAGAGCTGAACTGCTACTGTTGATATTGGTCAGGTGATAAAAGAAATTGCCTACATTTAAACATGAACTGGATTCGCAAGCGGCCGGTAACTACAAGTTGCTCGGATGGGTTCAGCCATTCGTCTCTCCCAATCTCCTTTGGCCAATTAGTAGCTCTCCCAGAGTGTCACTCGCCCGCCCCGTCCCTCCCTTTTTATAGATCAGCTGACGCACATTTATGTTTTCCATTAAAGGGGGAATTGATTGCAGGGAGGGGACACCATAAATCCACACTGATGCATTTCTCTGCTCGCTTACACAAGCCGGGGCCCCGTTCCCGTCTCCTCCTGTAAACCGCGCTGCAGATTTTCACCAGTTGTTTTTTTTTCCGGTCGATGTCTTTACACAACCGAATGAACTGTTATGTTGTTCGTACTCATCATTAACAGAGGCTGTGCTTTAGTAACACCCAAATCATCTTCTCATGGACGTCCTGCATTATTAATGCAACCGAGATTGGAATAGCACGGGTCATTTTTCGTGTGATTTAATTTAAAACTGAAGCCGTTAATTTCCTCTGCAGCACACAATGAATAGATACACTGGACTTGACAAAGTCCCTGAGGATGATATTAGCTTTCAGGGACCCCCCCTGCCCCCTTCAGCTACGAAATTAACCTAGCTGGTGTTTTCAGACTAATAACTGTACTTTACATTACTGTCCCGCCGTTGAACTGAGATGTCGTAGTTACATAAGCCTGAGCAGTTATGTTGTTGTTAAGATTATAGACCTTTTGCAAATGTTTGTTTTGCGTGTTTTAATCTGGAATCAATATCCATTATGTTAAATATTTAAAGGTGCCTCATTTGCGAGGGCTAAAAGATTGACTGCTGCTGATGAGGCGTTGCTACCGGGGTTGGATTATTTACTCTTCTGATACAAATTGCTGCCGTCACCCGTGTTTCCTTCTGCCACAGGCTCTACCATGTCCAGCTTATTGACCAATTGCCTCGTTTCCTCCGCTTCTTTTCAGCGGTCAATTACACATTTCTGATTGCGCTCTAAAACCGAAGGACGCTAATGATGCTAATATGGTAAACTGTTGCTGCCAGAATTCCCCCTGTAGCTTTCAACCTCTCCTCTTTTCAGCACTGATTCAGTTGATGGCTGCTGCAGAGGCCGGGAGAGACGTGGCATACTTCACGTTTGGCGACGCTCAGCTCATGAGGGATGTTCATGAAATACACACTTTCCTCACTGGGAGACAAGTCACCGTCGGTAAGAATCGCACACAGCAAACGGGTGTTTTCATACCAGCCGCTGCTCGGATGGAGGGGCCCGCGAGGCTCGCACGGCACACGGAGGATGTCCTTGCTGGCGTCGTTACAGTCTGTACAAATAGCTGAATGCAGTCCATCCCATTGTGGAGTTATTCCGCCTTATGGGCCATCTCCGTTCCTCAGCCGATCCATTCAGCCTTAGCCGCAGAGTGGATTACTGGCTGAACTGACCCCAGCCCTCCCCCCCACCCCCTCCCCTCTTTTCATTTTTCTCCCACTGACATTTATTGAAGCCTTTCAGAAGAAATTCCCCTCCAGCCATCCATTTCCTAAAGTGGCGCGACAGAGAAAAAGCTCATGACTGGCGTGTGCTTGATTTATAAATGAGTCCGAACGCTCTTTCATTTATCTTTCTTCTTGTCGGACAGCGTCTTTCTCCCTCGCTTGTACTTTGACTACCTGTATAACCTCATAGTCGGGTTTTATTTCTTCTCGTGTCCTCTCCACCATCCCCTCTCCCCCACGTTCTCTTGTCCTCTCTGTATCCTCACCTGTCTCCTCTTCTGCCTTGCAGGGAGGCTGTACTACCTTCTCAACCAGTACTCCAGTTCCATGTGCAAGAATTGCCGCACGACGCGACCCGACGTCAGTCTCTATAGTTTTATCTACGAGAGAGTCTCTTCCCCTGCGTCAGCCGACGGCCCCGACTCCGCTAAGGATTCTGGGATATCCCCTCCAACGTCGGACTCTCACTAGGACGGACTGAGCTGCAACTTAACTCAGCCGTGTGCTTACAATCATTTCCCCTGTTGCTCTCTCTCTCGCTCTCTCTCTCACACACGCTCCCTTTAAGTTTGGGATCCCAACACAAGATATCAAACATACATTTGGGCTTTCTCGTTGGCGGTTTCATATTGGAGGCTCGTAGTGTGACTCAACATGTGGTGAAGTGTTTCAGAGACTTATAGCAATAGTAAATCCTGGTTGCTGTTAGGCTTTTCTTTAATCTAAATGTGATGTGGAATCATTTTTGTTTTTACCCTAAATACAAATATTGCCAAATAATCATCACATGCATGGTTGTGGCCACTTCATGATTAATAATCCAGGACGTGATCATCATCCCTTGTTATATTGTCCTATATTGTGTTTGCTTCTTTTTCGGATGCGTTCGCCAAACCCAGGCGGTGGTGATGTTCCTGAAGACGACGAGACGCATTTGTTTATCACATATTCTACAAACATATGCTGCCTTTTACATCCCCTAGGATGTAGATGTTTAACTCACATATTGTCCTTATTTTAATGAGTCAAAACCAACTGTAATGTCACCGGTATGAGAATCGTGTCAGAGGAAATGGATGCATTTCTTTCATGCTTGATTTATATTCTGAGTAATTCAAACATTTTCAAATATATTCACTTTTAAGCAGAGTAGTGCTACTGTAATGTAAATACAAATAAATAATGGGGAATCAGATATAGTTGGACGCAGAATATTATTTTTGTTAATGGTTTTTACTAAACTTTTACTTTGGCAATATCCTGTTTTTTTTATTTTGATTTACAGTATTTTTTCTGATTGACAGTGTGGGTTCTATTTAATGGTGGGTTCATAAATAAAATTAAATGCTGTAAATGTCTTGCAAAGTTCTTTTTTTAGGGTGTATATTCTGAATCAAACGTTAAGATGGTAATTCTATGTTGAAATCAATATGATTTCCGGCTGAAGGATCATACAGTAAAAGCATGACATCGCCAAACTTCAGTGGACCAAGAATTGTGTCAAAAGGCTATTGTATGTTCAGTATGTCATGTATTTACATTAGGTTATTATTCATAAATAATATAGAAATGATTTCAGACTCATCTGAGAAAATGAATGTCTTATGTGTGCGCTTGCAGTCGTGCCTCGGCCATACATACTTGTCACGAATTTCACAAAATCAAATATGTTATTTAATCATATTGAAATGTGATTGATTTTTTGTGATAGCACGTGTGCAGAGGGCTTTCAGACTAATTTAATTTGGCCTCCAAACATGCTTTATTAGATGAACTACAGCTCCTAAATAACCTCATGACGTGGACTTGGACCATAAAGCGTGTGTAGGCTTGGTGAGGGTAAGTGAATTACACATTATCTTTGTGCCCAAATGAGCTACGGACTCGAAAAACAAAGTTGATCCAGTTCGGCAGGCCAGACTGGTGAGCCGGGGTCACCTGAACGTAAACTTCATTTAGGTTGCTGGTGCCGCCTGGATTTATTGACTGAAAGGGCCCGCGGGTGAATAACTAGTCAACGACAATGGTGACATATTTTAAGCAACATTTTCTGTCAACAAAAATAAAAAGGTTACAGAGAATGTTGTTTCATTTCCCGCTGGTCTAGTTTTGGCCTCTCTGCTGATGTCATTATTCTAAAACAGGATGTAATTTTAACGCGGCGCCTGCAATGTTACCCAGCGGCACAGGTTTTTTTCATCAATGAACACTATTAATAAAACGCCAGAAAGCAACTAGTCTTCACTCCATCTTTGTCAGGCGGCGAAATCACTGCAACAAAATGGCATTTCAGTTCATAATTGCTTGACCCCGTGTTGTCCAGGTCAACCAGAGACCAGCAGCCAAGAGAAATGCAAATAATAAAAAGGGGAGGACACACTGAGCATTAATGTGATTTCTTTTAGACTAAAGCATACAGGTTTGCTTTTATTCTTAAGCTACATATTTTATTTTTAAATGCCACATTTGGCTGTTGCTGAATGGAGAGAGTGACGCTATGATATTTAGACCTACACTGTTGTGTCTTCTAGATCCTCCTGTAACTCCCAGTTTCCAGGGTCGTGTTTGTGGTGATTGATAACGCTGTTCATTCTGTGCCAGTAAGTATGAATGATGAGAATAGGAGGAATGGCAGAGGCTGGAGAGAGGGAGGTTCAATTATCTTATTGTTTAACCCACTCAAGGTAGAAGCCCATCCATCTGAAACCACTTGCTCAAATCACTCATGTTCAGCCTTTATAAAAGTTTAATTGCATCACATAATTAACACTGAAGGGGCCAAGACATATGCGTGATGTAACTTAAAGGGACAAATGACCTGTCTGGATGAGAAGTGTGTGCGGGGACCCGTGGATTACGGTAAGTAGTCTGGTTATAACATGGGATTGTTAACACAAATAAATACATACAAACCAAACACACAATAATATATTAATTTAAAAAAGATAAAGATGTTGTGGTGCTGCATTAGCGAGGCACCTCGTGCACCTCTGGGGGGGGGGGAATCACCACCTGACACGCGGGGAAGGGGCGTGTTAAACCGCGCACGCGCTCGGATCTCTCACCTTCACCGGTACCTGTCCCGTTGACTTGATGCCAGTAAGACGCTAACGTAACGGTAATGTAACGTTAAAGTGTAACCGCTCTGCCCCCCCCCCCCCCCCCTCCCACGTGATACCGCGCGAAACGCAGAGACCGGGGGAGATTACGGGGATTTAAATTGACGTTGAGGGATTAGTGGTCGAGGGGAATTAGACGCAGGATGAAATAGGCCACGCGCGTGGCTCTGAATCCAGCACTGTAGCGTTGAAGAAGCGCGCGAAGCATCCCGCGGGAAAAGGTGAGAAAGTTGTTGTTGTTGGCGGCGGCGGCGGCGGATGCTGCGGAGGCGGAGGGTCGTGCTCCGGTTGACGTCCTTCTTTCGGCTGCCGATAAGTTTGCGCAGAAACAAAACTCGCAAGGCCGGTCGGTGGCCGCGTTTAGTCGCGTAGAACGTTACGAACGCGCTCGCGTTCGACCCGCGACAACGTAACCCCGTTAAGGTCATTTCATTCACGAGGCGCCACGGTCGTATAGTGCGAGAGGTCCATCTTCCTCCGTGCGTATAACCGACTTTAACGGCATGCGTGACATTCAGCAATATCTCTCCCCGGGGTTGTCAAACCCAGTATTGACATGAACTGCTCTCTCTCACTTCGCGCATCTCCAGCTATGAGTCAGCTTCGGGCCCTAGCGGCTGTGCTGAGGGGGGCCGGTGTCGGAGGGAGTCAGTGGCTGCCATGGTGTGGAGGAGGTGGACCGGCCAGGCGCTGGGTTGAACCCAGGAGAGGTTGCTCCTCCGCGGCGACCCACGGCTCCAGCTACGTGGAGCAGATGTACCTCGCCTGGCTGGAGGATCATAAAAGTGTCCACGAGGTGACAACAGAATGCAAACACGTGCCATGTTTTCTCACAGAGGATAAGAGATGGTGTGCAGTACCAGTTTGGACACACACTCATTGAATTGAATGAGGACATGTGTCCAAACTTTGACTATCACGACCTGCTATTGCCTGTGTTGGCCTTAAAGAGTGCACTTCCTGTCCAGCGTTTTCTCTGTCCCGTCATCCCGCCACGACCAAGCAGTCAGCCCTGCCGTCGTGGACCTGCTGGCCTCTGCTCCAAATCCGTCTTTCTGTGCGTTCTAGTCTTGGGACACATTCTTCCACAACATCCAGGCCTCCAGTCCGTCTGGCGAGGCGGGTGAGAGACGCCCCTCCGCTCTGCTGCAGGGCCGAGCGCTGTCCCACTCCGCAGACACGACACGCAAAGTGGTGGAGGACCACCTGGCCGTGCACAGCCTCATTAGAGCTTACCAGGTACTGCACACTCACCTGACCCAGCTGTGACGCCCCCCCCCCCCCCCCACCACACACACACACACACACGCACACACCAGATTCAGATTCAGCTTGTATAACGTACATTGATGCTATGTACAAATTAAAAGATTGATCCCAGATCTCATAGGCATTAAATAGTAATGCAGTGTCTGTGTACAGAATTAAGATGTCAATTACCTTGAGCCACAACCGCCTGACTATTTGTATCTCAGACGTGTGTGTGTGTATGTGTGTGTGTGTGTGTGTGAAAAATGCATCAAACAACATCCACTCGGCTTCCCTAAACAGATGCATCTGGCAGTGAAAGCTGTTTATACCATGTGTCCTTCCATTAAAAGGAATATACAATTTGTTTGTCGCTGCACGAGGTAATGCAAATTGCAGATTAACTAACCTACTTAACCTCGCTGCCTTTTGAAAACTGGAAATATCAAAGAGACTTCTTGAACAAAACAGGAGGTAACATTTCCCGCCGACCTCATATTAATTCGAAGAACTATCTGAGGGATTTATTAAATTCAATCTTTTGGCAATGGCATCCGTTTTATTCCCAGTTTGCTGCAGTCCTGGTGGGAATGTATGTGTGTGCACGTAAATAGACATAAAAGCACTCTCAAGGGGCTCCTTTCTCACGGAGGCTAAACTATAGCCTCCGCTAAACTATAACTGAGTGATTCTCCAGCTGTTCACACTCGGCATCATGATGGCAGCCCCTTGTTGAATCTTATACTTCTTCCCGTCTCTTTTCCTTACCTGATTCTACTCGCCTTTCCTCTATCTTCTCTCTCTCTGTGTAGATTCGCGGTCACCATGTTGCCCAGTTAGACCCTCTGGGAATCCTGGAGGCTGACCTGGACTCTTTTGTTCCCTCTGACCTGATCACCACTATCGATAAATTAGGTGAGGCCCACAACACCAATCATGGAGAATTTTTTTCTTGGATTATCTTTTCTAGTTTTCTTTTAACCGTAGGCTCCACGAAACATTCATAGAAGAGGCTGTATCATTTCAAAAATACACAACACAAGGAAATATTTATTTTGTGCATAACAGGTCCAGGCTAAGACTATTTTCTGTTTTTGACTTTGTGTGGATTTTGCATAGATGTCTCTATCTTATATCCCATTCCTAACTAAAGGCATATGGAGGTAAGCCACAGGCAGTGGATATGCTAATTACACTCCTACTAACGAAGTACTCCCTTCTTACTACCTCGGGATACTTGTTGTGTGATTTAAATCTTTCCTCCGACTTAATTACCATGTCATTTCTTTATCCCATTGAGGGTTTGTAGAGGACATGGATGTGCTTCTATGAACACATTATGCACACCCAGGGTTGCAGAACTCATTGTCAGACTCTGGAGCGTAAGTGATATTTCAGTGTAGTTTGCCCCATCGCGTCTCACCGCCGAGTGTGTATACGGGCTGGTCAGCCTAATGCTGCCATCAATCTCAGGCCGCGCTCTTGTTATTCTCCTTTTCATTTAGCGCAGTGAGGATCGGTGGACGTGGGACGCCCACTGACAGCAATCCAAGTCTACAGTAATAGAGGAGAGAGAGAGAGAGAGAGAGATTGTTTCTGTTGGTTATCAGGGATCATTGTGTGTCAGGGCATAGCGCTGCATTATGTATTGTTACCAGTTCTATAGCTCCCTAATGAAAGCTAATGGCCTCCGTGGACCCTTATTTGGTCAGCCGCTAGTACAAGAGTCTATTCTTGGCCCCCTCTGTCTTTTCCTAATATGATTTGCACTTGTCTCCTCGCATGTTTGCTGGCATTGTTGAGCTTGAGCAGCTCTCTCAGGTGGGTCCTCTGATCCAGGTTGCTGTGTCTCCACAGGTCCAGCTGTTGTACTGTCAATGAACACATCCTGGAAGTTGTTTTTATTTTATAACTCAAGATTTGTTTTTGACAGTTGTTGCCATCAGAAACAAATTTACTTTGATCAAAATCTAAGTTAATTCACTGCAACATTTGAAGGGGGCATAACTGTCCTATTCTTTATTTTTTTTTAAGTAATTAGGCAACCCTTTAAATAGGATTGCAGTCAGTTAAGGTCGCAGGTAATAATTATATTTATGATCAAAAACATATCAACCAACAGTCCGAAACCTCAAAATGTTACATTTATAATGTTGTAAAACCAACCAAACAGAAAACCCTCACTTTTGAAAGGCAGGACACAATGTTTGTTTCAGTACTGGTCACACTATTTAGTCATCGAGGAACTTCACAGAGATCTTCACAGTAGAAGTATGTTATGATTCCAGGTCATGAACTAGCAGGCGTTCTGGGTGTTTCTTTGGATGTTCATTAGAATAGTGCTCTTTGTAAACTGGCAGCTCTCCTTCTCTACAGTGTTGTACGGCACAAAAGCATGACAGCAGTTGATACAAACCCATTTTTGACTTGGGGAGTATTATTGGCATGACTCGGAATAAGTGTCGTCTCCTCTTAACGCAAACCTGTGTTTGACATGATGTCACCATAGGGTTCTACGGTCTCAGTGCGTCTGACTTGGACAGAAGCTTTCAACTTCCCCCCACCACTTTCATCGGAGGAGGAGACAACCCTCTTCCTCTTAAAGAGATCGTACGCAGACTAGAGGTATTTTATTGATCTAGTAAAGATGGGGGGGGGGGGGGCATAAAACTGTGCCATGCAATTTGCTCTCTTCTTCTTCAGATATCCTACTGCGGTCACATAGGAGTTGAATTCATGTTCATTAACAATGTGGACCAATGTCAGTGGATTCGTCAGAAAATTGAGACCCCGGGAATAATGCAGTTCAGCAATGCAGAGAAGAGGACTTTGCTAGCCCGCCTGATCAGATCCACGCGGTGAGACGCGAACAAGCGTCTGCTGACTTACGCTTTAATGACACCACCATACCTCACTTACCGCTCACATCAGAGACTCGCATAACAATAACACAACTCTTGCACATGCATATATTTAGAGAGATAAACACCCTGTTCTTCATGTGAGCTAATTTGTATCTTTGATAAATGATCTCAGCAGTCACTGGAGTTTCCTTTAAGTGATCTGTCTATTGTTAATGTGCAATCACTTCTTATTGTATTTCTGCTTGTAGTATGCTGGTGCAGGATTATCATTTCTATTAACATACGCACGCACTCATGTTCTGAAATACAGAAGATCAATGAGTACAGGTCCTTTAAACCATTGTAGTTTTGTTCCAATAATTATTTTCTGAACAGAGCAGTATCCTTCACAAATCCATGAACTATACATCGGAACATTTTTTATGTCCAGGTTTGAGGACTTCCTGGCCAGAAAGTGGTCATCTGAGAAACGTTTTGGTTTGGAGGGCTGTGAGGTGCTCATCCCTGCCCTTAAAACCATGATTGACACATCGAGCGCTGCCGGAATCGACAACGTGATCATGGGGATGCCTCACCGGTACAAAAGATTTCCTCACATCTTCTCTCAATCTGTGCACGCGGCTGAGTTTTGTCTTTCCACATTTGATACAGAGGTCGACTGAATGTTTTGGCCAACGTGATCCGTAAGGACCTGGATCAGATCTTCTGTCAGTTTGACTCCAAGTTAGAGGCTGCTGATGAGGTGAGGGGAACCAGTGTGGAAGAGTATCAAACGAAAGCATGCTGGAGATGCTTTATGTCATAACCTCCTCTACACCTTTTAGGGGTCGGGTGACGTTAAATACCACCTCGGGCTGTACCACGAGAGGATCAACCGTGAGACCGACAAGAACATCACTCTGTCACTCATGGCGAACCCCTCGCACCTGGAGGCAGTGGATCCCGTGGTTCAGGGCAAGGCCAAAGCTGAGCAGTTCTACAGAGGAGACACTCAGGGCAAGAAGGTAACACTCGTACTAAATACACGGTGCCTTGTTTAAAGTCTGGTGCTGTAAATGTAGATTTCCAGGAGGGGTTTCCGTTGTGCTACTCTGTTTCGTTAAGTGTATGATGGAATTTTTACAGGTGATGTGCATCTCTATTCATGGCGACGCTGCTTTTGCTGGACAAGGAGTTGTGTATGAGACTTTCCACCTGAGTGAGCTCCCCTCCTACACCACACATGGTACAATCCATGTGGTGGTCAACAACCAGGTGATGGGGTGTTTGGTGTCGTGGGAGCCAACAAATGTAATAATTTCCAGAATGCATTTTATAATGTACTGACTAGTGATGGCAGTAATTTATTATTAATTATATCACTATTACTAATAGAGCTTTATTACTTCTTGAATAATCAGAGCTCCATAATATTATTATTTAAAGGAATTATTCCAAAGATTCTCTGGAATAACTGACTGAATAACTAAAGGTTCTGTTAAATGTTTTCTTTCCCACATCTTAAGATATTTTAATTAGTCATACCACATAAGCATATTTTGTACTGAACATTATATCAATAAATTAGCATGTTATACTTTAATGATTTCACATTTGGCATGTCGCCTGTCAGATTGGCTTCACCACAGACCCTCGAGTGGCCCGCTCCTCGCCCTACCCCACCGACGTGGCCCGGGTTGTCAACGCGCCCATCTTCCATGTGAATGCCGACGACCCCGAGGCCGTCATGTACGTTTGTCGGTTGGCTGCAGAGTGGAGGAGCACCTTCAACAAGGACGTGGTCGTTGACCTGGTTAGTCAAAGGCAAAGAGTCTTAATGGACTTTCGTATAAACACACTTCTAAGTGCACAGTTAGACATTCCTGCTTGCGTATTTACAGGTGTGTTACAGACGGTTCGGCCATAACGAGATGGACGAGCCCATGTTTACCCAGCCGCTCATGTACAAACAGATCCGCCGGCAGCAGCGTGTTCTGAGAAAGTACTCCGACAGGCTCATTGCGGAGGGAGTGGTGACACTGCAGGAATTTGAGGTTTGTGATCTAATGCTGTTTGCGCTTGGTGAATATGCTGTTTACTGGTAGCCGTTACTATTTAATTTGGCCTCCCAATACGCAGGACTAAATGCATTAAATCACGCTTAGATATTACCCGAGCCTTCCAGTAAATATGTTGCACCAGCACGGCTGCAATTGAGTTTCAATTTACTGCCTCAGTTCAATCACCTAGCAACGCAATCCCTCACATAGAGAATATATTGCTCAATGAAGTTGAAATACACCTCAGATTCTTGTTCCCGTCAATGGAATTGCTCAGGCTCTTCATCCAAAACAGAGACTTTGATCGTAACATCCATTCTGAACAATTCTTCTGGATGCTGATGTCAGAGGAAAAACTTCCTGGCTTTTGATGGACATTGTTTTCGGTTGTGTGGGCTGCTATTACCTAAAATATAGCCAAGCAGAACCATTACTGGCGGTGGAGACCGCTCTCCTCCTCTGATATTTATTTACCTCTCTTTTTCTTTTTCTCTCTGTCACATTTAGCCCTTTAATTGCATCAGTTAATATGTGCTGTTTGACATCGGTTGCAGGAAGAAGTTGCCAAATATGACAAGATATGTGAGGAGGCGTACAAAAGCTCCAAGGATGAAAAGATCTCACAGATTCGACACTGGCTTGACTCCCCGTGGCCAGGTAAATTGTTCCTTTGCAGTACAGTAATTCAAGCTGCAGAGAAAACAAATCTTTGGGTTGACTCCCTTTTCTGTGGATACTCTCTGTCCCTCCCTCTCTTTCTCTTTGCGTAGATTTCTTCACAGCTGAGGGAGAACCCAGGAGCATGAACTGTGTCCCCACAGGACTGAATGAGGAAGTCCTGCAGCACATCGGCCAGGCAGCCAGCTCGGTGCCTCTGGAAGACTTTAAAGTCCATCCTGGTTAGTTTAGTAGCTCTTTGCTGGAGGAACGAGCAGACGGATAATAGTAGTCCTACTAATATGCTGCACAAGAAATCAATCTACATATTGACAGTAGAGCACAGATAACTGCAGGTTACGAGATACGTGCTGCTGAATGATCAAGATCCTAAAAACCCTTAAACCTCAGTGCCACAATCACTTCGTTTGCCGTTCACCCATAAACACCTTTCCTAACAGCAGGTGTTTAGGCTGCACACGTGATTTGGTGCACGCTACATTGAGACTTTATGTATTTATTTATTTACGACACAGTGCGTCACTCCGTTGCGCTTCACACTCACTTCTCCAGTGCTCTGCTAAGAAATCACGTGGTTATATTTTTTTGTTCACGTGTCTGTCTCTGTGTGTGTGTTTGCGTGTCGTCCAGGTGTGTCTCGCATCCTGCGTGGCCGAGCTGAACTGGTGAAGAGTCGACAGATGGACTGGGCTCTGGGAGAGTACATGGCCTTCGGTTCCCTGCTCAAAGATGGCGTTCATGTACGACTCAGTGGTCAGGATGTAGAGCGAGGCACCTTTAGGTGAGTCCGTGGCAACACAAATAAAGACTCAATTTTGCCTCTACGAGGATCTATGTGAATCTTTTTTTTTTTTAAACGTCTTTGCCTTCTTGAGTCAATTGTATTATAGTGGTACACTTGTGGAAGGCCCACTCATAGTGCCCCCACATAGTGATACTTCACAAGTGAAGTGAATTAACAAAGTATTTAATATTTTACCCTCTTCGTTTTTCTGACTTGATTTTCTGACTGCTCTTTTAAAATTAGCCAATGGATGGAATTTAACCACATCGTAATTTTGAATCTGACCTTTGGTGCGTGTCCCATCGCCCCCCCCCCCCACCCCCCTCTTCTCCCCCATGTTTCACCATGTCGTCTTTCAAATATAGGCGAAAAAATAAAAATAATAATTTTTAAAAAGAACAAAATAATTGCCAAAATGTTTTAAAAGGTGTGGTTCACCCATACAAAGTTTTGTATTCTATGTACTACTCTTAAAAATAAATAATAATGATGATAATGATTTGAACTAAGCACCCAGCCTAACAATGACTTGAATTGATATTTCCCCAAATGTAGTGTTTTGAAATATAATTGCCTCATTTGTTGAATCTGTCGTGGTCATCTTGCCTGACCGGACGTTAAGGGTAAAGAACAGTCACCTAAAAATAGTAAATGAAGTAATTGGTGTGTGTGTGTGGGGGGGGGGGGGGGCTGAAAGAAGTCAGCTCAGTCTCCTGGGAACTGTGAATCCCGAGTGGTGTTGTCATGGTTTGGAGGAACGAGTGACACATGAACAAAACCAGCTCCCCCTTTTACTGTGCCTGTCTCATCTGTCCCCTGTCATTTCTCCTCCAGCTCATCTTCACTGAAACTCCCCCCTCAACCACCCGCCTCTTCCCCTCCACCTCTCTACTCACAGCAACATACATCACACTAACTAACCACAGGCTGAGGGGCTTTTTCTCCAGCCTTGCATTTACCCCTGACATGTACTTCTTCCGCTCCGCTTTCCCCTCCAGCAGGGTAGTTTGCAAGGGCGACAAAAATGACAGCAGTCAAAGACGCCACGCTTCAATCCCCCGCGTCACCTGTTGTTCATCTAAGTCCTCTTCCGTCTCAGTTGAGTGTCCACGTCGTGTTGTGTGTTTTTATTTCTCATTGTACTTCAGCCATACTTTACCACCTCTTACTGCCTTTTTCCCTTCCCACCTTCCTCCTTCCTTCCTTTCACAGTGCTTAGGAGCCGAGCATATCGGCATGTTGCAGTCGAGTGGGTCTGTTTGCGTTCCTGTGATGTACGTAGCGGCGTGCACTAATGCATCCTGTCGTCGTGTTTGCTTGGATTGCGTGCGCCGCGCACCCCTTTTCCTGACTAATGGCAGAACCCCCCCCGTGCGTTTTTGCGTTTACGAGGCAATCCCAGAGAAAGACCTCATTCTCAGGAGGTTTTTGGTTGCTCTTTGGATTGAGGGCAGGTGGTTGAGAAAATGAAACGTGAAATGTTGTGTGTCACCTCAATTAATGCTGAACAGAAAGTCTACATACAAATATGGATCAATGATCAAACAAAACCTTTATGCAGTGTATTATATGCCTTCATTAGTCTCTAATTATGGATGATGTTATTCAGAAGACTCAAATCATGATTATCTAGTCTGCAAGGTGGTCATTTATCATATTCAAGATAATAATCAATATATTTTGGTTATTTCCTGCAGTTCTTCCGCCTGGCCCTTACATAACCTTTTACACTGTGTGTGTGTGTGGATGTGTGTGTGTGGATGTCATTAAAGTGATGTTAAAGGGGTGTAAGTGATTGTCTGATCGTGCTGGTTTTGAAGGCTGATTCTTGCACTGGGAACAAGCGGACTGCTAGAGTTTGTTAATGCTTGGTTCTTTGCTCCCATCAACTCCTGTTAGGCCTCCTGCTGACTGAAGACGAGGAGAGAGGAGGGCACTCTTCACGGAGCGCCGTTATGTGCAGCGTGTTTTATGTGTGCGAGGTCCTTCTACTATGTCTGCCCAGTGGTCTTGGCCATTGTCATTTAAGAGTCCTGCAAATCGGTTGTGGTAATATCGGCCAGCTTTATTATAAACAACTAAACAATTTTTTCCTTTTGTAGACAAAAACATTTCTAAATGTTTGGTAGAAAGAAACATAATTAAATCCATCCATCGAATGCTACCACACTTGGTAAACTCTTTAAACATAATAACCGCTGACGGTCAGCATGTTAGCATTTGTATTGTGAGCACGTTAGCTCGAGCCACGGCTGTGACGAACTACGAGCTCGCGGTGCCTGAAGCAAGGCTGCAGTCCCGTTTCTCAATGTCTGTTTGAGTCCTTTCTGTTTCTGCCTCTCTCTGATGTTCTGCAGTCACCGTCATCACGTTCTGCATGACCAAGGGGTGGACAAACGGATGTGTGTTCCCATGAATCACCTGTGGGCCAACCAAGCTCCTTACACTGTCTGCAACAGCTCGCTGTCAGAGTACGGCGTGCTGGGTGAGTCACACAGCATGCTTTAGGTCAAAAGTCTTTTTTTTTCTCCGGTGGCTCTGTATGATCAGGAATCAGGAAACATTTATTGCCATGATATGTCAGACATACAAGGAATTTGACTACGATGATGCCTGTGCCTCCAGGTTTTGAGCTTGGCTTTGCCATGGCGAGTCCAAATGCTCTGATCCTCTGGGAGGCCCAGTTTGGAGACTTTCACAACACAGCCCAGTGTATCATTGACCAGTTCATCAGCCCGGGCCAGGCCAAGTGGGTCCGCCACAATGGTATAGTCCTCCTGCTGCCACATGGTATGGAAGGAATGGTGAGAAGGGGGGAAACAAAGCAGTCTACGTAATGTAAATCTGCAGTATTTATAGATGAATGTGGATATTTCTTTTGTTTAGAGCTATTCCTCTTACGTTTTGTGTCACACACTCTTCTTCTGCACTCAGGGCCCAGAACATTCATCCGCCCGACCTGAACGTTTCCTACAGATGAGCAAAGATGATCCCGATCACTTCCCTGTATGTACACATGTACAATTTATGTTACGGCTCTGATGGTTAACAATCATTACCCAATGCAAACACTCAGTCACCACACAGTGTGCTGCAGATAATATCCAATAGCTTCCTGTTTTAATGGCTCTGCTGATGTGATGACCACTTAAGTGATGAGAGCTGAAAAGTATCTTCATTATGGCCTCCAAGGAGTTGGTGCTCAGCAGTAACTCAGGTCCCAAGGGTGCTCTGGTGTGAGAGAACGTTCAAGGAGGGAACCGCAGCGGGCTGCATCAGCAGAACCTCACCAGATTCATCATCAGATTGAGTATTGATCAAACTATTAGTGGGAGCACAAAGGGATTATCGTTATCTGTAGCTTGTGTGTGCGCGAGAGAGAGATATACACATTACACCGATGCACTCATCCGCTGCATCTCCTGCCAAATTATGATTAAAAAAAAGCAGAGCTGCAACCAACACAAACTATGTAATTTATGAGCTCTGAAGTTACATTTCTGTTTTCAGAATCAATAACCTTTAGGATGTTGTTTTTTATTTTTTTTGAGGAGTTCAATGGAGATTTTGAGGTCCAGCAGCTGTATGACTGTAACTGGATTGTGGTGAACTGCTCAAATCCTGCAAATTACTGTCATGTGCTCAGACGGCAGATTCTTCTACCATTCAGAAAACCGGTAAAGTGTAACATCACCTTCACTGTATTCTATATGTGTCTTACTCTGCCCCGGTTTGCGCTTCTTTTGTAATAATTGATTTCAATTTAGTAAATTCAGCATAGATTACGTTGAAGACTCACACATCCTATAAGCCTACTACCATGAAACATCCAGATGGTCACTTGACAATTCTATACACCAGCAAGTCGCTGATGTATAGAAGAAAATTCCTTTTTTCAATTGCTGATGTATTCAAATATTCAGTTGTTGTATTTACCTACGAGGGGTTCACGTCTGCTATTGAAAGCAGAAAGTATATGTTATTATACAATTCTATATATTTTTTAAAAGATGGAGAACCTTTGATAATAATAATCTACTCATTTATGTACAGTACAAACGTGCATCGTTATGTCATTTTAACCTCTAAACTGGAGCCAGTTTGGGTGTGAAGATTTTTGATGTAAAGCAGTTCCCCATTCCGTAATGCACAGCTCTTTCCTTCAGTCCCTCAGTTTTCAGCCGCAGGGAAAGTCTTAACGGATCCCCTGTTGAACATAAATGCAATGCTTTGCGAAGCATGAGAAAATGACTTCCTGAGCAAATTAGCGAGGGAGCCAATTGGGGATAATGTTTGTTTGAAAAACTCTGGGCTCGGTTGACTGATCACAAAGTGTTTTATTTACTTGATTGTTAAAGAAAGGTTTGGTTTTCCCCAAGCTGATATCTCGTGTATATTTTTGCAGTAAATTAGCGTGAAAAGATATTAAAACTTTTTCTCTCTTGAGTTTTTGAAAGCGCGCAAAAAAAGATACGGATGATGGAATCAATCTGTTGCTTGTCACTGTCAAATACTTTTCCTTTTTTTCCCCCCACAGCTGATCATTTTTACTCCAAAGTCTCTGCTGAGGCATCCGGATGCAAGGTCCAGTTTTGACGAGCTTGCTGACGGTGGAGTTTTATTTTGTCTCAGTAACTCGTGGCGTAAAATAACAATAAATGTCGGCAGACCTGATTGGTGTAACATCATATTTGATGTCTGCAGGCACTAAATTCAAAAGGGTGATTCCAGACGAGGGCCTCGCGACTCAAAACCCGGATCAAGTGAAGAGGGTGATTTTCTGCACCGGCAAAGTCTACTATGAACTGGCTCGAGAGAGGAGACAGCACAAACTGGAGAGAGACATTGCCATCATCAGACTTGAACAGGTTTTTTCTTTTTAATCCGCCAGCCACATGTTCCATGCACAGGACTTAGAAATTGCAGTCATACAATGTCATGATTTTCTTCTCCTGCGTGTTCTTGAAACTCCACCCGCAGATCTCTCCTTTCCCGTTCGACCTGGTCAGAGCGGAGGTGGAGAAATACACCAACGCTGAGCTGGTCTGGTGTCAGGAGGAGCACAAGAACATGGGTTACTATGATTACGTCCGACCACGTTTACTCACTGTGGTGGCCGACAGAAAGCCAGTTTGGTGAGGCTTCATGTTTACCCGTCGCATGATTTGTTCAGCTGGTATAATTTATTTAGAGAAATCAGGTGACGAACCCTCAATGTTTTATCTCAGGTATGTGGGACGGGACCCTGCAGCTGCTCCTGCGACAGGCAGCAAGTTCACCCACCTCAATGAGCTGAAGAGGTTCATGGACACAGCGTTCGACCTGCGTGCCTTCCACGGGAATGACGCGTAACTCAGATCCGGAGCACGAAACAGACCGGAGGGGCACTTTGACCTCCAACCATTACTATCTATTTATTTTGTGTTTTTAGTAAATATAGTTTCAACAAGTAATGATTTTATGTGAAAAAGACCATTTATTTATGCCTGGATCAGACGGCACAACATTTATGTTCATTTAAATGCTCTTTATGTCAGATTTAGGAAGCCATCATTGCTCAAACCGATTAATAATAGCTCGCACTCTTTCGCGACCTGAAAGAACTACGATATGAAAAGCATTGTGAAGCAGAACTAGAGGAGACAAACAAACGCACAAGTCTTCCCAGAGGCCTCGCTAGTGTCCCAACACAGTGACAGTGACTCTCAGTTTAGAAAAGGAACGCTCCCGCCTCATCTGTGGGATCAAGGACATTTACAGGCCGATTACATGAGGTCTGATCTGCCCTTTATTCAATAATCACCACGTCTGCAGGGCCCTTGTAACAGACTTAGTACAATGTGTGTGTGTGTGTGTGTGTGTGTGTGTGTGTGTGTGTGTGCGCCACAAAGTGTCGTCTAAAGAGAAAAAGACACAAAGACTAAACTGTGCCACAACACCTTCATTTCGAAATACAACTGAATATCACACAAACAGCAAATCAAAGTTGCATGATTGTCACCCAGTTGGTGAAGTAGCAACAATAGCCTCTTTCCACCCTGCAAAGTGTAGATTTGTGACAATTAGGGTTATTGGAGGAGCTTTAGTGCTGTAGACACCTCCGTTGCTGTTGTGCTAAATGCTAGTATGCAATAGTAGTTTGTATTTGTGTAGCTCTTTGTAGATGAGTACCAGAAGCAATGAGAGCCACGCAAAACACCAACTGGTGTAATTAAAGTATCAATGTAAGATACATATCACTAGGTATGAAGACTGTTTTGAAATGTATCACATCAGTGGGTTTAGAGTGTATTTACTCTGGCTACCTTAGCTGTAAGTGAAGGAGTGAGTATTTATCGTCACACCTCAGTTCACCAGGAGACGTGAGCCAGCTGGCGAAGCAACTTGCAGCCGCGTTTTCCATTTGGGACATAAGGCTCAGTTTCCTCTTTGGAGTGTGAGGAATGCGCACACATAGATACAAGGACGCTCTGGATGCTTTCAGAGCAACATTGACGCTTGGTTGTCACATTAAAATCCCGAGGTATAGATATTAGCACCACTGTGCTTAGAAATCTTATGCTTCCTGTTCAGCTTTACTGTAATTTGCCTTTTTCACTTTTAGCTGTGAGATTTAACCATAAGCCACAGACTGATGCAATTTCACATATCTTAATTATTTTAGGGAAGAATAATGTGTTGGTTATTTTTTAAGAAAATATGTCCACATATTGTTGTGAGCAGAGATATGCAAGTGAAGAGATATGCAATGAAATATGCAATAAAATATATTTACTTTTAATAACATGCTGTTTGTGATTATTGGTTGCAGATGATGCATCGCTGAAATCAGCGGCATCAAGTAAGTTATGTACTCTGTCGCCTCCAACGTTGTCATTTGGTAAAGTGAACACATGGACTACATGTGGCGTCCCACAAAATCAACACGTAAACATATGATGGTATTGTGTAACTAAGTTGTTTGTGTGTCAGTTAGTTCGCAATAAAATACATTAGAAATAATCAAATAAACAAAAGCCCGGGATATGCGACACATGCCCCCCTCTAAAAAAGGTCGGTCCACAAATAATACAGTGATGACGATAATGATGGTAGTGAAACCCAAATCTATATCAGCCCACCTGAATTCATGCAGCAAGACAAATGTTGATAAAAATATATTATGAATATATATATATATATATATATATATTCATAATATATTTTGTATATATATATATATATATATATACATACATATATTTCACATAATATGAGCGTCTAAATACGTCGCGTTTTTTAATCTTTTAATTTTCAACAGTACTAGATACAATTGTACAGTCATTAACACAGTGATCACCTCTGGTTGGTAAGTCATATACTGTACTTACTTTTTAAACATACATCTAAATTGTATAACATTAAATTATGTGATACAAAAATAAATAACTTAATATATTATTTTTGTAAATTTACAAATAAACAATTTTCTCAAACAACAATTCTTCATAAGCTAAACAGTATTCCTCTAAAATCTTGATCGGTTGCCTTTTTCGAACACCCCAAAGATCCTTTTTGTTAAATATGTGTGGAATTATTAGCATGTGTACTCTACATTATACACAATACATAGACACAAATGGAGACTGTATAGAAGATTCTAGTGTAAACAAGTTACCGTAATCTCCAGACAATCATTAGATAGCAGCATGCTGTTGCTAGTTGATGTATTGTGAGATAATCAGTCATTTATCAGAACTCAAAAAACTTGCTCAACAACAAATTATAAATGTACTTATTTCATTGCCTGATTCATCTCAATTAAGTGCAAAACAACAATCAAGGCTTGATTCATTTTAACCTTCACATTCTGACATACATGTTTGAATCACTGCTGTATGTTGGATTAATAACCAGTTCACCTCAACTATTCTCTAAGAACAAGTAAATGATATCATCAGTGCGTCGTACATTTTACATTATACAACAACCAGTTTTACGTAATAGTTTGCATCACAGTTACAGTGCATAATCTGTGAGGAATACATTGTGACAGCACAAAGACCCACTCGATGTCACATCCCCACTTTTTTCAGCGACCCTGACGGTTTCTTCTTATTTTCGTTCTTTGGAATCTCCGTCGGATTCCTCTGATGAAGTCTGGGTCTGGGCCTCCGCTTTAGTCTGGCCCGGGGTCGTCAGCAGAACTTGCGGCGGTGTTTGCCGATTCTTGGTCAGGTCAGTTGGTCTCGCAGGGGGTTTGCTTTGCCACTTTGTGTCTGTCTGCGTGTGGCGCTCCAGTTTCTGGCCCTGTCTTTGCTCCGTTGGATTGGAGCCGCGGTTACATTTATTGCAGAGATCCCTCATGTCCAGGAGTCCCTGCACCAGAATCTTGACAAATTCTGCGGAACATGTCTGCGAGCTCTCGTGGAAACTGGACACGGAGAAGATAATGTGGTCCGACTGGGGGTTGTAGCACGCTCCATATCCGTTTGGAACCACCGGCCCGTAGCTGCAGAACATCTCAACCGTAGTAGGAACCTGAGGGAAGAGCGAATCCATCAGTACTTAAGCACTAGTTTAACTAGTGTGTAGGTGAAAAGGTTGAGATAACACAATTGGGATGGTTGTGTGTGTGTTGTCAAATCTGAAGTCCTCCTATTAATACCTGTTTAGTGTCACCTGCTTTGTGCCAAACAGAAACACTATAAACAAAGTGTGTGCTTGTTGTGCATATTAGTATCTCCCCAAAATGGTCTAAATACGGCACTTCCACCTTTCCGACTGTACACTTCTCATTTTTTTTTGTTCTCTGCTAAAGTTGTATTGCCCCAAGCGGTTGCGGTTTACCATCCTGTTCCCATTGTATTTGGTTCCCCTGTTGTTCCTGTAACGCTGGTATTAATTGTTCCTCTCCTCTTTCTGCCACGGACAAGCCCCTGAAAAACACTGGATTCTACTTTTCCCATCACGCAACTCTTTCATTGCTCTTAGACGCCACATAGAAATAGAATGGGAGTAGAAAGAACATTGCACTGTGGGAATTTCATAAATGTTTTGTTGACAAGAAACATCAAGTGTAGATGTATTAAGATCCAGCGCTGCCCCTGGCCAAAAGTCCGCTGCACGGTCCCCTTTCTGGCGCCAGTGTAACATGAAAGCATGATGCAATTAGCAAACTTTCCGCTAGTTAGCTCGCCAGTTTGTTAAGTCGCTAAGTCGTTAATTATCTGACAATGTGCTTTCCTAAGCTGTAACAAGAGTGTGTGAATGAAGCATTATGTGATATTTTACGCAATGACTATGCTTTGAAACATTACAAGTCCTCACCACAAGGTTGGTGGTTCGATTCCAGGCTGCCCCATGTTCCATGTCGAAGTGTCCCTGAGCAAGACACCTAACCCCTAATTGCTCCCCAGGCAAAAATGTGAAAAGCCATGGGTTTAAAGTGTAATGTAAGTCGCTTTGGATAAAAGCGTCTGCTAAATGACATGTAATGTAAATGTAATGCATAATATCACCTCAGTGTGCAACGTCCTATAAATCGGTTTAGTTCAGACGTAATTTTTTAATAACGGATAACTTCACCGTGTTTTAAGGATATTGGGATTTTGTGATCTAATCATTAATCTCCATCTTCTAGCTAAATTTTCCTGTTTAAATGTTATGTCTCAAGCACAAGACAATAAAAAAGACTGATGACACAGACGGCAAAAGGCAACTGTTAAAAATCAGGGGCTGTTTCTGATTAAGTATAGCTTCAGTCGAATATTTTAATATCAGATAACAATACCTGACTTGTAGAGAGAATGAAGTGATTACTGATGAGATGGGCTTCGTCTTTGAATATTTCTGGCTTCTCCATCTTCAGCTCATGTGCAAGTTCACGTAGTCCCAGTATGTGATTGTCTATTGCCATTCCTGTAATAGCCTGAAAAAGAGAATTAATACATTTTTTATGATGTTTTCTTTGTCAAATAAAGTCAACGTTTTGATAGAAACCTGTCTGAGGTTGGAGAATAATCACCAGAATAGTATACTTTGTTTGCGCGGATATGGCACTTTGTAACATCTCCATCTTCTCCGCATCCTGGAGATACAAACAAATGAGATACAATTCATCGCTTATTAAGCTGCTCTAAACCAAGCAGAGTTGTCATGGTGGGCAGAATTAGGACATCATTTATTTATCATTTATTTTGGACGGTACAACATCTTACGTTTGTGCCCAGTTTCCCATCAGTCATCGCTCTGACGAAGGCCAGCGCTTCGGCTGTGGCCGAGCGGATGTTGTCGACCCGGCCCTGCTGAAAACGACGAATTGAAGCACTCTCGTAGGTTGACACCGGCCGGCCGTGACATCTGCAGAAACACGCACAGGCGAGGCCTTGTAGCTCGGTGTTGTGGGCCAATGCGACGTGAGAGAATCAGTCGTGTTTTAATCATCTCTTTCTCACCGGTAGTAAGCTAACTGAAGAGCAACCTGGATGTAGGCGTCAGGACTCATTTTCTGCTTCTTGATGAACTCTTTCCCGTAATCGTTGAACTTGTGGACATTCATGTCCAGATTGTTCACCTCTCTGATTGAATAAGGATACATCCTGTTACAGTGCAAGCCGAAAGGCATATATTCATGTTTTCGAGTCAGCCCACACCTCTGCAGTCTGTCAGCAGAAGAGGCGAGGAGTTTGTGAATGTCTGGAGTGCATTTCCAGCGGAGCCGGCGCGGTGCAGGCAGCTCGCTCACACTCGCAGCCCTGACCAGCTTTGATGGGCTGCCGATCCTGTGGTCACAGCAGAATCCTATATCAATTTGCGTGTTATTTTAAGATAGTCTTATTTGGATTTTCTGATCATATCACACAGCGGCTTCACACATCATTTCCTACATGTATTTGAGTAGATATTCTGTGCACTGCACGAGGACAATTCCTTCAAATGCTGAGTGTTCACACACAACTCCGCAGCAGCCGTCGGCCCCTACAACAAACTGACACAGTCATGCAGTTGTCAGTGGGATTTTGTGATTGAACCAAACTGCAATGCTTAGTTATCTGAGATTCAATTTCATTTGCAGTGAAGAACTCATTTAAAAAGGAAAACCACTTCATCAAAACATCATCAAAGTTCATGCGAATGACATCAGGCTTTTAATCCAATCGAGACGTCCACTCTCTATCAGGATTTCTTCCAATGTACTTTTAAAATTTGGCATTGGATTGGCTAATTACATTCACTGGCATCGTGAGATAGGAAAATGGATTTTCATCCTTAATTAAGTATATCCCTCATCCACCTGCATTCCTTGCCTCACGTCACTCTGGTTTTTGCTATTTAAAACATTAATTAAAAGTGTGCAACAATTTCAGGAGCCCAACATTAAGCGTAACACAAGCAGCTCACTGTGCACACTAACCTGCATCGGCTTGTCGTACCAGCGGTTGCCGCCGTTCTTGGCCGCTCCTCCGGCGTGCAGCATCAACGTGGCTCGCGTTGTGTCATTTAGTTCAAGCCCACTGGCGTCGTCCAGACAGACCAGACACAGGCAGCGCTCGATCATGTCCAGGGAGTCCCTGTTAGTAGACTCTACAGTGCATATACGGGAATATCTGTTGGAGCAAATAGACTTGGAACCAGCGAGGTGCAGCTGATTTAAGAGAGTCTCGTACCTCTCATCAGCACACTGCGAGACTCGGCCCACTCCGTCCTTCCATCTGAGGTGAGGAGGCCGATGGGTGGGAGACGCTCTTCTTTGCTGTCAGCCATGCGGGCGATCTTCTCCAGCTGAGTCAACAGGTCTCTCTCATTCAGTCGGCGGAAGTTGATCACCACATCAAGCACAAAGAACTGGACAGAGGTTCAGAATGGACAGATGTTTCAGAGTTCAGGGCTTATTTTAATATTAGGCAGGAATATATAATGCTGGCTGTAGCACACAAGAACTGTGTGTCTGTGACATCTGGTAGAATGTGCAAATTGAAGGAATTGACTTAAAAGACCATTCCTGTTTTATTACAATTAGTAACATAAAAAAAAAAAATTAGATAATTTGATCTATGACAACCTTGGATTTGTTTTTTCACTGACCTGGTTTTTACAAGCCACAATGATGTGTTCAGGTTCTGGCATCACGCTGCTCTCCTGGGCCACCAGTGTGTCTCTCTCGGGGCCCGGGAGGCGGTAGGAAGTGAAGAGCCGATAGTACTGCTCCATGCAAAGAGGAGTACCGGCCAGCTGACCCCGAGCATATTCCACAGGCAATGCATGTCTGAACACAGGCACGCAGTACGTTGCCAATAAACACAAACCATACATAACAAATCATTCTGTTGTGATTGAATATCTCATCTTCTCATTGTAAATTAACTTACGCATCAAGAAGAGTCTTGTATTCCAAAGCCCCAGAAATTAAGTGAGCAGCAAACCTGGGGAAGATAAACTTTAAAATGGTTAGATCCTTACAGCACACACACACACACACGCACACACACACACACACACACACACACACACACACACACACACACACACACGCACGCACGCACACACATGTTGTACTTGGTCTCTCTGAAATCCCTGCTAATATCTTATCTGTTTCTGTGTAGCTGTATAACTGTTAACAGCATATATGGAAATATATTTGGTTATGGAGCCGGCCTCAGATCAATACCACGTTAATCAAACCACAGCTTTCATTATCTGCTGACCTCTGCATCAGGAGTCCGGCCTCGAAATCTGCGCGGTGTTCTGGTTATCGGCCCTGGTTAATGAGTCGGTCTCATTTCTTTCATAGAAAAGAATGCAGCGTCTCGTACCTTAACGAGTCGATGGGAGCCTTGAAGTGCTGCTGTGGGAAGACCATCACGGGACTGGAGTTGATGGGCAGAGCCAGTCTGTTGTTCAGGTACATGTCCTTCAGCCAGTAGTCGTACACCTGCAGTCAGACGCAGAGTGATTGGTGATTAAAGGCTCTTTCTCAAAATAATAGTGATCTAATATTGTATAAAGGTGGAGAAATAAAACACTATGTGACTAATTGCTTGCTAAGTTTAGACATGACTGACTCTGCAAGTCAGTTAAAGCTTTCCAATAATGTGAAGGGTTTGTGTACGTAAGTATTATATCTAAAGGGAGCCATCATTTTGTTCATGGGGAAAAAAATCCAGTTTATTTTTTAAAATGATTTTAAATTGTTTGTAATTTACAATGCTGCCTTTAAAACGGTGTACTTTGAAGTCTGAGTGTTAAAAATACAGATTGAATATACATTCATGATGATTTCATTTACCCAGTTTGCCTGTTTGTCCCTCCTCTCCATGAGTTTGCTCTGTAGAAGCTCCCCCACTCCTCCAGGTGCTCCAAACTTCTGCACCACATGTTGGGTCTTGTTGAACTGTTCCTCTGTAAGCAGATGCTTCATACACCTCAGGTACATCTCCAGTGTGTCTCTTAAAGCAGGAAGCGGCAGCTTGGGAAGAGCCTGAGCAGTGCGGGACATGCAAAACTGAGTCAGCTCGAGCATTTTACGAATCTTAAACGCATATAAATGTAGTTGTACTTGTTGACAACAGCTGTTTGCCGAATTTGTAAATTGACTCAGAAAAAGAGAATATTTAATTAAAGTGTGGTGTATCATTTCTTCCAATAAAATGTCATAAAAGTCTAAAAGTCTGTAATTAAATACCATGCAGCCCTTATTGTTTGTAAAACATTTAATTCTCTCATGCATTTTCCAGTGAACAGACGATATCCATATATGAACAGTAAAGTACATATTTACATCTCCGCTTTGTAAACCTTTGGAAGGCTCTTGATCCAGAACTGGCATGTTGGCGGTACTGACGGGCTGCCTGTAAGGTGGACTCCACACCACAAATAAGATTTCATCAAAAACCAGATGCAAGGCTTTAATTGCCTGTCATTGTTTTTTGCATTGACGATGCACGTGAGGACATTTCAGTAAAAAGTACAGTGCAACTCAATAAATGTAATGTATCACTGTCACACCTGAAACAGTAAAAAAATGAGCACATCTTTTGCAAACTTTGCTGTCATAAACAGAACTATGTCACAGTTACCAAATTTGAATAAGCCATCAGTTAAAAAAAAAAGAAGAAGAAAAAAGATTTTACTCACCAAAAATAAGGAAGAAATCCCACCTTTTCCTGTTGCTCAAAAAGGGATTTTAACTTTATCCGTCTAGATTTGAATCCATTCCTGGCTGAATTTCTTTTAAACGTCTCTGCTTGGATGCTTTTAGGATTTTAAGCATCTTTCAATCTCCATGGAAAGAGCGCGTATCCCTCGGTGGCTCAGGAGGGATGCTGAGAGGGTACCTCACTCTCTCGGCCGCAGGCTCCTCCCAGAAGTCTTGCTATTCGCCGAGAAGTTTATCTCGCACTTCGCATGTTCACGCCACCTTATTTACACTCCGACTGAACGCTGGATGCTTCCACCGTGTTCCGACGGATGTATTTCCCAATCAACTTTCTGCTTTGCTTTCTGGATTTTCAATGCATTCACTCAATTTGGGGCGGATTTAGTGATTCCATTTGACTGATTTAATTGACTTCATGTGTAAAGATTTGCATTCTGAAACAATTGCTGAAATTATTAAAAACCGATGATTTTGTACACAATAGCAACAGGATCCTACATTAAATTATATATGTTTTGCCGTGACGTATTTGTTGTAACCAATAATCAGTAATAATGTAATATTAGATTGTGAAATGCATTCATGTTCAAAGACGAAGGTCCAAAGTGGGGGAAAAGTGTACGCTTTATAAATATAACCGTAATTTATAAAATAACATCATATTATGATCATCATTTTCTCATAGTGGATTCAAAATGAATGTGTCATATACCCCAAAGAGTGTAACTAAGTAATTAAGTAAGTACATCAATAAATGTAAATAATTGCCTGGATAAATAATTTCCACAAACAGTATCATTCACATAATATTGATTTAATTATTTACATGTATGTACAGTCGCAGATCACTCAACGAGGCTATGCATTCCACAAGTTCATCGTCCAAGATGAAAAGAAAAAGAATAATCAGACAACAAGACGCAGATTTCAGTTCATTTTCATCGTTGTATCTTTCTAAAACTGTCGTGTAACACACAGTATTGCATATTGAGTTTAGCAGCACAACTCAGGCAAAATGAATACATATCACATTGAAAGACGCATAAACCATAATTGTTCTTTTGTTAAAATACATTTACTCACAATCCCTGAATATGAGTCCGTTTCTGATACAGTCATAAACACTGGTAATTAATGCACATTTACCTCAACAAATCTTTCACAATACTCTCACGTTAAGACGAACAAACGCCAACGAGCGCCTTTACTGCAAAAGCTTGAAGCTACTCGATGTGACAGCACCCGGAGGAATTGTCAACCAGAAGCTGTAAATAATTGCACAATCCTAATCGTGTTATGCGATTGATTGGATCAGAATAGATGCACACAAGTCTACATGGGCACTTTGATACTTTTACACCCAATTAAGGGCCATTTACGCATACTCTCCTCCTGAGGATTCCTCCTCAGAATACGACCGTTGCGCGAAGGTTTCAATGCCATTCTCGTCTAATGTTGTGCACAAACCCTTTCTCTTCTTCTCTCGCTGCTCCATTTTGATCGTGTCGTACAGTCCCGTTGGGCCGTCCTCCAGCAGCATATTTCGCTCGGAGAACGAAGGTTTCATCTGCGTCACGTTCTTCAACAGAAGGAGCGCCGGTGCGTAAAGTACATTGGCGAGGCCCATGCCCAAGTTGAGCTGGACGAAGCCCAGGTCGTGCACTATTTGTCCAGCCGCCACTGGTCCTAGGGCATAGGCCACGCAGTAAGAGATGTCTGCGATGGCATACACGCTGCCATACACTGACACGTGTCGCACATCCACCAGGAAAGCCAGAGTTGGAAGGAGCGCCGTGTCCACGAAGGCGATGCCAAAACAGATTCCGCACAACGGAAGCATGAGCTGACCGAAGGTTTTGCACGCTGGCACGGTGCAGGAGCTTGCACCTATGAACACCATACCAATTGCCCCGTAAAACCACTGCAGATGAGGGTACTTGGCTGCTAATTTGACTGTGAGAAATACGCCTAAAACATGAGGGAAGAAGGCAGGGAACCATGTCATGCCGATCTCCCACTGGCTGGCATGCATGGTTTCCTCCATCCAGTTGGCGATAGTGGGTTCAAGAAAGGCGAGAGGGATGTTACAAATTGTTAAAGCACCAGCCACTACAGCTATATAGGGATCAATCATCAGTTTATGCATGGGGGTGCCCACCGGCATGTTTTCTCTCTCTCGGTTAGAGAAAGGTTTCAGCACAGTCAGGCACAATATACCATCGAGTAGGCAGACGCAGGCCAGAATTAGGAAGGGCACCCGCTTCCCGGCGAACTCGTAGAGGACCCCTCCAAATGGGGGCGCCACGAGACTTCCAAAGGAGATGAAAGCCAAGGCAATGCCCAGTGCTTTGCTCCTCGCTTTCTCCTCCGTGTACCTGTCTGCGATCAGGGCGATCCCCGCGGTGTCGGCGAAAGCCGAGCCGAAGCCCTGCATGCTGCGCGCCAGGAACAGAGTCGCGTAATTTTCAGCGAAGGCAAAAGTAAGAGTGGACAGAAACATGACATTGAGACCAATGAAGAGGGGAATATCATACCCGACCCTATCTATGAACGTGCCGCTTAGAGGGTTCACCAGAAGCTGTAGGATGGCCTTTGAGGCAAAAAGAACACCAATCTGTAGGTCAAAGTTCCCCTTGGTTGTTGTGTGGATGGTGCCGTTAGTGAGGTTGGTGTGCGGTGCAGCGGCTTCGGCACGATCCGCTTCTCTCTGCAGCTCTTCGAGGAAATCGGGTATGATTGGCACAATGACCATGTAAAGCATGTTGTCTAACAAAAGTGCCGTACAGACTATTACAAGAATAATCCGTTTCTGCCGATCTGGGTCTTGGATCACATTGCCGAGTTGTTTAGTTCTTTCACCCATCTGGGACAGTTTGGAGGCGGCGGATTGTGCCAAATTACTAGTTGGTCCCTCGCTGGTCCCTTGCGGCTCCATGATTTGCTCCATTTCTGTCTTAAGTCTTGTCTTTTGAAAAAGAAAATCGGCTTCCCCCAGTTGATTTGTTTACAGGATTGCGCACTCCTGGCACATTTGTTCCGTCTTTAATTCAGTGTTGTTTCCAGCACCGGGATCCCTACTAATGAGCTAGATAACTTCCCTCTGCTTTTCTTCTTCTCTATCCCTCGCGCCTTCCGTCATCGCGCGCACTTTTCCACTCCCGTGACTTGGACTCGTTTTATCCCCGTCGTCCCTAGTTGCTTCATTGTCTCTTACCCCGTCATCCAGGTGACGCGCTGGTCCCGGGCCGCACTCCAAGGTTTGGGGATTCACCTACAACTCACAGTGCCCGCTCCATCAGCGCACTTCGCGGCTTCAGGTCCGTCCTTCTGGTCCCCCCCCTCCCTCGGCTCCCTGACGCGCCCAGCCGTCTCTAGTCACCTGTAACGCTGTGAGCCAAGTCATCATTTCACATCAACCGGATTGGTTTTGTCTGCCGTGGAAGAATCCACACTGCAGTTTGTTGACACCCATACCCTCCTCCCTCCTCCCCCCTTCGCCACTCCGCCCCCCACACATCCCCTACCACTCCTCTCCACCTCCCATCTCGGCCGAAGGCTGTGACGCACAGTCCTGCTGCTCTCCAGAATATCTTTTATGGTAATTAAATACTAAATCGTGCCGCCCGGTGAGTTGCTTCAAACAAAGCCGATGGCGCTTGCCTCCAAATGATGTTATATTTATCCTCTTTCCACTGTCATTTTATTTATTGATTCTAAAAGTGATATATCCATATAAAATCGCTACAACTCTGGCAATGTCACTCAATAGCATAACGAAACATTTAGTTATAGAACTGGAGCTAAGATGAACCACGGCTAAAATGAGAAGGAAAACATTTCCGATTTCCTTGATATGAACACAATTGATTCAGCACCACACTCCAGCGGACAGTTCCACAGAAGATTCTATTGAAATGAGCTTTAAAATGGTCCAATTGAAATATAATCCTCTGAATCTTCCCTCGTTTCCTTTCTAATTCGACCTCTGGCTGTATTTAGTTTAGTTTGTAAACTATGTTTACAGCAGGGAGTCTAAAAGTCTTTAGCTTCACTGCCCCGCATCCAGGTGGCTGAAGTGTAACTGAGCAAAACACCGACCACCTGATTCCAAATAAGTCTTTAAGTACAACGGACAGGATGTCATCCTCATTATCAGCTACATTTCTACATGATTGGCCCTCGCTGCCATCTTCGCTTTACTTTTCTTTTTTGTAAATGAGTTCAAATTGAGCTTTTAAAATAACCTCGTGAAAGTTTAGACATTCACGCCTGGTAAGCCGCACACTTAAGTCTGAAGATAAAGGCATACTAGTACTCTTAAATATGAAGAGATTATCTTTATTCTTCCTTTAAACCGACACTAGAGCGCCATGTGCGGACGTTATGTAGCTGGACACTGACACCTTCCGGCAAAGAAGAACATCACGAGCTGTCCTTAATATACACGGTTGAATGGAATCTATATAATCAACGCCTTCAGATTTGTTTTTCTCTTAATCTAATATTAGTTTCTTTTGAAAACGTTTCGATTGAAGGTAAATCCGCTGTTGTTTCAACTGCTTCTGCAGCCTACATTAAAATAAGTAAAGCTAAAGACACCTGGGTCAGTTTTATGGTTTTGTTCAGATAGATTACCAGGCAGAGCAGTACGGACATCTTGTCAAGGACGAATGAATTCGTCAAGGAATTCTGTAAACTGGAACAGGAGCCTGCTGCTCCAAATCCCTCTTAAATATCAGATTCTATCTATGCTGAAAATAGAATAAAATCAGCTGATTCGTTACATGCAAATTTGATTGACTCTATTGAAGCATAGAGTTGGAGACAGTCAGACTACTTGTGAATAAAATACTGTTTTCACTAATTAAACAGAGATGTATGTGTTTGCAAATGAACCATTCAGTCTTATTGCTTCTCTAAACAATCACAATGATTTCCCTGTTGTTTTTCTCGTTGCGTGTCATGTTCTCGTTCAGTCAATAGATGTCAGCATATCTCTTTAAATGTTTACTGACACGCAGTTAAATTACATCTTTAGTTGCATTCAACTGTATCTGTTCTTATTTGCCAAAGTGATATAAAAAAGAATAATGTCATCATTAAACTTTTCAATGTTGACATCTAGAGACGCATAGAAAATAATTTCCACTTGTCCAAAAGAAGATGTTGTGTGAGTACATGGTTTACTTCACATTCTGTCATCTTCCTTTCAAAAGGAGCTCTCATATTTTTTAGGTGAGACCTTTGGTGCCAGTCAGGTTGGTAACCACTGTGCAGAGGGAAAGTAAATACACCAGATTTCCAGCTCAATTTTTGTATTGGTCTATATATATATATATATATATATATATAGTTACAGGTCATATACATTACAGGTCATTTAGCAGACGCTTCTATCCAAAGCAACTTACATTACACTTTAAACCCATGGCTTTTTCACATTTTTTCCCAGGGAGCAATTAGGGGCTAGGTGTCTTGCTCAGGGACACTTCGACATGGAACATGGGGCAGCCTGGAATCAAACTAACAGCCTTGTGCTTCCCAGCACACCTTCTCTAACCCCTGCGCTACGACAACCCACGTCAATTTACTTTCCCTCTGCACAGTGGTTACCAACCTGACTGGCATCATATATATATATATAATACACACTTGTCTTTTTTGGAACATGGAAACCCGTACAACCTATGAATTCAGGAAAACTCTGTGGGGGGGCAAATGTTTTTCTTGGGTGGGTAATCAAGCCATGTGCAATGGTCTATGATACATACACACGCCAGATAACATTAGGGGTTTAATGGTCCTAAATTGAATGCAATTCATTTAGATTCAAACCACCAAAGACCCTCTTAATCTTCAGAGAAATTGGAGGAATCCAGCCTCTTGTTTCCCTCGGGAAGCTTTGTTTTACGTAGATGCAGTCAGTAAATGTTAGGAATGTTACCAAAAAGGGGCTCAACATTTCTCAGATTTATTTTTAGATGAAATGTTATGTCACATTAGCGGGAGAACAGCTGAGATATTCACATTCATTTTCCTCAGTGAACATACTGTAAACGGAAAGCTCAAGCAGAAACATTATGACAGAAAATGTCTATTTTTCTCTGTCTCCCACACACACAAGCATGCTAACTAAGTCTGTTTAGTTACTGGGCCAGTCACCTCTTTTTTGGGGCAAAACTGCTTGACTGCTGTGGAGGGCGGAGTCAGAACTGTCCTCATCACTATATTGGCTATGTTGGGGATTAACATTTTTTGCTATTTTCCCCGTGATTCTGCTCTGATCTGGTTGGAAAGTAGCTCAGGAGATTCAAGATCAACATGTAATTTTGTGCAGTTGCCAAAGTATTAATTTCTAACAGCCGTACAAATGCCTAAGCCACCACAGCCAAATGTGCACAAAAATAACCCTGTTGGATTACTACAGTATGATGTTCTGTTTAGCAAGCTGAAATCTGTAAATGAATGGAAAGTATTGACAAATAGTGGATACATTGTTGGGGTATTGCTTGGATCTAGTTCAAATTCGGCCCAATAATGCTAGTATTTCACAAATAGAGCTTACTATAGTACGATCTGATGGTATGTAAGCACCATTTAGGCCTTCACATTGAAACTTCCAAAAGAAGTTATACTGATGCAGTAAAGAAAATTGCGTGAACCAAATAAAATACATTTTTGTCATCTTAGAATGTAGAAATTTTACTGTAATAATGCAAAAAGCTGCTTCTTTTTGAAAAAAATTAACAAAGAGCCCAATGTTTTAAATGTATCTCCACTTAAAAGTATTTAAACAAATCACTCCAGGCCACACTATAATAGATGATGTCACTACACGTTATACAAATACAAATCAGTTTCTAGTTATGATGTCATTAGTTTCCATTCATTCTCTATATTGTTTGCTTCAATTTGTAAGTTAATAAATATAACAACAATTCTTTAGAAAAAATCTAATGAGATAAAAAGCCCAGTCTGAATTCCACCCTTTTATCTGTATATCAGGCAAGATTGAGGTTGATTTGAATCGGTGCAACATGGTTCAACTTGATTTTTATTTTTATTATTTTTATTGCAAATCAAAATTCTGATGTCTTTTTTATATTATATTTTTATATTTCATCACATAGCAGATGCACTGGTGTTTACATATTTTTCAAGTCTGTCCAAATTCTGTTTTCTTGGTCCTTTTATTCATTAACTTGATGCACTTCTCCACTTTCTAGAGCTCATTCCAATTATTTTTCTAAAAGTGTTTTAATATTGTATGTTTCTTAATTGAACTGTCAACTATGTTGCATCGCACCTCTATATGGAATCTTGAAGGTAGGATAATCTCCCTCATTACCAGATGAGTTGTTTTGAATGTTGTTCAATATTAAACTTGTATTTGTTTAGAAGATTTTTGCTTGTCCATGTATGAATCACATTGTGTGAAAGATTCGGATTCATTGGAAGAGCAGCTGTGGTCAGCATTAACATTGATTGTGTCCTGTGGCTGCTCAACAAGAGCACGTGTGCGTATGTATGTGTAGTCATATGGGCCCGGGGTTATATAATCAGCTTCACTGGCAGTCACGATTATTAATGCAGTGAAGGAGTGTGTGGTCAATCCGAGGCAGAAGATCACGAGGTGTTGAAATCAATGTGCCATTCCAACAAAGATGGGGATTAAGAGGAAGTGAAAATAATGCCGCTTCTGACTCTGCACAGCAGGGAGACTTAGAGTAAGGCTTGTTGGGAAAACTAAAAGGCTGCGACAGTATTTTCCACGTTTTTGAGCCAAATGTAGCATTAAATGTTAATAATCAATATTGTTCTACAAAAAAACAGAAAAGAACATTTAATTTAAATTTAATTTACGAGCTAGACTAAAATAGACTGTAAATATCACACTAGGCATCAACTGGCTTCTATTTTTGTTGTTGGCGCGTAGTTGTTAACTTTTCCTTCTACCTCATTGCTGATTGGTATAACTTCTTATATTTATGTGGAACATTCCTCACCCACTTTGATTCTTTCTTTCTCCTGCACTCGTGTTCATGTTGCTGTGTAATCCTCTCAAAATGCCCATACGGAAACTTCATTGGTTGACCAGACGTAATCCTTAGTTGAGTCAAAGTACCTGAATATGTTTGATCATAAGAGTGGGGACGCGGGTGGGGGGATGGGGGACTCGACTGTGGTCTGCTGCCAGACATTTGGATTCCAAAACCTTAAATCTTTCTGCTTTTGCACATCAGGGTCAAATACAGACACTTGAGACACGGGTTTAGCACAATACAAACGTTACAACATATTTTACCATTACATGCATCTCACAAGATTCAAAAACAAAAAAGGCGCAGGGTCGGATTCATCCGCCCTGCTGTGAGGCTTAACAAACATAAACCCTGCACTGCTCCTGTAAGAATGGAAGACACACACACGTACGTACACAGATATACACACAGTTAACTACCTACCAATCCATCTATTCGTGTATCCATCAACATTTTATCATACTTTTAAGAGAATTCCACAACATTGGGAGAGTCTCATGCTTTCCTTCTGATGACTAAACTAGCTGCAATAAACAATGATGTTGCTGATCTTGTCTTGGTTTGCCTCCTATAAATGCGTCAGTACCGCATAATTATGCAACAACCTGCTCCACTGACAGGCGGTCGTCAATTAATCTGCTTAGAAACATCCACTGGGAGCTTGTACTGTGTGCCGGAAGCTCTTCATCGTGCTGCTTGAACGTCTACTTTGATGTAATTGCACTGACACTTATTTGATGGTGAAATGGTGTTTTTAATAGAATAGCATATAGGGTACAAACACATATAATGTATTGTCACTTTAACATCCAAGCATAGTGTAAAAGTAAAAGCACTCCATATGCAGAAAAATCCATCAGAGAATATAATTCAAATTATACTTTTAACAAATAAATAAATGCGGGAAATTAATAAGGACCATTATTTTTCTTAGCAATGGTGAGTCACATGTGTTGGATAGATTTCGTTTTTTTTGGACAGTGAATGATGAACATTCCGGACAGTTTTCCTCATTTATTAATTAAATTCATTTATTAATGAATCATAATATGGAAACCAATTCTGCTATTTTTAACTATATATTGGAAATATCCGAAAGGTTTGTTAGAGCATCTTAGAGAAACACATTCCAGTCTGGCACCAAGACTGATCCTGCGTCAGTTGATAATTGTATTATTGTTGATATTATTCTATTCTTATATACCAAAACAATATGCATAGATAACACCATAAGAGAAGACTGCTTGGTTTTCAGAAGTACACTGTAACAATATTGATTATATGATAACCAGTATGTCATTGTGTGCTGTATATTGCTGTTGTTGGTCTATTCATTTCAAAGAATGTATGTAAGAATGTAATGCAGTTTATTCACTATTTGCCATGTAGATTTTCGTCTTTATTTCGTATGCAAATCCGCAGGCCAGAAGCATGTCCAGCTAAGCTACAGGCAGGGACTAATCTCTAACTTGTCGTGGAGGCTGTGTGTTGAAGAATGGTCGCCTTGTTGTAGGGGATTAGTGCAATTCTGCTCTAGATATAGAGGCCGGTCACAATTGCAGAGAGCATGACGAAAGTGGCGTGCACACACTTTCGTCGACAGGCGCCATAAACAAGGAAGGACACCGTACCAACAATTAGAGGTCAAGCATCCCAAAAGTGTGACATGGATCTTCTCTATCTATTTGTTTGAAATTATATTTTTTCTAAGATCACATAGAATATTTGAACATCATTAATATCCAACAAACAACAACAGAGAAACTCTGTGTTTGTTACTGAAATAGCCAAATCCGATGTATTTTTGTTGTAATTACGTGAATGAAATACTGCTTCACTTAGAAGTCAGAACAATGCTGGGCATTGGCAATTTTGCACACTTTTTAGCAGTTTGAAAGCTACAAGTCATATTACAATGTTTTTTTGCTTGTTTTTTCACAACATGCCAATTCCTATTTGTGGTTGACGAAACTCTTGACGGAAAACAACTGCAGGAACAAAGAACAACAAATTCCTGAAGAACATTTACAAGGTACAAAGGCCACAACACACAACAGGTGACAGAAACACAATGACAGTTAGTGTTGGTAATTATTGAATTCCCAGTTTATTTAGACTTGTTCTCAATTTGAGGCACATCAATCTTCTCCCCAGTGAGGAGCTGCCAGATGCCTCCTCTGTAGTTCTCGTTTCCCAAAGCATAGAGGAAGACATTGAAGGTGGGAGAGGTCTTTGCCAATATGGGAGCCATCTGCAGAGACACAGGCGCCATTACGACATCGCCGTTAATGCTTAAAAGACCAAAACAAGCGGATTATCGTAAAAACGCACTGAATTATTGTGCAGGCTTTTTGTGTGCATGTTGCCCGTACCATCCTGAGCTTGGGTGAGACAAGGGTGGCGTTCTCCACGGCGGCGTAGAAAGCCAGGATGCCATAAGGTCCCCAGCAGAACAGCATAGCCTTAAGAGGAGTGTTGGGGTTGAACTACAGAGGGCGACGAGAAGGGAGAAGGGGGCACAAAACATGAGGGGGTTAATATGCCTTTGGTCATGGGGTTCAGTCCCACGGCCGGGATAATGTCTGAGAGAATAACTATGCCTGTTGTTAAGCCCATTCATGCTCCACAATAAACACGTTGGGAGTAGAGGGGCAGTTTGTTGTAACGCAGAGTGGGCATTATCCTTAGTGTGAGCTTCCTTGTTAAATAGCGTTGAAGTTTGGAAAAACATATATATAAAAAATCAAATACACCATCTGATCATATATTAGGTGTCTGCTTCTTTCAAATCTGCATTAAAGCTATATGAAGGTTAAACTAAGAACTGGTCAATCTACAAATTCCTGCTTTTATGGCTGCACTTCATGAAATAGAAATAGTTTAGATCTCTTCAATCAATCTGGACAACTGCATCTCTCCGGGTTTTTATGTCAGGATATATTGTGCGAGTACACATTACAATACCATTGCTCTGGTGGTGAGCGTGGTCTCGCTACTCTGCAGCCATTGTGCGTGTAATGAGAGTGTCTCCGGCCAACTGGGATGACTGTGAGTAATTGGGCTTACGCAACATAAAGTGAGCCAACCTGATTCAGCCCCCCGAGGAACTCATCTGCTGAACTCCCCTTTCACAGATACATTGTTCCTCTCACCACACACCAGCTACTGTCCGCATTCCCAACGGGAGCACACGGCCTTCCCTCTGGGCATTGACCCACATACGTCACAGCCTGCATGCTCCCCATTCACTTTCAGTTTCCTCGGTCCAAATGAGGATCATGTGAGGAAGTAGTGATGACAGGAAGATATCATATAGATGCCAATAAAAGAAGGATTTCTATCATTTTTTAACCCTAAATTGCAGTGATGAATGAGATAAATGAGTTAATGTCCTAATATCACACTGTTGAAATATACAAAAAAACCATCCAGTGTTGCTGTGTGTGAGTGCTGTGCAGTGTGTACTTAAGTAAAATAGTGTAGGATCGGGATAACTTAAGATAAAACACATTGAAGAAAAAGGGAAAGCTACAAATCTTCACATTTGTGAAGCTGAGACCACGACATTTATTTGCATTAAATAATTACTATTATTAAGTATAATAATTATAGTTATATTAAACGTTTTTTTCTACTAATCATGTCGATTGCACTCATATTTTGTTGGATCGTTTAATTTACAAGACATTAAAAAAATAGAAATGAAGAATGGCATGAGAGGAAAAACACTCAAGTCAAGTACCTCGACCTAAATCCCAAATTGGGTGAAAACATATTAAATTATAACTGACCTCAAAGCAGGAACACTCTTATTGTGGATTGCATATTTGTGAGGATTTCTGCATTAGCAATAATTTCCCAACTAACAACTGCCAACAGACATTTCTAAACTCCAACAAGCATGTGATTCATTTTGATTTTCAAGTAATTGGAGCAAAACCAAGTCTGTATTTCTGTGTGTTGGTAAACCTTTGTAAAGTCTGTTGTTGGAGTTGCTGGATTTTGTATATTTAAAAAATAAATAACCTACCCTTGGGTTTCCAGTCTTCTTGAATTTCTGCGCAATGGACTGGTAAGAGGACATGACAACAAACACCTGGATGGCCATGTTGAAGATGGCCATGGGGATCAAGTAGGACACATAGTTTCTGCAGAGAAAGAAATCCACATACTGCTGTAAAATCACTACCACCCAATCCCAACGGGGGCTAGAGAATGCAGGTACATCAAAGCGTACCCTGGCAGTATTGTGAAGAGCGTATGTCTGTGTGTGTGTGCACGGTACCTGTCTCCCTTGGTGTAGTCCAGAGTGCAGCAGGTCCTGAGGGGCTCGTAGTCGTACTCTCCCCAGCCGATGAGGGGCATGGCCGACCAAAAGGCAGTGAAGAGCCAGACGAATACAGCCAGGGTGATGGCGCTGCTCCACTGCAGCTTTGTCCCTGATGAAAGCAAGTTCAACATGTCCATCCGAACTACTGTCAACACCTCAGAAAAAGGCCACACGATAACAGAAGCGTGTTTTGGAAATAATCACACCACAGTGGCTAGCTGTCTTATAAGCACAGCGAAATAGTGTGAACTGCAGGTCATTTGTTCTTCCCCATGTATATATAGTAATAGAGGTTAAAAATAGCAATACAGCTTAATTTGTTCTCACTATGAGAAGAAATGGTCTCTTCATTCAAGCCTTCAAAGTTACAGTTTCAGCACCAAAAAAACACAACATAGAAACACGTTTGTTTACTTCAGGGGATATGTGTTAATTATTACATTTAAAGACAACAGGCCACTTGTTCACCATCTGCTTAATTTGATTGAGTGTCTTGTGTGTGTGTTTATTTATATACATGTATGTATGTATGTGTGTGTGTGTGTGTGTGCCAAGGCTCAATGGGGTAGAGACATACATACAATACATTTGGTCGTATAACTGTGCCTTTCACTGGGACTTACTGGTGCAGTACTGGTGGTATCTGTCCCAGGCGATGGCAGCTATGAAGTGGATGCTGGCGAGAGCTGTCACGAATCCCTGGAAACCATGAGTCTGGCATCCGTCAGAGCCATAAGGCCAGTACCTTTGAGACAGACAGCCGCACGCCCCACGTCATAATTACAGTATAGGCGTTATAGACGTATATTGACTGCTCCCCCTCCCCTTCACAACAGTGATCGTCCCTCTCGGTATTAATCACACAGCTCCGTGTGCATTATTCATCTCGGGAACAGGTAGTGTTTGCTCCATGCATTTGCCCTGATATGCGTTATTTACGGATGGTTTGGTTACATCACTGACCTCAGGAAGCTGGAGAAGGCAGCGATGGTGGCGTTCATAGAGATGCCGATGTCAGCAACCGCTAAACTGAACACTAGGAAATTGCTGGGGGTCCTCAGCTCTCTCACTTTGAGGAAAGCGGCGATGGTCACCGCGTTTAAGAGGATGCCCAGCAGACCTTGTGGGTGGGAAACAGGAATAAACAATCGCGCATGGAGGAAATATGCGCGGCGGTGAATGGAAACCAGGGCGCGCGGCGACGCTTATTGCGTCACACGCGGCACCCGAGATATCTCATAAACACGCTCCTTTCAAACATCGCAGCCAGCGTAGTTTGTTTACGGCTTGCATGCTATTGCCATTTGCACGCTCCTGCCCCCTCCTGCCCCCCCACACCGCACGGTGTCAGTGGCCGGGGTGGCGTCAGGTCCCGCCCGGGAGGTTAACGTTACTCCGACCGGGTGCAGCGCGCCCTCGTATCCGCGCAGTGTTTCTGGCCGACGTCCAGCACAGAAGAGAGACACTCACCCTCCACCAGCAGACACGATCCCAACGAGAACACATCGAAGTCGGTGAAGCCGTCGGGTAAGGGGTACGACGAGACCATCCTGAAGTCCAATTGATGCAAACAAAGTGCAGCCGTCACAGACTTTTCTCTTCCTCCCGACCCGATCGTTTACGGTGTGCCTCGGCGTGGCTGAGGGAGACCGCTTTTAAAGGGGCATTTCACGTGAAAAGCATGCACTTTATTATGTAAAGCCCTCACACCCACCGCCGCCCCAATCCGCGCAGGAATGTCTTAATGAACGTAACCGCGCAAACCGCAACAGTTAATGCGCATTTAGCCGCCGCAACAGTTAAGCCCTCAATTAGTTGCACAACAAGCCTTTTGTGTCTCTGCGTCCCGGAGAGGATGCAGCCGCCTCCAATGTCAGAGGACGGGAGACGACGCGTTTGATGCAGCTCACTGCTGCGAGTCGCTTTAAGGAGACACAACAAGTGTCTGCAGAGCTCCAGCCGCCTGTCAATCACAGCTACACTGAAGACGAAGCCAATTATTCTTGGATGCCAAAGTCTGTGCATGAATGTATGTCTGTCTGTCTGTATGTACAGACACATACACAAACATGTTGTACCTGTATGTGAATAATAATAAAGACAGGAAGCAACATTTTCAGCCTTCCAGCCCATCCATCCATTGTGGTTACAGTTTATATTAAAATAAAACGCTTCAATTCATTACAGCAACCCGTCCCATTCGCTGATTAATGACACAACGGGATTATTGTGACACTACAGAGGATCAATGTGAGTACTGTTGATCTTTATCTTTTTTTAATCCTGCGTCCCATATGGCTCTGTTTTGACTCCCTGGATGAGAAACCGAGCACTTGTTTTGAGGACTTTTTGAGGATTTTTCCTTCTTTCTATACAAAACTTTTGATAGAAGCACTGACCTCATATGGCATATGCCTGGAATGACAGAGGACACAACTTTTAGTAATGCAGACCATATGTGTCGAACTAAACTGGACAGTCTTGAGTTTTCTATAAGAGATACACGTGTTGCACAGTGAAAGAATGTGTTCCAATTAAGCGTTAGGAGTTCAAATCCGGTCGTCACCTCCATCCTTCAATGTATTCGTCATGTTTCCATTGCGAGATCATTTGCAGCTTTTCATGCCATGGGGTTAGAGGGGACACAAGCCTATCATTGTGCTGCCGAAGTCTCTCTCAATCTATAAGATTAGGGATTATGAGATCAGAAATCTTGAGAAATATAGGTTAAAAAAGAAGTGGGAAAAGTACTTCATAATACGGTTGGCCAATGGTGAAGATCCATTACATGTAACATTTGAACAATTTGTTTTGTATATACATTGTTGCACACACTCCAAACCATAAAAAATATCACTGTGCCCCTTGGTGGACCTAAACATGAGATTAAGTGTGCTGTTGTCACTTTTTTTTACACCAAATCGTCACACTGAAAATAAATGAACGTTTTCTTAACAAATAGAACACAATGTCATCTAATTCAAAATAATCATGTCAAGAAATACGGCCACAAATAAATTCATTACAGTCAATGTTTTTTGATGACAATTAATATTATCGTGAGTATACGTCACGTCTACTGGGTAATACAATTCAAAGAGGCAGCTTGGGTTGCCTGAAATGAGATTAACTTGCAGTGGAATATGGAATGTATACGGTCCTCAACATGAGGAAACATGCTCAAAACCTCTGGAGCCTCAGGAGAGAGCTGCAATGTTGTGAACAAATACTGAACAAACGATTCAAAGGGATTTTAAAAGAAAAGAGCAATAACTCAAATAAAGGGCAAATAATATTTGTTGCACATGAATCAGTAACTGTCATTGTGTCATTGTTACTATTAATCTATCATTAGGTTTTATTAGTCTCTATGAAACGTTTTTGTTGACTTGGCAATATGTTTGAAAGGGAGTCAGATGTTTGATTCTTTGTCGAAATACATTGAAGAGTGTTTTGTGCATTTCGTCATCCCTTCAGGCAAGAGTCGGCAAACTTTGCAGCGTCAGCCAACACTAAACTCCTTACTCTTTGAAACACACATGAGAACACAAGGAACAGGTGCCAAATAACTCAGGAGTTTACCAACATTGTAAAATAAAAACTCTAGAATTGGAAGTATTTTACTTTTGTATTAGACTCAAAATGAGGTGAGATCCAAAGTCTCTTTTGCCAAACTTATTCATTTACTTATTTCACTTGTTTTCTTTATTTTAATGAATTACGTTGGTTCATCAAACTAATTTGCTGATGAATAGACTATAAATAAATAAATTCCATAAATAAATGGGATGGTGCTGTTGGTGGCAAACATGGTATAAACATTGTCTGCAATCATTGTATTCATTCTCACAATTATCTTGTTAGTTTCCAACTGTGGGATCATTTATTTTCTCTGACCTTCCACAGCAATGTGTATTAATATTATTGTTTAGTGTACATCAAAATCTCAATTCCTGCATTCCAACAACTGTGGCTGTATATATTTGTATCAGAAAACAACTTGGATGAAGGGGCCACCTTGTGGTGGAATGTAGCGCGGTCTATTTACAGATTAACAGTCACGGCAGGCTTCATATGAACAAGCTACATTTGAGGGACAGAAAAAAAAATCCAAACATCCCAGTGGATTATGACCATTTCGGAAGTGTTTTTCTGTGATAATAAATAGGGACGTCTCTGTGCAGCCTATCGGATTGCGCGATGCAATACGCATCCAAATGAAAAGAACGCCAGTCCTTTCGCTAATCCTTGTCTATCCTTTTTATCTCTGGACTCATAGCAGTCCGATCACTATGGGACAGCGAAGCGGTGGGACAAAGCAATGCGGCTGATATTCCTGTAAATGAGAGACAAAAAATCAAGTCTGTTTGACTTCAGTGGGCGCGAACCGGGCGCATGTAGCCAAGCTGCGTATGCGTGAAAGTGGGCCAAAATGTTCCTCGTCCTGCTCCTGGGGCTCTACGCGGCTACAGGTGAACTTTTCTCCCCGGTGAACTCGTGTCCGTCACAGTGCAGCTGTTTTTACCACAACTTGAGTGATGGATCAAAGGCCAGGTAAGGATGATGTCCAAGTTAACAGTACTTGATATACAAACACACTATGAAGTGCTCCGGAAGACTCGCATCTTTGGAGAAGGTAATATCGAGCTGTCATATGAGGACAGATGTTTGCATTGAGGTGAACACGTGTTCAAAAGATAATTCAACGGTCTAATTGGACGTAATGCTAGATTATCTCTCAACCTCACCATCTGTGCGATTTATGCAACTTTGGATGTTTAAATGGATTGGGAAATTACTATATAGATTTAGTATGCTTCTGAATTTACTAAATACGTTTGCATCCCCTAGACTTCAAAACCTCCATCTCACATTTAATTCTAATATGTAATGAATTGCTGTATTCATCATTTACTCTGTTAAAATGTCCTCATGCGTAATGTGTGTCGGATCATTTCGAGGGGAACAAACATTCTCCCATAATGTCTTCCTCCTATAGGAGCGTGATTTGCAATGATCCCGAGATATCTGTGGTGCCTGTCGGGTTTCCCTTTGACACGTCCAAGCTGCGCATCGAGAAGACGGCCATCCAGCGGATACCGAGCGAAGCCTTCAACTACCTCTCCAATCTCGAATTCCTGTGGATGTCTTTCAACACCCTGTCCGCCTTGAGCCCGGACAGTTTCCGGGAACTGCTTAACCTGGAAGAGCTTCGTCTGGACGGGAATGCCCTCACCGCCTTTCCCTGGGAATGTCTCATGGATATGCCCAGTCTCAGACTTCTCGACTTGCACAACAATCAGCTCCCCTCGCTGCCAGCGGAGGCCACGACTTACATCAAAAACCTCACCTACTTGGATCTGTCTAGCAACAGCTTGCTGACCCTGCCGACGGAGGTGCTGTCCACCTGGCTGGCGGTGAAACCTGTCCAAGGTCCAGAGAGCTCCAAGCTGATACTTGGTAAATCACATGAAACTTCACTCGTGGTTGCTTCAGTTTAAAATATCGACCGCGCGCTGGCAAACGCTGTGCGTAAAAGGATCGTTAATTTGGCAAAAAAGCAGGGTTGTTGAACAGCAGCATGCACACATAATTTAATGTACGTCAAGGGGTGGTCGGTAGAATTAAATTAGTATCTGTAGAGGTAATTGATTTGAAAAACGATATTGCCAATAATTAGCATTTAAACAAGTAACGCCGTATTTAATGCATATTTAGCTTCTACAAGCCATATATACTCAGTAAATAAATACATTGCAATATAGTCCAGTATTTTAAGAAGATATGGTAAGTCTTTATTATTGTGTTTTTCAATAGCTAATTTTCATGCTTATTTCATATCCATCTGTGTGTGAAATACAACATTTATTTTACATTTTCCCTTTTTTGTGTTCAACCCATTTTCATACATAGAACAGTGGACAGCTGTTCCATGGTCAGCTCTTAAGGAAAGGAGGGTGAAATGCCAGCAAGATATGACCTTGAACACCATTTCGGCACCACTACCATCCTTCTACTCCTCCTCCTCCTCATCATCATCGTCATCGTCATCGTCATTGCCGTAGTCATGGTCATGATGTAGTTTATGAATTAAATGTTAATCCTCTTACGGGATTAGCGTCCTAACATCCACACCGGCCATCTGCAGCCTGTTCTATCACTTTGCACACAGCTGGACGCTCATCTTCTTCTGTAACCTCACATTTAGGTCTCCACGACAACCCCTGGGTGTGCGACTGCCGGCTGTACGACCTGGTCCAGTTCCAGAAGTCTCCGACTTTTTCAGTTGCGTTTATTGACACGAGGCTGAGGTGTTCAGAACCGGAAAGTGTATCAGGGGTGCTGTTCACAGACGCAGAGCTGCGGCGCTGTCAGCTCCCACGTATTCACACAGCCGTGGCTCGAGTTCGGAGCGCTGTTGGGAACAACGTGCTGCTCCGCTGTGGCACCATTGGAGTCCCGATCCCGGACCTGTCGTGGCGCAAGGCAGATGGGCAACTCCTTAATGGAACAGGTGAGTCTTTCACTGTCCCTTGTGACTGAGATGAGATGCAGTCGCTGATAATCAAACAGAGAGCTACCAGTGGAGTTAGTGAGGTTGTAAGTCTGACTGACAGCTATGTCTACAGCAATGAGTTACGTAACACTGCTGATGATCATTGCAACATTTTGTAATCACCCGTTTGGTGTGTTTTTGCACATCAATGACATTAATTAATTAATTTTCTCACACATTGCCTTTTTGTAACCGTTGTGTAACAACCATATTCTTGCCTCTCTGCCATCGTAGTCCAGCAGGAAACATCAAAGGAGGGAATCACCTGGTCCATCCTCCGTGTCCCGGCTGTGTCCTACCAGGACTCAGGGAAATACATCTGCAAGGCCACTAACTACGCTGGGAACGCTGAAGCTGTCATTTCTCTCATTGTCTCTAACTCACCAAAATCAGAGGGGAACCAAACAAGCAACGACAAGAAAGCCAAAGTGAAGAAACCCAACCCGGTGGGGAAAGCGGCCTACCAGGAGAAACTGGTGGCCCGATATGTGGTTCCAACCTCCACCCCTCCATCACTCTCAGCCCTGGATCCAGGCCTTCCACCTGATCTCGTCGCTGACCCTCGACCAGCCAGCTACAGCCTAGCTGACAGAGCCACCCCAGGGCCCGCCGCCCCTTCCAACCCAGAGGCACTGCTGGATCTGGAGAAGACTAATCTGAGCAACCTGGCGGCCAACACGTCATCGCTGCAGCAGGACCCGGACCGGTTGGTCCGCTCAGTAAAGGTTGTGGGGGACACGGACGATACAATTTATTTGAACTGGAGAGCCCCCAAGGCCAAGAACACGACAGCATTTAGTGTGCTGTACGCCGTGTTTGGAGAACGGGACATGAGAAAGATCAATGTTGGGGCAGGACAGAACCGCGTTACCATCAACGGGCTGGTGCCCAGGACCAAGTACATTGCCTGTGTGTGTGTGAGGGGGCTGATCCCCAAGAAAGAGCAGTGCGTCATATTTTCCACTGATGAAGCAGCCAGCGCGACCGGAACCCAGAGGTTGATTAATGTGATCGTGATCACCGTGGCCTGTATCATCGCGGTCCCGCTCACTGTCATCGTGTGCTGTGGGGCTCTGAAGAGACGCATTCAGAAGTACTGGGGAAAGAAATCCAAGGATATCCAAGATTCCTATGTGACCTTTGAAACGCTGTCACCTGCCACGAAGGCCAAAGGGCTCGAGGGGGAGTATCTGAACAGACAGAACCCAGAGGAGTCCAACAGGCTGCTGTCGGCTCGCTCCAGCTTGGACTCTGAGGCAACAGCTAAGATAGAGGGACAGCCTAACGAGTACTTCTGCTGACATCATGCTCCAGCTCCGGCTCCTACTGCACGCCATCTTCCTCGCACGCACCCGCATCCACGTCCAATTCAGACCGCTAATACCCATTCACATCCCCATCACCGCCCCCAACTCCATCCACACCCGTTTCCCCATCACTGCCCGTGCTCGCACTCCCGGCAATATCCTGACTTCAGTCCCCCCCCCACGCGCTCTCGTACGCCCACACCATGGGATTCCCCCCCACCCGTGCCCCCTCGCTGGATCATGCCACCAACTCCACCGCCACAAAGAACCAACTTCTATCAAAGGACTTTTGCACGCTGCACTATAATGGAAATATCAGTTTAGAGGAATATTTAACAAGATAATTAAACTTTTTGTCAGACATTTGTAGAGTGACATGTGTGTTCTTACAGAAAAAGTGGCGCTCACTTCTCTGACATACATATATGTATCCATGGATTATGAGTAAGACAACTTGAGTACACGCATATGTCTGTACAAAATGTTTGATCACTAAGCCTTTAAGAAAAACAAATATGTCTAAAAGGTGAAAGAGCAAAGCAATTGTGGTGAACGGTTTTTCATCTCACTTGAGTGCAACAGCGAAGAAACCTCTGCAACCTGATGGTAGATTCTATTGTATATTTCATTGATGTATGTGTATGAGTTGTATATATTTATCAGATGATGTACACTTACATATACAGTAAAGTCTGTGCCTCTGTATATATCTGTCATATGTTCCCAGAGAAGATATACACATAGGCATGGTTCAACACTCTGGTGTATGGAGGAAAGCTGGAGCTGGAGAGAAGTACAGAAAGGACTGAACTATGAAACAAGTTAAATAAGGTGGAAATGATGATAAATGAAATGTTAATAGATTTCTATTCCCTGCAGTGAGACACAAATGCTAAAATATCTTTATGTACCTGTTTTGTGCAACCAACATTACCCTATTACATGTAGATCGATTCATTCCAATGATATTATTTCAATAGTTGAATAAACTTTTATATACAAATCCAGTTAGCGGTGCTTTGTCTTCTTATGGCTCTACTTGTTTCATCACATCTGATTGAGAGATTTTTATTTGAAAATGGAGCTACAGACTATACTATTTATTAAGAAATACTAAAGGAATAGCTTTATTATTGCTAAGGAAAAAATATGCAATCATTTATATACGGTCCTGACCAGAAAATGTTTGCTTCTCAGTTTGGAAATAAACTTCATAGAATGAGTTTTCTCTTTGATTGAACAGTTATTCTTTGGGAAAAAATGCAGAGAATCTGGACCAAAATGAATTCATCAACATCATCATATTTATATTTCATATTTACGTTTATTATTACAAATTGGAAAACTTTTTTTTATTAATGAAATATAAGTGCTCAATGAGTTTATGTGTATGATCATTGACAATCAAGATTGATTTAGTAACATAGAGGGTCAGACCTGCTCCCACTGTCTTGGTGTTAATCATGCGTGTCTCTCCCAAGAATTAGATGCCACTTGTTCAGTACTCAGTACGTCAGGGATTAGGCTTAACAAGCTTCACTCGTCTGCGGCACTCGACATGTCCTGAGCACGAATGTAGCCCGTCCATTTTATGAAATTTCGCGGACTATGGACATAATTTGTAACCTGCTAGTTATTGCTTTGCTTAACATCCAGTCCTTTGAAACGTATCCTCAATGTTTACGTGGGTGCAGCTGCGTAGAAGACCGCCATGGAAGGTAAGATCTGATAAGCTTCATCATGGCAGGCGTATTTTTAACCATTTAACTGTGACAGTGGGGGGAGGAAGGGCGGTGGGTGGAATGTGAATCAGGAAATATATTTACATTTAAATGTTGTCCACAAAGTTGTGGCCCAAATATGTTTAAAAAGCATCAGGCTACACAGCAACAAAACGTTCTTCATTTTAATCGTAGGTCGCTCATTTGCATGGAGGAGAGTGCGTTTGGGGCCATACCAGGGAACCTCCCAGATGATTTGAACAAAATACGAATAGAAAAATCTCACTTCACTGAGATACCCAGGGGGGCGTTCTCACAGACGCCCGCCTTGGAAAACCTGTGGTTGAACTTCAATGATATTACATTGATCAACTCAAAGGGCCTGCAGGGTTTGAGGAACTTAACCGAGCTCCGCCTGCAAGGGAACAAGCTCCGCTCAGTGCCATGGACAGCGTTCGAAGACACGCCGGCCCTGAAGATCCTGGACCTGAAGCACAATCAGCTGGACGTCCTTCCGGAGCATGCCTTAAAATTTTTGCCAGATCTGACTTACTTGGACTTATCCTTCAATCGGCTTACAGTCATATCTAAGGAGGTTTTCCAAAATTGGCCGCTCTACCAAAAACTCCAGAACACGGAGGAGCGGGAGGGGCCCGCTTTCGGGCCGAACGTCGTCCTGGCGCTCCACGACAACGCGTGGGTCTGCGACTGCCGCCTGAAAGGCTTCGTGGAGTTCATCAGGTCCCTGAGCCCCCCTATTATACTGATGAACTCCTACTTGACCTGCTCCGGGCCGGACTTCAGGGAAGGCAAGTTCTTCCACGAGGTAGAGCTGCAGGCGTGCGTGAAGCCTGTGGTCAACACCCCGTCACCCAACATCAGCCTGCCTCTGGGCGCAAACCTCACCCTGCGCTGCTTCGCTAAGGCCCAGCCAAACCCTGCGGTGTGGTGGACATATGGTCTGAAGATAATCAAAGGATTTCGTGGTAAGAGTGTGATGTCCACGGCATGTCACACACATACACACACACACACACACACGGAGTGAAATCTTGTGGTAAATTAGATACTTAAACACATTTTAATCGCAGACTTTATACCCCCTCTTTAAAACGAGAGAGAAAGAGATCAAAATCTGGATATTGGCCCACCACGATAATCACCACTGATTCTCTCAATCTGCACACCATCAGAGTTGATTAAGAGTGTGGGAGATTATGTGGCAGTAGAGCCGATACCTAATGTCCGCCATGTTGGGCTATACGGTTTAATTAAGTAAAAAATCAACGTCAGCAGACTTAATATTTAGAGTGCAGTGCTACTGCAGATCCCAACTGTACTCTGAACAGTTTAGCATGAATAAATAACTGCGACTAGTCTCCCTGTTTTCACTACCAACGTCTCTGCTGCTAACAGTCATCCATTTGACAAGATTCTTTGGGTCGAGGAACTGCAAACAAATTTTTACGCTGATTTAAGAACCAAATAAAAGTCTGATACCATTTTTTAAATGTATTTACATCAGATTTAAATCAACTGTAACACTGCAAAAAAAAATGCTGAGATACTTTGCTTACGTTATATTTTATGGGCCCTGTAACTGTTATACCCAAATTACCAAAAATACCTACCCAAAATACCTTATTTTATAATAAATGGAATATCTTAAGGTTCTGGACTGAAAACACAGCAATTTGTTCACCTCAGATTTACACAAACGGATTGTTAGATCCAGCTATTTCAGTACAACCATGTTTATTGTATCCCTGTCTTTAGCGGTCACATTGTTTTTGGGCCCAGGTGGTTTAATTCCCCCCCCAATGTTTTGACATTATTTCTGTTCAAACTGAACTGTAAGGAAAGATTCAATTCGCCAATTTAGTTTTCCCAAACTGAGTTTTACTGTTTAATCCTGCATGGCCATTCAAATAAAAATGCACATCCCTGTTTTCCTCCCAGAGTCCCAGGAAAGGGTGGATGATAACACCATCAGATCCCTGCTGGAGATTCCCTCTCTGCGTGCTACTGACCGTGGCGTCTACACCTGCACTGCCGTCAACTTCATTGGAAACTCTTCTGTCAGCGTCCTGCTGGACGTCAACTCGCCTGACGGCTCCCAGTCATCAGTCCTCTCTGACAAACCGGCTGCACCTGCTGCCAGTGATGAAAACGTCTACATAAGCATCCGCATTGCCAAACAGACAGTGCGTGGTATCACCATTGAGTGGCACGCCGCTTTGGAACGCCCCACAGAAACCTGGTTTACCATCCACTTTGGCAGCGCGGGCAATGATAAAAAAGAGACGATCTTCATCGGCCCTGGGATTAACTCTTACTCCGTCTCTGATTTGATGCCTGCTACCAAATATGAAATGTGTGTAACCCTTAAAAACCAGGCGCCGCATAATGGCCAGTGCATCGTGTTCGTAACAGGAAGTGACATCACAGAGATGGAACAGAGGGAGAAGCTGATACACATCGTGGTTATAGTTTTAGCCATGGTGTTGGCAGTCCCTATTGGCATGTATGCCTGCACCACCGACACTAAGTGTGCCTGCCTGGAGGGCATCATTGAGTCCTGGAAGAACCGGCGGAGAGAGAGGAACTCACCGGGGATGGAGCGGGAGAGGCAGGGCACCTTCGACAGCCTGCAGGCGGCCAGCGACGAGGGGCTGGTTAACAAAGATTCCAGTGAAGACAGGAAGGTGAGGAGAAGGTCGGAAGACAGACAGCATAAAGGCAAAGCCGACCACGGCAGACAAACAGCTGAACTGTACTAAAATTACTATATGTCAAGCCAACAGGGGACAACATGAAACTGACCCTGTAAAACACCAATGTCTCAATCACAATATTTTTGTCAAATATAGATCTAGTGTATGAGATGATTTTTAATACAGCTACAACATTTAGAAGAATGATATCTTTGTCTTTCCTGGTTTTAATTTCATCTCTCCCTCTGTTCTAGGCTGCGGAATTTGTTGCAAAGATGTGAACGATGACCGTTATGTCAAGAGTGTAATTCAAGGATTAGCACATGGTTGCAGTTTTTTATGTTTGTCTTGTTATTATATAATTCAATTTAAATCATCAAACGTTCAAATTGTTGCTTTATACAGTATAATACCTCTATGATTGTTTGAAATGAAGGAGCGATGATGAGTTCATATTTTCTATGCACCTACTATTTCAGTAGGAGGTGCATGCGTTATCTTTAGGTTAATCTATATTATTTCATGTATTTATCTATGGAATGAAATTGGTTGAAATGTCTGTACCTGTGTATCAGCATATCTGCATGCATACAAATCATGTAACACATTTCTGAATAAATAGATTACATTTTTTAAATTCAAAAGTAAATTCTTTTCTATCTGCAAAGGCATAACAAATATTTTTATAGTAGTAAAAAGGTTGAGTTACTAGTACAGTTTTTTTTGTTAATATAAGGGGGTGCATTTATCAAGTTTGGGCTGACACGTCAATCTGTTTGACGGTGTTTAAAAAAAAAGGTTAAAACTCAATTAATCAACTCAAATTAAGAGTTATCTGTTATGGAAAAGGAGCATCAAATAAATCTTCCTCCTCTTTTTCAGACTGCGATTGTTATTTATTTTGATAATTCCTATTTAGGAGAATTTGTGTTTATTTTATTGGTTATTATTGTTTTCAGGTTTTGTTTAACTTTAACAACATTTTGGTAATCAATGACCAATGTACAGGTGAGTTGTTGGGCAGTATTACAATATTAACTGATAAAAATGAGACAACTAAAAACGTGTCAGCAACACATGTTGTATAATAAATATAGTATTTCCAACTGTATCATCGGCCCATTGGTGGCCCCTTTGACACAAGCTGAACTCTGGGTAACGATACACCTGCATCCTGTTTCAGACCCTGAAACCTCTAACACAAAGTTGCTAATTGGCTGACTGGTTCTACTTGTGTTTGATTTGTTGTCACCTCGTGTTTCTATATAGGACCCTGATTAAGGATTTAAGACATGCTCGACAAACTGTGAACTTCACTCAGAGGCTCAAACCCCAGTATGTGTGTTTAATTTACACTAAGTCACAGTGCTAAGCTTACTCAGGATACTTGAATTAAATTCATCCTTAACACAAGGAATCTTGCGAGGACCAAATCACTGTCAACGCTGTGATTCTGATGATTAGTTACCTCTGAAAGCACTGAAGTGATTTGATGAAGTAGTAATTATGAAAACAACCTGTTACTTTAAAGTTTCATTAACATATGTTTAATCCTCTCCGCGTCACTGCACACATACTGTACGTCACAATTCCTCGTCTTCCACGAACACAACACACAGGGGCCGTGGACCGACCGGGACAGATGGCACATCGGATATGCCTCGACCAATGGCATTGTTCATTTGACATTAATACCCAAACACTGGCATCCTCTCCGATATCCCCTGAGGTCACTGTCACTTCATGATCAGATCACACAACCCCCTCCTCCGGCTCCGTAGGCCGTCCGCTGTGATGCAAGCAGTTCATCTGTGCTCGGGCCCCGTCGGCTGCAGGCTTTTAAAACGACTGGCTGAGATTGGCGGCTCTCATTATCTGGAGCACGGTCGCATCTGGATTCTTGCTTGTACAGGCTTGTTTATACAGTATGATTGGCGGGAGGGAGATTGATGCTGCTTTTTGTTGTAATCCCTATGTACAGCGTATGACACAAGACTGCGGATTCAGTAGACACCAAATGTCCGTCATCCTGACACGGTACACACATAAATTATAATTGGATTGATATTATGGTTTCCCTAATGTTGCTGACACAGTGTATTATTTTAACACAACCCCACGTAAAAGCTGCTGATGTGGTTAGCAATATCAAGATTTACTTTAATGCTGTACACATGTTGTCGTGCTTAGTTTCCATGTCCAGAAAAGCAAATGTTTTATTTACTTTTTACTGTAAAAACTGTTTCCAATACATACCCGGGGTTTGAACCCTGTATATAGTCGTCATTCATTCATCCATTCAAGCATCAATGCTCTTTGCAACTCTAACTCTGTAATCCTCTATCAAACAGCCCAGTAATCCTGGCTGCCTCTTACATGGCATAATGCATGATCATTTGGGCTGCTCCTCATATTCCCTCATTTCATTTGAGAGCATTAACAGCTCGCAAAACTGAAAACTTTGTCTGTTTATATGTGCGACTAGTTTGACCTCAAATTTAGGGTTCGGTTCCTCAAGAATCTTTCACACTGTAGTGACCTGGAAAACCCCCCAACACAATACACATTTGTATCTATTATCTGAGTTTTGGAACATTTTTTAAAAACAAGGAAAGTAAGAAATCCCTAAGCTCAGCTGGTTCAAAGCAAGTCACACACATCCTGTCAGTCCAATCTAAATCACGGCAGATGGACTTCTGTGTTTTTGCCAACGATGCAATATTGTACAAAGATGAACAAATTGGTCCTTGGATTAGAGAGGGTAATCTGCAAATTCCATGTTTTATATAACTTTGAACCAGTGTGCATGTTTGCTCATGATGTCTACACAAATACCCTGTGAGTAGTTCAGTGTAACTTCATAATTGGTTGTGCTCACATTGATATTGGAGCTAAGTAGAGCATAAGCACTTTTCAGAACATCTGATCAGCAGCAGTAAACTTAATATTTTTTATTACGGTTCATGAATCTTATTCGAGTGCTCAACATTTGCGTACTTCTGTTGTACATGACAATTCAGTCAAGGTGAACAATTTGATTCAGCAAAAGTCATTAGTCATTGCCATTTTTGTGTGAAGATTTGGGAAACGTGATCTAAAATCTTTATCTTTAAGAAAAGGTGTGGCAGCAGCTTCTCTTTGTTTTCCAGAAGGCGGCAGTAGAGAATATTTACAAGCTCCTTAAGGAGGTGTTAGTGATGTAATCTACTGGAAACAGAGCTCCTCTAAGCATTTAGTTTGTATTTTAATCCTGGACAGTTATAGCTGGTTGTGAGCAGGTAGGACGGTTTTACCCTAAATCGAATATTTGTTTCCAAAGACCATATTTCTCTACTATCACTAAACAAGGTGCATGTCCATCTAAAGTTGAAATTTAACTGTAGAAAGAACATATAAGTAAGTCAAAATACTATGCTACAATTTCAAGGATCTTCCACTTCGTTTCAGATGATTTTGTTTACTGCAATACATTAAAGTTGTGTAATGTACACTCTGGATTCAAATGTAATGTTGTTGATTACTTAAAGTTTAAAGCAATTATATGAACTTCACCTCCAACTAACATTAAAGGACTGCTTCAGCATTTCATTTACAATATGACAGAATATCCCTGGCTGGGGCGACTCTGCACGCGTTAATCTGACTTCTACTTTGATTTACCAAAGTAAAAGGGATTCGTTGAGAAAACTCATTTTCTTTTAGTACAATTGTCTAAGATGTACTCAATAAACTGTTTGAATTACAAATTACGCTCTTTCTTTATTGGTAGTAAAATCCTTACAGGTGTTTTAACAGCAACCGCCTTTGACAAAAAGACACCAATTAAAACCGATAAACCACGACAAATACATCAGTAAACAAATTAGATGCAGCCCTTTCAATTGGAAAATAAACGTATCATGGCGGCTATGAACCAGGAGTCCAACCAGTGCAGTTACACCTGTGCAGAAGGATTAAAGGTCTTCCCAGCACGATCACTTTGGTTCAGGGCCCCATGGCTGATCTCTTTAGTTAATTCAAGTGTCATGAAATCTCTTGTAAGGAGCTTGGTTGGATCCCAAATAAACTGTCTTGCTTGTTGGAATCTGAATGACTTCATTCCCGACAGGAGATAAGAGGACTTTAAGCCACTAGGGTGTCAACAAATGGTTCAAACGGTGAGATTTATCTGTCACGGAATGACACAGAAACCTTAAAGAAAACAATGACCGGTGATAAATGATGAAACTTTTTTCCACCACATGAAAATCACGTTGTTGATGCAGAAGGATTTAAGCTGTTTCAGTGTATTTCATCTATCTGTAAACACACACACACGCACACACCTGCAGATACAAACACGCACACACATATCATTCCACAGTTCATACTTGACCTTGAAAAGATCTGTTGAAAAAACAGTTTTAAGGTCTATTTAGCATCTCTTCCAGTGCTTCTAGATTTAGTTTATTTTGCCATCTCGTCTTTACCGCAACATCGACGAAGAGACCTGTCCACCAAATGTCCAATTGGAAACATTCTCATTTTCATGGCAACAGAGCGGATCGGATCTGCTGATAAAAGTCACGAAAGCTCAAGGGCGGCTAATAAATTATACTTTTTAATTTGTGTCGAGCAATATCAATGTTTCAGCAGCCTCTTCTGCTCCAGTCTCATCTTGAGCTCTGAGACCAGCGCTGAGTTCACGGTGTCCTGTCTGTTCATGTACGGCTTCTTTCTCGGTTTGGGGGCCACTGTTGCAGAGACGCTCGGCACTGCCCACTGCCTCTCCCCCGGGATGTAAGTGGGCGGCGGAGGGGGAAGAGATGGGGCGCGAGGGGGCGGAGGCCACTGCCTCACCACATCGGTCACGTTGTTGTTATAGTTGACATTCTCCACGATGACCTCCGGCTCTTCCTCTTCCACTCTGAATTTCTCTCCGGGAGTTTCTAGTACCTTGAAGGGGTTTCTGATGTTCCAGGGCTGTTTCGGTTGCCTCCTTCTCACACGGCGGTTAGGCAGGATCCGGTTGGACTTTTTGTTGCGCATGAATGTTGCAGTGGAGATGACGACTGTGACTACGACCATGAGAATAATGACACCAGCAAGCATGCCTAGGATTTGCAATGGCTTGTTTCTATTGTGCATCAAAAATGATCCCAAAGGCCCCCCACTGAGTTGGGTCTGTAAAAGAGCACAGGGACAATTCATATCCATGGGACTGAAGTCACAGTACGACACACATTAAGATTAACTTTAAAATATCGTCCCGTGTATGAACTGTGGTCCTGCATGTGTTCATTCAGCTTCATTTTGATGAAGCTGAATGTGAGGTGCAAACTAAATGACTGCAAATGTATAATACTGATAATAAGACTGTTCGTCCCTTACAAGTCAAACATACTTGATAAATGATGGTTTGAGTCTAATTAAATGTTCTACTGTTTTTCAAGACAAGATCAGAGAGGTTGACTGGGAAACCCAAAGCTGAGACCATCCAACATCTGAGAATGAATATGTGAATCTATGAGAAACTAAATTTGGTCATTTTATTATTTGTTGTGGTGTCATATAGTACTAAATCCCCAGAAAGGGACAATGAGAAGTGTGCTCCTGTACTCTTTCACAGACACTTGTTCTATTACAAAATTCTTTGAAAAGGAAACTCTGCACATTCTTGGTACTGCGGAGTCAGAGCTGCAGAACCGCTGTGCCGATGATCTCAAAAGGCAAGCTTCATTTACGGCACAGGCCTCCTTATAATCTTTCTGATCTTGCCCTGAGCTTGTACACGGGACTTTTTCACAGAGTTCCAGTATATAAGAGTCGAAATGACGATTGTCAGTGAAATGGCGAAGGTGACAATGCTAAAAAAAATCCCAAACACAGCCCCCGGACGTCTCCTTAGGCCCAAGAAGTATGAGACAAATCTGGATTTGATCTGAAAACATGACAATTGCATTTGTGTGAGAATCACATATTTTGTCCTGACAACTCATTTTTAACGTTAGCTTTTTTTGCAGAAAGCCGCACATACTAACCGATCAAATGTTTCAACATTTGATTATTTGCTTCCACTACAGACCGTTGATAGAAAGACCAACACTCTCTGGGAATATAGATGGAAAATAGCAGTAACACATTTGGATGATTTTTCATATGTGTGAGAGCCATATTTTTTACATACCTTTATAACTAAATTAAACAACATTTATTTCAATATAATAATATAGTATATAGTAGCCTGGAGCTACAACTAGAATACATTAGAGCAGCATAACAGGGCATTGTTATCCCAAACCCTGTTAGTCCACTGATGGACTGATGGTTGTGACTTTGTGACGTTTTAATGCATTTAAGCTTGTTAGCATTCGGTTCATATAATATATACAGCTGTGACGCCTCATAACGGTTTGACTTATAATTCTTCATCTAGTTGTTAAGGCAACTTACGGCTTCAGTGATGTCGATCTTGATGACCGCCGTGGTGCTGAAGGACGGCTGGCCGCGGTCCCGAGCCTGCACCACCAGTGACCAGGTGCAGTCCCTCTGCTTGGTGATGTTCTGAATGATGGCCATGGACTTGATGTAGGACTTGAGCATGATCTCCCCCGTGTCAGTGTTGATATCAAAGATGTTGTTGTCTGGCTCGGCTTTCATGATGGCGTACTCGATAACGTTGTTTGGCACTTCTGCATCGTCATCTACAGCCTGCGTAGATGTGTTTCAGTAAAAAAGATAATACTTAAGACATGAGTTTCACTTCGTCTGACGCAGTACGTCATGAAAGGGCAAATACCTCTATTTTCACTGGTGCTCCAATCACCATCGTCTTCTCCAGGAAGTTGTCATTGAATGCGGGCGGGTGGTCATTCAGGTCCAACACAGTCACAAAGACCTCAGCCAGGCTGTACTTTCCCTCCGCATCCTCTGCCTTCACATAGAAGTTATACTTGGACTTCACCTCCGCATCCAGGCTTGCCCACGGCTGTGTGTACATGATCCCAGATGAGGGCTGGATCAGGAACCTGTGATCGTGACAGGATATGTTAATATGATCAAGAGTTATTATCTATGCAATTGAGAGCCACGTTTTTTAAATATGAATCATTTTTGATCATGTAAACCATAATTTTATGTCACGAGTAGGAACGTGAGCCTTTATGAAAGGATCATTTATTTATTCATGATTTTATTTAGCTTTCTGAAGGGATGGACACCTAACCCTAAAAACAAGTAGTCAAACTTTAAGAGCTACTATCAGAAGTCTACAAAGTGGCTTTTCCTTGCTGAGTAAAAGCACATAACTTAAATTACTGCTTGACATCAAATACATTTTCTTCGTAAACGGTTAATGTATAGTGAGAGATTGTTTCACTCACCAACTTGTTTAGTTACCCTACAGTGACTTTATCCCAATCAGAAGAAACAGAAGTCTATTTTCTCCTCTAATCCCATAACAGGATTAACAAAGACACACAAGAAGGTAAAGAGCAAGACATGTTCCTGTCTCCCCTCTACAAGATAACATATAACAAGTGTAAAGTCAGAAATGTCAAATGTATAGTTTAGCAGACCCCGTGTAGGTTAACAAGAGATTTCTGGAGTGAACTGAAGCGACACCGTTAGAAACTGGCTTTGACCAAAGAAGCTTCCACTAAAAAAACCAAAGTGCTCCAAATCTCTTTGCTGCTTATTTTGGGAATCCTGCTGTGTGAGGTCACACGTCTCTAAATCGATGCTGCAGAGCTCGAACCTTTACCGAGAGGTCAAAGCACACTCTACCACTACCTTAAACAAGTCTCCACTGACATACACCTGTCTATTTATGCCGCGTTGTCTTGTATGAAATAAGGTATGCACGTTAAAATGTGCTTTGGACGTGCAGCTGATCTCACAGGCCGTATCTGTATGTGAAGGGAAAGGCCAGCTGAGGGTATGTTGTGTGTTATTAACAGAGAACACTGACTGCTGATCTTTCACTCAGAGGTTAGACTTCTTACAGGAAATCTAATAAAAATCGAGATGAGATAAAGTACGAGCAAATCCTCTGAGGGACTACAGCAAATAGGACCAAACTGAACAAAGTTGTAAAATGAAAAACAAGTCTGCTGCTTCCGTACTGCACTCTTTCAAGCAGATGTGTACTCACAGCGGGAGGTATTCATAAATACAGTGGTCTATAATTAAAAAGCCACATCTGTTAATAATTTCAACAAATTTCCTGTTTTTCTACTGTCGACAAATACTGGTATCAGCTGATAATATTTTTGTATAAGCCTTGGTGACTTTATTTGGATGTTTACACATGAGACAATGGGGCAATACAGAGTCTCAACTGAGGCAAACTTTAATAAAAGGAATTGCTTGTTCATGTAATAGAATAAATGTATTTTTTTGTGACGGCCGATAGCATTACACGGCTGAGATCCATTTGAAGATGGGGCCGGTGCTGAATAAATATACTTTTTTTTAAAGTTAAAATAACATTCTTATACTCACAAGTCAGCCCCTGATCCATAGATGGAGTACTTCACGTCTCCCCAAAGTCCTGAGTCGGGGTCTGATGCCTGTAGACAAACAGAAGACATGATTTGGTTTGAAGCACTCGTGCATATTATGTCAGTTTAATAGCAGTCGGTGTAATCTGTAATTCTCTCAGTGAGCAAAGGCATTTCCCACTTTCAACGTCACAATGCTTATAGACCTCCAAAAAATGATGTTACATTTGTTCGTGCATCTTTACTAAATCAGAAAAGAGAACTGTCTGCTGCCGTGAACTCAGTAAATTGAATGAATATGCTCTGGATTGGAAGATAACAGTGCAGGGGTCAGCTATAAAAAGACTCTTTTTTGATGTCATGTTAACATCGTTATGGGCATTGGGCTAATCTGCCAGTCTGTCTGTCCCTGCAGGGATGCCAGTTTGCTGTCTGAATGTGTCCAAGGTCACTTGCCGGCTGTTCTTTCATCTGATTGAAATTGCCTCGGATCAAGGAAATGAGCCTCTGTGGCGTTCACGCAAGGGCAGGATTTATCAGCAGACCCCCCCCCCCCCCCCCTCCTGCTGCTTTGAGCTTCTGCAAGGCTGATATGAACCAAGGGCGATGAAAAAAACAAGTCATCCGTCCTTCATTTTTCAAACCAGCTGACGCTGGAACGCGTTGCTGAATGTGTTTATTTCGGCACACATTTCTGTGCTGCAGCTACATGTGCTGCTGGGGGCATTAGAGGGAAAAAATCAGGGAATTTGGTGTTACACAACGAAATGAAAGTGATAGCCATCTGGCAGCTTACCTCGCCTGGCTTTTATCTATGTTTTCACATATTATCCCCACCCCTCACCGCTCAAAAACTCAGCGTTCAGGGAATTAACGTCCCTCTTGAGCATTTCGTTCAAATCTTTAGCTCAGAGTGACGTACATTGCCGTTGGCATGTTTTTTCTTTTTTTGGACAGGATGAAGACTCTCACCGTCACAGACACCACATTGGAGCCGCCGGGTGAGTTTTCTGGAATTCTGGCGATGTAGTAATCGGAAGAAAATTTAGGAGCATTATCGTTTGTGTCCAGGAGATGAATGACGATGTCCGCTGTGGCACTGAATCTCTCGGGCGTATCGATCTCAACTGCGAGTAGCTGGAGGGGAGAAGGATGAGAAATAAAGCAATGTCAAAAAGAGCAACACACAGCAGATGCAGGTGATACAACACTGCTATTTGTTGTGTGCGTGTGTGTACTATGTGGATGGGAGTGGGGGGGGGGTCGCCGCATGTTGACCTTGTATGTGAGGAAGTGGTATTTCTCATAGTCCATGGCAGCCGAGTCTTCTACTAAGATTGTGACCTGGGCATCATTGAGTACAGTCTGCGGGACGACTCGCAGCATCCTTCCTGGTCCAATCAGTCTGAGGTTAAATTTAGCATTGGCGCCCTGCAAGAGAACAACACACACCATCATGTTATCAGTACATCTCATTAGTGCAAATGAAAGTTATATTGCAGATGCTTGGATCTATATGTGGTATGCAGACATACTGCATAACCCATGTGGTACACAGTCCATTCAATTAATACGAAATCTTCGTATTTATTACCGTAATGTAAAATAAATCCATAGGATATCAGTGGTGGAAGATAATATCTCCGGACAGAGAGAGCTCGCCATGATGTTGTAACAGTATTATCGGAGAACCCATTTGGTGAACATCAGCTATTTGGCCGAGACTCAGACAAGAAGCTGGAAAACCCAAAGTGACTAAGCTGACAAATGGTACAACTACAGCGCGCCTTTTAATTTGTGTTGGCTTACTTTCAAATTTTGTGCAATTTTAAAAGGATTGTCCATGATAATGGCAGGCTTAAAGTCATTTCATGGATGGAAAGGCACAATGAATGTTGATTATTAGATAACAATGTAATTTGGCCTTGGATGAGTGTTATTACATAATCAGTGTAACATAATCATTATAGCATCTACGGTAGAGACCGTATCAGGGCTAAAAGTTATAAACTACTCCGTAAATATATAAACTGTTTAGTCTATTTCAAAATAATGAGTCAGTGTAGGTGAAAATGTGGAAGACAATATTGGCCCCCCCACCTGATCGGAGTCGTTGACAGTGATTTTCAGCCCCCGGAGTATCTCCCCCTCAGGCGGATGCTCATACATGGTCAACTCAAACATGTTCTGAGGGCCGTTCTCTCCGTAGAAAGTGGGGGGATTGTTGTTCAGGTCCACCACACGGATCACCAGTGTGGTCACCCCGTGGTCCATAAGTCTGCCTTCAGGACTTACTTCAGAGGCCTGGACCAAAGGTTGGGTGCAGGTTGTACAGGTCAGACCACATTTTCACAGACTCCAGGATTTTTACCAATTTCATTGTGTGAGCTGCAACTTACCTTGACCTTAATGTTAAAGACTTCTCTCTTCAGATACTTAGAGGGAGTCAGTAGTGTGATGCAACCAGTTGTTTTATTTATGCTAAAAATACCATCGTCGCCTGGAGAGACAAACAACAGACTTACAAACTTACAAACAATCACTCGTTTGTCCTTCAAATGAAGTGCTTACCATCCTCAAAGGAATAGCGGATTGGATTCGGGTTTCCCACATCTCCATCTTTGGCAAGAACAGTGAATATTTCTGATCCCTGCGGAAAAGATCATCGGAATGTTTTTTATTTTATATCACTAGAAAAATGTGTGGTTAAGTTCAAGACCAAGATGCAAGAATGACCTGGAATAAAGCTGGCTGCCTGTAAATTATACTTATTTAACTCACGGATACTACTAATATTCTTAGAGAACTTATTTTTTACTGATAAACAACTCACCCTCAACATGATGAAACTCAGTATTAGGTTGCATAACATTGTTAACAAAACGTATGACATCTTGGTTAACATTTTCCAAGACAACGAACACAGGAGGACATTTAATGGTACATTTAAATGTCGTGATCCTAATTATTTCCAGAAGTCAGAACGTGTAATCTCTGACATTTTGTGACAAAGATAATGCAGCTTTCACCCGCTGTGAAGAAAGCTATGAAGATTGAGAAATGTCAACGATTAAAGCTGAGTGATCTGAGTTGATGATATCTGTCTTTTGATGCTTCTTCACAGAAGGTTGTTTCATACTCACTGGCACTGAGATTTCATAAACATAGCCGAAATACGGTGTCCCGATAAAAGATGGCGGCGTGTCCTGTACATCGATCACATTGATCGTCAGGGTAGCAGAAGACGACATGAACTGCTCCTTGCCATTAAAATTACCCCCACCATCCTTGGACAAAAGAAGAATCAAAATCAAATTTACCTTTCAAGAAAGTTTATACTCATCTGATGAGGGCACTATTGTACACAGAGTTCCAGCTACTTTGACTTTTAAAGTATGACGATTTTGGTTCTCCGCTGCGCAAAAGACACATTTATTTAGTTTTCAAGCGCCTATTACCTTTGCAATGACAGTGACGAAGTGGGTCTTTGTCTTTTCATAGTCCAACATTTCCCCAGATCTGACACGGAGGACACCACTATGTCTGTCAATGGCAAACAAAGTGGACTGCGGATTCTGTAACAGAAAACCAAAAACAAACGCAGGATTTTACTTTCTCAGTCACGTGAGTAAAATCCTGTCACTGAAACCCCCTAAACAACTCACGAGAGATATCATGAATAGTGGTCAGATGGTTACATTAAAAACTCTAAATGGCCACTTGAAGTACCATCCAGAGTCATACACAGCGCATAGGGTACGTGCAGAAGGACAGAGAAAGCAAGGTGAAAGCTGCTGTGTCCAGATGTGCAGTGCATCACTCGTCTCTGTCACTCCACCAGGCCAGCTGTTCTTTGGGCCTAACGGCCCACAGTGCAAACCAACATTCTCTGCCACACCGGTCAAAGCCTTCAGTACCGAACACAAATGTAATTGGGATTTAATCCCCATCCTCACCACCACCAGTTATACCTGAAGGAAGTAGGTGACTGAGCCTCCGGAGCCCGTGTCTTTGTCCACTGCTTCTACTTTGTAGATGCTGATGCCAGACTCAATTGTCTAAAAGACAGAAAATGATTTAGGTCACATTGGGTTTAAAAAGAACTGAATCTACCCAGATCCACTTGTATGTTACTTTAATAATATACAGTCTTTTTTTTATTCATACAAAGAGAGCGTGTTTTCAGGTTCACAAAGCATCCCGTGTTGGCTTAACTTACTTCCAGGACGTCAATTATTGCTGGCATGTTTTGGAATTCAGGTTTTTCATCGTTTGCATCCATTACAAATACTGTGACTCTTTCCACTACCTAACAAGAACAACAAAAACACATAAAACATATTGAAATGTATTATAGTGGGATGAATTATTAGGTATGGAACCAGATACCATGATCACCTGCTGAACTAAATCCTTACCCTGCTTTGCCCATCTGTGATGCTAACCAGAACATCAATAGAATCTTGTTTCTGAGCAGACAAAGAAAACAAGTTGATAAACACAAAGACATCTCTTAGTGAAATTGCTCATGCATTCCACCTGTATGCTACATTTACTTCTCTATCCAGCTGTTCCACCAATGTGATGTTTCCAGATTTGGGGTCAATCCTGAAGTATTCTTTGGCCCCCGGGTCAAAGGAAAGACCATACCTCACATCCTGCCCCTCAGGGTCCGTCCCGTTGAGGCAATAGATCTGTGTACCTGGAATCATAAATGTTGTGACATTAGCTTATAGGGCAGACTGGAGGAGAGTGAATGTATAGGTAAAAAATGTGACAAAAGCCAGCGTTATCATCATAAAAAGTACCCTGACTGGAAGGTGTCCTGGAATGCACCAAATTCACAGACAGCAACATTTTTCCTCACATCAACAAGTGGTGCCAACAAATGAGCATGTTGGTGTGAGTATCTACTTTACAAGCAATACGATGCCTGTTCAGCCATCAAAGACTATTTACCATCATGGGCTCACAAATGCTTGGTTATCGCACCATCGTACCAGCTGTCCACACTAAATGTGCTGCATGTCAGAACGTACCAACAGCCGTATCCTCCGAGAGGCTAAACAGTGCCAGGTTCCCATTGTAGATGTAGGGTCCATTGTCGTAGAAGTGAGGGGCAAAGTCTGCATAAGCTACGGTGAAATAAAAACATCATTCAAGTGTTGTGGGTGTACAAATATTGTGTTTGCTGTCTATTTGTGTTTACTATGGACACTGTTTACAAGTTAAAAAGTATTATGTAGTGAGATGTAGCAATATTCCTTTTACAAATTGATCATTGAGTTACTAAACACATAAACATGTTTTCCTTCATCCAGTAACCACAAAGATACATACAGCCTTCATTTATAAACTTGGGATATAAACCAATGTCACTCAGTTTGACTGGGATTAAAGGTGAGTTACGTCAACCTCCTAAAAGACTCTTTCTATACATAGCTCTATGATCTCTGGGAGCCGGAATAATGCTTTTACTGTTTAGAATATCACAACCAACTGAATATTAACCATTTAAAACATTAACATTGTTGTGATTTTCATACAGAGGGAAACCAGACATATAAATAAGAACGAGGAACCAGGTAAGGCAAGACGATATAGATTTCAATAAAACTTAAGAAAAATGTACAATCATCTACCCAAAGAGACCCAAATATATCTGAATAGCATTTGCAATCTGATAACAACAACAAGCCAATGTTGAGCAGATCATTTAAAAGTTAAACTCACCGAGGCAGGGGTGTACAAACACAAAAAGCAGTGGCAGATGTAATATCCTTACATTCTTCATCATAAAGAACAAAGTTATGAAACCGCACCATGAAGACAGTTCCCTCGAGAGTCCTGTAAATCAGATTCGGCTCTCAAGGTGTTGGTGTGCGACTGGAAATGGCTGAAGGCAGAAGCTAATCCAATGACATCTTAGGAGAAACCCTTAAGAGCGTCCAACTGGGCTTCTTCAACCGCCAATCCACAGCAGACGGCGCTGTCGAAACTACAGCAGCTCTTATTTAATATGAATAATAAATAAACAGAAGTGTCATGGAAGAGATGTTGTTTTTGAAGGTAAGAAAGATGAACTGTCAAAATATTATAGCTTTACAAATTTAATGCAACACTATTCTACCCTCTGATCCAGGATGTAAACCTGATTTTAAAATCAGCTATTGTAATATTTTGCTGGTGAGGACATTTGTCAAATGTTATAATAATAGCCACCCAGTATATACTAAATTCTCCCTTATAAAAACGGTGTGACTCTTTTATGGGTGAAAATTATGTATTAAAAGTAACTTCTGTTATCTGTCTTTGATCTATTTTAGATCAAATGTTGTAACCACATCGACAAAGATTCTGTACTGTTTTAATATTCAATGTTTCGCCCCACAGTACCATCCGCTATACACTCCACAACCTTCTGTAGCATTAAGTAAATAAAAATATAACTAAGAGGCTCAGGTACATTTTTCATTTTTTTAAAGGGAAATCTAAATAAATTATAACGACAAACAACGCACAATTACATTTGAACCATAATGGAAGTCATGGATTTGATTTGTTTGGTTTGCAAAGCCCTTTAGTTGTTGTTAACGTTTGTGCATTGTGTCCCTCTTTAATTAAAAAAGGGGCAAATGATGAACTCTTTGGGACTTTTTAAATGATATTTTTGTGGCCTGAAACTGGCTAATCTTCATGTTTGATAATCTTGTTGTATAATATGCTAAAATATATGTTGCATAATATTAAGCCCTGTTGTCCTCCATCTGATGAGGAGAGCATTTCTAGAAACACATGAGGACACCGCGTGTCTACAAGTTTACGAGTCACTTTCAAAACTCTTTTTCATTCAATTCAAAAAGTGTATTAATGGAACTCAAAGCGGCACGAATGACCCAACTTAATTTAGTTAAACATGGACTTTATAAGGAACAGTGGGTAGGATTTAGATGGAAGTCATGGAATATAATGATAACATGTGTGTTTTCGTTTTTGTGTTGTCCCCTGTAATAAACAACGCAGTCTCTTCGGTACTACAGCCTGAGACATTTTTATCTACATTTCTCTTCATGTTTCCACTGTAGCCGAGAACAACGGCGGGAAAGAAATGTAGATTTTTACTAGCGTTGCAGTATTTTGCCATTCCCATTGAAAAAAGTCAGAAGAAGTGTTCGTCCGAGGGGATTTACACACATGAATAAACCATTGACTGTCCATTCTCACACTAAATGTAAATCTACTTTATAATCTGAGTGGTGCTGGTAGACTCTACGCTATACAGCGTGAGCTCAGTGGATGCTCGCTGCACAAGCTGTGCTTTCAGAAAACCTTAGGTTTTCACATGGTGATACGGAGCGTGAGAGTGACAAACACGTGCAGAATAAAACCAGCAACAGTGAATGACTTATGATCAAAGTCCTTTTGTAGCATCCAACTGTCCTGCATTAGGCAACGTAGTCAAACTCCATCACTTATTTTTACCCACTTCGAAGCAGAACATGGATCATTTTTACACAATGGGCGCAGAGTATATCAAACGAGAAAAGATCACTTGTCAGATTATTTATGTACGTTGGAAGTCAAGGCCGTGGCTTCAGGTTAAATTCTCATGGTCCTGGCAGATGGCTGGCCAGAAGATTAACCCACTGTGCTCTAATCTCACCTCATCTTGTAATGCGCAGAGCCTGTTTGTGGCGCACGTCCTCCATCAGACATACATGTACGGTACAATTAGCGCGCACAAATAATAGCCTTCTATCGGTGGATACGTTGCATATAGTTTGCAACAATATGTGAGCTTAAAGAAATAGTTTTTTCTTTTTTGTCATCTGTCAAAAGTCAACGGGAGTTTTGTTAAGAAATGTTTAAACCCTCAGATGTATGCCAGTATACATACATTTGATTGTTATACCTGATGCCGCAACTTAAATGTGCAAGTGTCTTTGCAAGGATCACTGCAAAAAATCATACGGATAAAAGCTCACTGCTCATCTGTAGTCATCTCCTTAGTTTCTAATCCTCAGCCTTCAATCACAGCGACATGCTGACCTCTTTGTTCCTATTGAGGACGGAGCCACACGGCCGTCCATAGGGAAATTTCAGCGAGATGCTCATCACTTCAGCCTGCTGCTGTACGCTCATAATTTCATCTGGATTATTGTTTTACGCAGACAAAGCTACTACTCCAACAGTACGGGTACAGACAAGCCACTGACACAAATGCACCATGTCTCGAATCATATTGTTCTCTTTATCCAAATGCACCTCCAGTGTTGCTCCTTAGAGGAATTGGCAATCTAAGCCGGCAGAATTCCACAACTCAAGAGCAGCAGAGGAGGAAACAAGGATGAATACTGATATGTTTCCTTCATGGGACTACTTTCAAATGCAAACAAATGTGTCGGCCATCACTAAATTACACAGTAATAAAATGTGCCGTCTCCTTTCATTTATTCAACTCCCTTTTTTTTGTTACATTTATCTTTTTGAAGGCTTTTTAATTGTCTCTCGCTTTTTATCTTCAGAGATTTATAATGAAGCATTTTGCATTATCCTGTGCATGAAATGGGCTGTAAAATTAAAGTTGCCTTTCCTAGCTGTGCGCTAGTGTTATTTTAAATTTTGAACTATTGAACTAAAACAATCATGTGCCACATATCTTTATTATCGCATTGCTGATGAATTGGAATATATATATATGCTTCCCTCTGCTGCATGTTACCGTTATGTGGTTGAAGTTGAGTGCATGTTTCTGGCCATTTATCAAGAAGCGCTGTTGACGGAGAGAGCTGCAAGTGGAATTAGTTTGGCTCAAGTCCTGTTCATATCTCTGAAATGTGACGACTACCAAACAACAGTTCTACTATGACGTCATGAACATTTGGATTACAAGAATTCCAATCATACCAAAACTACACCAGTCACACAAAAAAAAGCATCATTATATCAATCCTACTTCTCCATTCCGAATAACCAATGTGTTCACGTGTACAGGATTGGCAGAAATAAAATTGAAATATTATTGTGGAGAAATCTGATTTACCAGGTCAAAAATAGTCTGTTGGAGCACCTGTTGTCAAAACACCCAATTCAGCTTTGCCATTTTGGATTATTATTGATAATCTCTAGTGGGGTTTGCCAAGGGCAGACGTTCGCTTTTAGTCCTGGTCCACTCTACAACTAGGTCACTCCTTTAATCTCTCCATGCAGAGTATACTGTAGGTTGACAGCCTTTTCATTCCATAAACCTCAAAGAGTGCCAGCAGCGTGAACAGAGAGACACGAACCACCCGAAATCCTAAAAGAGCAGACACACTTCTGCAGGGATCGTAAAGGATCGAAAAGACCACCAGCAGATAGAATACAACAACCAAAACACGAAGCCTTGCTAGTCTACTTTATATACATGTATAATACACTTTTTAGTAAAACAAGTGATACGGTGTTTAGGTGAATTTGACGTGACGCTGTTGCACATCGTAGTATAAAAAGTGAGCCTCAGTCTCAGCTGCTTTTACACTGCTGCCCTCATGTGGTCAGACACTACCAGTGCCGGAGTGGGTCAGGAGATATTTAGAAATGAAATGACCGCATCTGGATCCGAATGAATGTACGTCACATGTTTTAAATAGTGTGTAATGGGAGGCAGGTCACAGCTTCCCTTCAAATTATTCTAATTACATCATGTCTGCGGCAACAGGGCTGACGTCAGCATGGCTTTAATGAAGAATGTTATTAAGCGAAACTGAATGGCAAAAATATAAAGGGGTAATGATTTGTTAATAATCGTTGTGCATTTCGTTTTACGGTTTGTTACTGAACTTTTATGCTTCCATCTTGGCCAGGTTCTATTTAAATAAAGATTATTTTGGTTAGATAAAGGTCAAATAAATGAAGAAAGATCAATGTATTTCAAGTTGAAGGAAACACTCTACATTTGATTGTATGTTTTATCTACCGACATGTATCTATATGTGAACACTATTAGCAGCCTATAGTAAGATTAAGGATTTCTCAATTGTGCTTCCTTTTTCCGATTGGATAAACAGACACCGAATCTCCAAACATTCTTGAATCCACCCGGTAGACGATTGTCGTTGATGTAAAGCAGTGTACAATGAAAGGGGGAGGGGCCTCCTCACACACATGGGTGCAGGGGGGATTTGGGGATCACGTGACCTCGCCCACACCGGATGACGTGCGCTGCTCGAGCAGCGGCATTAGCACATGGGGGGAAAGTTGACTGAAAGTTTCCTAAGGGATGATAGTTAAGCAAAAAAAAAAAATGTTTAGGACAAATTACTGCATCTATCTCCCGGTTTATCAGAGATTCCAACAATGACCTCTGTAACACAAAGTTGTGTTGTTTTTTTAAACTGAATATTTAATTTAAAAAAATCTAAAAAACATGTTATACTTCCGCTCGCCTTCCGTTCAGCCCTCCTCCTAAACCTCGGTGTTTGTGCAAGACGTCCGGCTCCTCCGTGCTGCCTCTCGTTCATCCGGGCAGGAGAGAGGAGCCCCCGCGCCGCGGACACACAATGAAGCAGTGTGTGTCCTCCTCCGACACAATGCTGCAGGATGCCACGAAGGGGACCACGCTGCTCCTCGCCGGATCACAGACGAGAGAGAGACACAGAGAGATCAGCTAAAGGTTCGTAACATCTGGAACTCGAACATCACCAGTTTTTTTTTCTGGCAGGAAATGACTGAAAGCTTTAAAAAAACAACAACAACAAAAACGAAACCTCCGACGCGGCCGTGCACGCGCAACGCGACGTGAATAACAACGAAGTATGTCACTGTGTGTGTGTGTGTGTGTGTGATGTGCGTTTCTTATTATGCTGCAGGTATAAACGATGGTTGCGCGAATTACGGAGGCTGTCGTCGTCTCGCATAATCAATAACTCTCTGTATTGGAGACGTGAGTCAGTCATAGAATCATTTATTCCAGAGTGCATTTTGAATATTCCAAAGCCTCACAGACTTAATAGTGAGCAGAAGTATTCATCAGTCTGTATTCATTCTGGTTCAGTGGGTACGAAGGCTCCTGAATTGAATGCCCCCTCCCCCCCTAATGACGGCTGTAGCATCCCCCCTCAACACTCCTCACACACACACACACACACACACACACACACACACACACACACACACACATATACATCGATTTCTATACATATATAGATATAGATACATATAGGAGGGAAGACTTATTTATTTGCAAATGACATCCAAGCCCAAATCCATGAATCCTGAACCGGTTTTCGGTATTTGCGTGAACAGTCCATTGTTTACACTACAATGCCCCTGGATAACCAGCGGAGCCTTCCAGGCTTTGAAGGCAGCCATTAATGTAATTTGTAGTGAGATGATAAGCAGAGTGATGTGCGTTTCTGCTTGAGTAGAGAGTCAGATTTGCCAAGCGCTCCAGTGACTCCTGAATATGTAAAAGTGCTCCGCTCAAGTGCTTCAACCTGACAGTTTGACGCCTATGGTGTATTAAGCTCAGATAATTGGGTGATATTTACTTACAGAGCGCACAATCACTCCACAAACTGTGTCCCTTTTCCCCTAATGACATCCTTTGTAGAAATTATTCACTGTCTTGACGGGTTCAAATTGTACGTGGGCGGGGGCATCTGTTGGCTACATTCATTTTTCATTAACATGAAAGTTGTTAAAATGATGTCGGAATAGTTATTTGTTGTAACGTGTTTGTGGGTTATCTTTCTGACTGATTTGCCTCAAAGATCAGCCTACACAGTATTAGTAGTATTGTACGAACCGCTTCTAGTGATCAAGTAGTCTTACAGGGTTCATTTTGGAAACGTGTGGGGAAAAACTACAATGAATATTTCTTTAAACGTGACTCCCGGAGCCCTGTGCTTCTCACAGGCTGCCTGAGGCCACGGGGAGTTTTAAATGATTGACTTTTCTTTTCTCTAAATGAAAAAGGCTTCTCAAAGTTGCTGACATGCTGCAAAAATGGCTTCCACAAAAAACGAGGAACAGTCCCTATATTCATCCGAACAGAGATCACAAACACATCCGCTGGACTACGCTCAATGATGGAAGATCTGGTTTTGATAGAAGTTCTGACTTTCCCTGCATACATCTGCTGCTTAACATTAAAAAACAATCTCAAATGATCCCTTGACTGTTGAGGCCGGTGCATTATACAGTTTTTGAGAAATGATGCCAAACACCAGCACATGTGTAACAGACTCACTTCTTGACTCTTTGTGAACGAGATGGGGCGGCGGGGGGGGTTTAAATATCACAGCGGCTGAAAGCATTTTTACCTGACTCAGTGCCATGTGGAAGGGATCAGGATGAAAACCCGCTCTGTTTACATTAAGTCCCCCCCTCTCATCCGTCGTCTTCTTCATCACTGACCCAAGTCTGACCGAGAAGCCGGGCCGTCCTTTTTCCCCCGGTCCCTAAGAAATGAGGCAAACAAGAAATAAAGAGGCGCCGTGTTGCACAAACTTCAGGACATTCCTCCGGTGTCAGATCAATGCAACTGTTGTTTTCGAGCTAAGACGGGAAGCCATTTGCCTCTTTGTTGTTTCTGCCTCATTTAGTTTTATAGTTTATGTCTTCCACTTAATGCAATGTCTGCTGCACGACTTCATGGTGGTGCTGGACATGCATTTGTTACGGCTTCTCATTTAGCTTTATACTCTATTTACCTATGAAAAGTGTTGAGCCAAACACAGTTTCCAGGATAACGATGTATGTAACGATGTGTCACAGATGAATCACGTCTATTTGGTTCACGCTGCCTATTTACTCAACTGTCTGTCTTCTTACAGAATGAAGCTTTAGCCTCTGCGTGACGAGCTTTCACCAGCCCCGCAGACTAGACTCTTTAAGACGTCCAGTGACGACGCCGTGACTCAAGAATGAAGACCAAATATGCAATTGTCTTCATCTGTATCGTGGCCCTGGTCATCATCGAAAAGGAAAGCAACATCCTGTCTAGGTAAGAGATTGAAGAACAATCAGTCGTTAAGTTGCAGTTCAAATGTATTTCCTTAACGGAGATATGCTTCTGCAATTGAAGAAGTACTACTCAAGAAACACATCTGCCTCCGTCTCGATATCTAAATAAATGTATGGAAGCTAGTGGTGTGCAGTGATTGGGTGGAGTCGAGTGGCTAAAGGACACCTTGTAGCTTCAAAGCAGCCTTTTGTAACTTATGGCCCTTTTCAGAATTCTGAGGATCAGGTGGACTGTAATGGACTGTAAATACATATTCGATCACCTTCAGCTCTATTGAACATAACATTAATATTCTGCTTACCTTCACCCATTATTGTTGCTATTATGAATTCAACGTTTTCCTTTGCAATCCTTTAGCGCTCTGCCTCCCACTGGCTGAGTATAGCTGCTTTCAAAGGAGGAACAAACAGTACTCACAGCGCTTCACTTTTTCCACATTTTGTAATGTTACAGCCTTATTCCAAAATGGATTAAATCCCTCAGACTTCTACACACAACACCCTGTAATGACAAAGTGAAAAAAGCTTGATCAAAATTTGTAGACTGTAATCAAGTTGGAGAAACATCTCAAGGATGATCAGTGGAAACAGGACGAGCCTGAGATCAAATGCGAGTGTCACGGCAAAGGCTGCGAATAATGTACATGTTGTATTTTCGTTCTTGTATTGCAAAATTTCCATAAAACCTTTTTTCACTTTGTCATTATGGGGTGTAGAATTTTGGAATTTAATTAATTTTGGAATAAGGCTGTGACAAAATTAAAAGTGAAGAGCTGTGAATACTTGTCAGGATGTCTGTAAATATGCTTATTAAACCTTCTGCTGAGTTATCTGATGAGATTGACTCCGCTCATATGAAGTTAGTAGTGCTCTTATCATGTAACTCAGGAATAGAATCAACGTGTCGCTTTAACTGAAACACCCTAAATGTAAAATATTCAAATTATCTTTGCTGTTTCTACTGCTAATCCAACCTCTCCATCTCTTCAAGGGTTTCTGATAAACTGACCCAGCGGCAGATTCCACAGCAGACCCCACAGACTCCTCTTGATAACAGCAACACAACACAAAATGGCTCCCTGGCAATGCTCAAAATCCTGCTCTCTAAACTCACCGGTGCAATGGTGAATTACTCCAGTATGTCTGAGGAGCAGGAGGACCAAGACCCAGATGACTCGGGCGCATACAGCTTCAGCGGCGGCCGCAAGCACATATTACTCATGGCCACAACGCGAACAGGTTCCTCGTTTGTGGGGGAGTTTTTCAACCAGCACGGGGGGAACATGTTCTACCTGTTTGAGCCCCTGTGGCACGTGGAGCGCATGCTGACCGCGGCCTCGGAGGCCAACAACGGAACCGTGTCGGCAGGAATCTACCGGGACGTTCTCCAGGGGCTCTTCCTGTGTGATTTCTCCCCCCTGGAGAAGTTCATCTCCCCCCCGCCTCAGGACCACGTTACGCCGGCTCTTTTCCGCAGAGAGTCCAGTTTATCGCTCTGTGAAGAATCGGTCTGCAGTCCTGTAATCAAAGATGTTTTTGAAAGGTATTGTGCATTTTTTTAGAAACTCACTTGTTGAAAAAGGAAACTTCAATTGAACTGTAATGCAGTTTCACAGAGGAAGGGAGACTATATATATATATATATATATGTATATATATATATATTATGTATATATGTATATATGTATATATTTTATATATATATATATATATATATATATGTATATATGTATATATATATTTTATATATATATATATATATATGTATATATGTATATATATATATATATATATATATATATAATCACTGTAAGCTATTTTATAACTTAAAATAATATACATATTTTCAACCTTAACTGAGCCTGAGGTGAATGCTTACAGCTATCAGTCCTATCATTTTTTTAATTTTATATATTAGCGTCGCTAATGTTAATCTTTAACGTTAAAGTTTGTGTGCCGTTGACACAACAAAATGTTGCTTGGTGATTAGATGCTGCTTACCAACATGCCTGAAATGACTCTTTGAAACTCCGTGAAAGCTTTTACTACTTTTGTCTCAGGTACCACTGCAAGACTCGCCGCTGTGGCCCGGTGAACTTGACCCTGGCCTCCGAATCCTGCCTCTCCAAGCAACACCACGCCATCAAAACGGTCCGCGTGCATCAGCTGGAAACGTTGCAGCCCTTGGTGGAGGACCCTCGCCTGGATGTGAGAGTGATCCAGCTGGTCCGAGATCCGCGGGCCATCCTGGCATCCCGCATGGTGGCTTTCTCTTCCAAGTACCGCACGTGGAAGGCCTGGGCGCAGGACGGCCAGGTCCCCGAAGATGACGAGGAGGTGAAGAGGCTCAGAGGAAACTGCGACCAGATCAGGCTGTCGGCAGAGGTGGGACTGAGGCAACCTCGCTGGCTGCGGAGACGCTACATGTTGGTGCGCTATGAGGACATTGCCCGCTACCCCATGCAGAAGGCAGAGGAGATGTACAGGTTCACAGGGATACCATTTAGTCCCCAAGCGAGGGAGTGGATACTGAGGAACACTCAGACCACGCGGGAAGCCAGCGGGATCTACTCCACACAGAAGAACTCATCAGAGCAGGCGGAGAAATGGAGATTCAACATTCCCTTCACACTGGCGCAGGTGGTGCAGAGAGTGTGCGGGCCGACCATGGAGCTGTTTGGGTACAGGTTTGTCCACGATGAAAGTACGCTTATGAATAGGTCCGTCAGTTTGCTCGAAGAGAAACTGTTTCAGTAATCCAGAGGTCGAAACAGGTAGCTGACTTGAACACTTGCTATGGACCCGAGGCAGGAGAAGCCATTGGCGGCAAGATTTAGGCCGTGCAGTAGAATTCATACTCGCCAGTGATGTGCCTCTATGTGATAAGTGAAGAGCCACTTGAGAAAGAAAGTATTTATGTACACACCGCGTTGACCGAGGAGCCTGGTACTTAAGCTTTACGCGTTGCTCTCTGTTTCATTCAAGATGAAACGGCCATAGATGTCAAGCCGGACTTGTGAGGGATTCTTCCGTAGGATTTTATGATAGGTGATTATTTGTAGACATTCAGGGCTAGAGTACAGTGAAAGGGATATGTGTTTAGGTGTTCTGTGTGTGTGAACGTCTAAAAGAGATGTTTCTGTTCACAGGGTTTATGACGCTGGTGGTTCACTTTGTCAAGTTCATCCTGTCCTTTTGTATAAATTTGTACTCGACTAGGCAACTGATAGAATCGATTTAGATTAGATCTGATGTGCTTTCAAAGGACTTTACATATCCGACTCAGGTGAATGCGGTATCGCAATTTGTGTTGTTTTCATGGAAAACATTCATCTGTCATCTTTGACCAAATGCCATTTAAAGCAATGCTCAATATACCATAAAGAGGCCAATAGAAGACCTAAGATGTGTATTTGTAATACTTTTCAGGTTCTATATATATATATATATATATATATATATATATATATATATATATATATAGAATAAACGTCTTACTTCAGATACCTACATGTGTCTCTTACACAAAGCCAGTAGCTGCCTCATCACCTCAAGGGAAACAAGCATTTTGGTTGTTCATTTTCAAGGAGACTTCTGCACTTCAAGGACACACATTCTTGTGCAAGGAGGTTTTTTCTTTAAATCAGCTCCCGACTCGAAGAAAATAAATCACCAGAAATATTAAAACCTGCCAAATTCTAAACGCGCCCCCCTTTGAAATGTATTAGTTGTGAAGATTGCGAATGATGTCTTTGGTCCTTTAATAATGTATAAGATGTTAGGTCCACATGAATACAGTTACCCTCTATCACTTTACGTGAAGCCCAGGTGCTGTTGCGTTAACTGTCCCTCTCGATGGCACATAAAGGTATCCACTGTGGCTCCAGTTCAATGGTGGCATTGTGTCCAGCAGGGCTGCAGCACTGCTGAAAGTACCTTGCCGCTCGTGGAAAGGGATTTGCATTGGAGGAACATATAGACGGGAGCTTATACTAACTCAGCGTTTAAAACATGAATAGGAATACATTGCGACCTGCAGGCCTCGCGTTGCCCAAACTCACTGCTAAAGTATTTGAGCCAAAAGGGGAACATTATAAAGTACCAAGTTCAACGGCGAGAATGAGCACAGTCAGTTTATGCATTCAGCCCATTCAGATATGCAGAGTGCCAATAAAGTCCATCTTTATGTATGTGTTCGACTGGGGGGAGACGATGGGAGTTCAACCTCCATGGGGATACAATGTGTTAAATTGAATAAAATTGATTGTGAAAAATATGTAAGTATATTGCGGCAAGTCGAATTTGAGTTGCACTCTTTGTAACACGTAATACAAGTCTATACACATTATGAGTTTCCTCGTTGCTTTATTTTTTTTTACTATCATAAATAAGTTACCAGATAAAACCAACGGTCAAAGCAAAAACAATACATATCCTTCAACTTGGGCACATCTGGGAAAGGACGAGCGGGACCAATCCTTCTTTTACCTCATTTAAAGTTTGTCTGGAGTCTGGGCAAAGTACAATATTACACATTTATTTTTAGAATTTCTTTAATATTAACAGTGCTACTACTTTATTCTAATAATTTTTCCATCCCTAATAGCTGAGTATAATTATAAAGACTTCACTTGTCTCAAGATAAACAAGGACTCCCACTCATTCCTCGTCCATAGATTCCACTTTTAACATTTTCACAAAAGTATTTTTGTAAGCACTGGAATGCCAAACGGCTGAAAACCACATCGGATGAAATGGATATTAATGTTTTGAATGCTCGGCCCAACTCCACATCCAAAGGCGTGCTGTTCCCAGCGATCCCCAAAAGGCTCAATGGGGAAAAACTGGCGAATAAAGGCAGTGACAGAGAGGACATTCAAGTCTGCATTCTTTTAGCGCCTGACCGAAAGCCCTTGAGTGCACAGCTGTCGGTCAAGCTGACTAACCGAGAACCCTTCCCTGATGTACTGAACACTCTGGCAGCAACGCAGCAGATGTTGTCATCCATTTGAGTGGATCTCTCTTTGAATAGAAGTTGTTTTAAAGTTTCTAAATTATGAGGACAGATTAACTCGGCAAGCTTCCATTGGCATTCCTATTGTTGAACACATGTAAGGAACCGGTCTCACCCAAATGAGCCCTATCATGTTATAGATTTCAAATAAAATTAAACAAAGAAGCTAAATAAAAAGCAAGAGACGTTTAGTTTGTGGTAGCAGTAGCACAACTTTGCATCGTGTGCTCCATTGGAGACTCTGGTTTGGACAGTCATGCCATCAAACTGCTAACTACTGCACCAACAGTGGGACACAGTGTCCTTGGTTGAACTCATAGATTCAATGACTACTTGTGCTGTGTAAGGGAGGGAGGAGAGGGGGGCTAAGGAAACAGGAAACTCCCCCCTCCCCCTTATCAAGCTTTTCCGTCTCTCATCGATGTTCCTCCTCTGACGTCCACCTCGGTCTTCTCACAGGAGCTGATTTAGACAGGTGAGGGTTGTTTGGGGGGGAAAATGTGTGACTGCTCTCTTCCTGGAATGGAAAGTTTTTTGTTTATTTTTTGGGGGGGGTGTTTTTTTAAAACTTTTTCTCTTGGAGGGTTATGACACTATGCCCCTTTTATATCTTAAATTGTCCAGTGTAACGGCCCAACAATCACGATGCTACTTCAGTCCTTCTTTCCACCCTTCAAGCAAATACACACACAAACAAACACACACACACACACAGTCTCTGTACCCGTTACTTTCTCCAAGCACAGTCCTCTTACAAGCTGCCCCTCACTGCAAGGTAAATAAATCCTGCGGTTGGGGGGGGGAACACTGAGTGCCCTCATATGCCTCTGGAGTCGCGCTGCCTGAAAGAAGCGTTGTACTTGCCTCTGCAAAGGGGCTCCACTCAGCCACGAGCTGGAACGTGAACAGATGGGCTGCTTTGTTCAACACCCCCCCCCAAAAAAGGAATCCGCACTACAAAGCCGGCTTTAAAACTAAAAGTGTATCTGGTGCATTATAAATAACAGTACTGCTGGTGTCATGGATACGTCCCGTGATAAAGAACCATCAAGTGATAACTTGGATTTTAAAGCGCCATACTGTGACAGGCACTGCAGAGGGCAGTAGAAGCTACACCATCATGAAGAGTCACGAGAACATATCACGCTGTGTCGGTTTGTGCTCACGGACGTGCAAAAAAAAAATATATATATGTATGTTCTATGTGCATGCGAGCATATGTGGATTTGCATGTGTGTGGGGCCTCTCCCAGGTGCTCATTTGTGCAACGGGAATCGTTTTGATGTTTCCTTTTCCTCATTAGGCCTACAGGAAGTTTTCCTTTTACAATCGACTGTTCTCTCCACTCCGTTCACAGTGTCCCTGGAGTTCACAGGGACAGAAGTGTGAAAGATGTCCACATCAAAGAGGTTGCAGGCCAGCACTAATCTGCAAATAATGACAGGCAGACAGGGCTGGACTTAACACACATGTCCTTTGCTAATCTTCGACGGTATAGAACAATCCCTCATCAGTGTACAACATAACACCGAGCAGCACATAAAGGCGAGTTTGAATTGTCATGGGACTCTCTGATGCATGGGTGGATTATGAAACAATGGGCCCCCGGATGTGTAAAAGCAAAGCTTATCATTTACACTGATTTGTGGCCTGCAACTCAATAACTACATGTTTCAGTGCATATCAAATTACACACCAAAAGCATATTTGTATACATGAATGTGCTTTTCAACACAAGGACAAAGGCACCAAATAAATTCATGTTAGCTAAGACCATACACCTGCATCTCTAAGGGATTCAGAGTAGAAGCACACATAAAGCTAACGAACACACTAACTACAAATAAATGCACTTATGCATTTAGTGTGAGACTTTATAACATCATGGTTGACTTTCAAATTGTTATCAATAATATATTAAAAAAAAAAAAACGTCTTTCTCTTCTCTCTCTTTCGTACACAAAACAGTGAGCAACGCAGTTCTTTGTTGTCTTATTTTCCTACTCCTCAATCCAAAATACATTGGAAATGTTATTAATCTGTTTTTAAAATAACACAATAATTTGCCTCAGTTGATATTTGTTGGCCTTCAAAAACATGTTTTGACCAATATTTTCCTGTAGTCAAAAATCTTTTCTGTCAGGCTTGTCGCTGTACAGGACTCATAAAACGGCATAAAAAAACACATTCATGGAAAAGAAAATAACATATCTTATTTTACTATAGAAAGAAGACAAAAAAGCATCAGAAGTAGAAAAAGAAGTAAAGAAAAACTGTGTTGGATTTTATAAATCTTTATTTAGTTATAAATCCTCCACGGATTGCCAGTTGCAGTCGAAGTTGAATGCATCGGTACGCTCCTTATCTTAGTCCTTGAATCATTTCTAATTTTACTGATGGGCTGTCAGAAATAGCTGCACAGACATTTTCAAACATAGATCAAAGCACATAATGAAGAAATATTCAAAACGGCCCTTTTGGAGTTGCGTCCTCTTCAAGTGGAAATAATGATCTCAGCTGAATTAGTTCATCGTCTAAACTGCAAACTGCAGATGATCGAGGTTTGGCCTTCTACATTACTGAGGCGTTGAACTCAAATTTTGAACGTACACTGAAAAAATTGCTCAGGTGCTACTTTGTGTCATTATTCCTATTTATTATTTGGATGTTTAGAAAAAATATAATGGGCCTGCCAAGAACTTGATGTAAAATACCTTCTTCCCATGCTTCTATTTATTTTCTTAGCTTTAACTTAAGGCATCATCATTTAGAGCGGCGCTCCGTTGTGTACATGGTTTTATGTGACATGCAGTTGTCAAACATGCACAGATTGACCTTGTCATAACCTCACATGTTTCCTGGCTCATATTCACACATTTTAATAGCAGCGCCCTCTATTGACAACTTTCTAGGCAACACATTCTTTTCAGAATGTGGCTCCTTATAAAGTATAGTTTACTAAAATAAACTATAACAACATTAGTTTTCATGAACCAAAACATTAATTATACTGGGCATTGGGTAGTTCATCCATACTGGAATGTAATGAACAACAGAGGGTCTAAAGACATGTTTAGCATCTTGTGTTTTATCATGACGAGGAAAAGAGTGAACGAGGAGACTGTGTTGGGGCCATATCATTGAACTTGTTTTCTCCAGACAATCAGCTGAGACTGAACAGTGAAGTGTAAACACTCTAGTGTGGAAAGATGAGCAATTTTAACAGCATTTTTAATGAAAACATAGTATTTTTAAGAATATAGTTAGAATCATTACACACACACACACGTTCATACACACCTCCTTCCTGATAGGTGGGAAGCCCTAGAGGGACATTCTTCCAGACCCACCTGAACCATTGTTAGCTGTGCTCTTCCTGTGTGAGGAGCCTGTGTTGTTTGAATACAATGGGGTCAGCGGAATCCCAGCAGCTGTCAGACAGACACTCCATCATTGAGACGGAGAGTGTGGCGATAACAAACAGCAGAAATGCTCACTACCAACTAATAGTTTGTGTTTACTCAATACTTTGGTGCTGGTTTCATTGTTTCATTGTGCATGAAGTAGATTCACTATAGAACATCCATATGGATTATACAAACTTCCACCCATATGTGCAGCTGACTTTAATAAATATGGAATAAATGCTATCATAATATAATAGACGCAGCATCTATTTCTTAATAAGGAACAGGTGTTTATTAACTGATCCTGAGACAGCGGCATCTGCATCATGAATGCATCGTGATGTAATAATAAAGTGTCGCCACATTCAGGTTTGCTTTCTGTGTTGATGTAGATGTAATGTGTCGAAACCAAAAATGTTGAACCAATGTTTGTGTTATCCTGAGTTGCTGCATTCATCATGCATCTTTCTAAATGAGCTTTTATCGTACAGAATTTGAACGTTGTATTTCTTGCTGAATAGAATCGTCATTGTACTCCAACATGCAATAAGCTGAAGAGATATCCGATGAAACAAAGCTGATAGCAGCAGCTTCCCCAAAAGGCATTGATATCATATGATAAAGTGCCATCCACTAAGTAATACTAAGCCCTCCTATTCGCTCCTTAATCTCGCATGAACTTCACACAGGCAGCCAAGTAATGTTAGACCGACCTGAAACAAAAGGTGACAGTGTGCAGCCGAACGTCGTCCAGAGGAAAGGTCCGTCTGAAGTGCCAGAGTTGAGGATTAAAACTCGCTCTGGGAACGTCAGCTTCGCCGAACAAAACAATCCCATCACTGCTGCCACTGCCATGGTTAAGATTTTGTTATGCCATCTCTGACACCGTGGCTTTGCTCCATTATTAGGTTTCACGCTTAGGAAATA